ATATCCAGGAATATCTCATCCTCGGTACCTTCTGACGTGGCTTCGTAGCCGGTCTTCACACCCATGCGTTGCAGGCGATTGTGCAGTCGACTGCACAATTTGATCAGATCACGAAAACCCGGGGTACGGCCCTGTGAGCCCTTGATTGCAAGACTCCCGTGGAATGCAGAGCATACTCTTGCGTAGACCTCCATGAGGGTCGGCACGCGAGATTCGAGCAAGGAGTACTTTTGCAGGATGACATCTCGCATCTCGTCCACGGGAAGAGAGTTGACTTGCACTCTCTCCCAAAGTCTGCTCCCGAGCATGGAGGTGCTGTGGGCAACCTCCTCACCAGCAATGTTGTATGATGACTTCATTGTTGCAATAATCTTGAAGCCCTCTGCACACTTAATCCGCTCTCTCCGGCTGGGAATGGTGAGCTCTCCTCTCTCAATAATTGGGAGAATAAGACCCATCACTTCAGAGGGAGCGCGATCAAGGTCCTCAATCAAGACCCAGCGACCTTCGCGTGCAGCCTTGGTCAATACACCAGGTTGCCAGGAGAAGGAACCAGAGGCAGACGAAGTCGCATACATTCCCAGAAGACTCTTCGCATCCGTCTGCTCATTCAGGTGAAGTGTAACCATAGATTCAGCTTGACCCATCGTGGCAGCAATATCATTGATCAAAGAGGTCTTTCCGGAATTAGGTAAACCGACCAACATAACAGGCTTGGACCCAAGCAGGGAGCCTGCAATCCGGCGCAGATTACCAATCGTAGTCGAGGTCTTTACGACGGAGCTCGAGTACACGGGCACTTCCTCTTTCAACCTGGGAATCAAAACTCCACAGATCTCTGCGGTTTTGGGCGTGAAAGAACCCTTTGTCCTCTCGACCAGTGCCAAAGCGTCGGCCTCCTTCCTGGAAGACCTTTCGTTCCGAATGATTCGTCCAAGACTCTCCCATCGGCGTTCCTCCCACAATCCCAGCAGGCGGTAATCGATAAGAGTTCCTTCCCATTCTCCTTCAATGGGATCGGTCCCGGTGTTCGCGCGGACCATCTTCTCGGTAGCCGCGTCAGCTGCGTGCATATATAAGGCAAAGCATCGTACAGCAAGGTACCGTGTGACTCGGTCTTGAGACTGGAAGAGGGATTGCAGTTGAAGTGGTGAAACGGCGGGAGAAAACGTCTCGAGATCAAACGAAAGGAGTCGGAAGAGGGCGAGGAGTAAGATGCGAATGCTAGACTGATCCAGCTGCAGCAGTGTTAGTTCTTTCGATACGGCCAATGCCGAGAGAGGGCCAGTCTGTGATGAGGCATATTGACTGGCGAGCGACCGCAGATGCGGCGCAAATGGCAAAATCTGCGCGAATGCCGCTAATACATGAATATAGTCGGCATGTAAATCCGATTGAAGCCAACGAGCTGCAAGATCGACAAAAATCGGTTCGTAGAGCCTGAAAATGCTCTCTGTAAATTCGGTGTTTAATGCGCCAAGCGCAAGCGCGTGGAGGTGTTGTGTCCCCGATGCAGTCCGAATGAAAGTCGAGATTCCACTCGGAAGCTGCTCGAGCAGCTGGGACTCTGTTAGAGTCCTCTCATAGACCGGCCGTTGATCCATGTTTATTCCGGCCGTAAGAGGAGCTCCTTGTTGAAGTTTGAAGAAGAAACTCCGCTTCGATCTTGTAACTTTTTTTTCTGCCACGACCTGTGGCGCAGCCCCGCCTAGACTGTCTCCACCGCCTTGGATCCCGGAGCTTGCGCCACAGTTGCGCGTCCTCAATGGTTATCTCCTTTCAACAGCTTGTTTCATGCGAGAGATATGCTAATATTGCAGTCCATTGATGTTCCACGATGTCAATGAGTGGTCAGGGCTCGGGCGGCGAGGGTCGGTCCTGGTCGCAAAGTGCGGATCAGGACCAACCCCAGCTCCAAGAGAATCGGGAGTCCGAGGGTTTACATGAGCCGTATGTCTTGGTGATTCCCCCTTGGATTGTGAAACTAACTAAGGGTCGCCTACAGAATATCCTTCAAACGAAAACAAAAGCAACGATCGCGATTTAGCCTATCTAATCTTCTCTCCCCTACCGCGGGCGGATCGGGCACTGGCTTCAGCTCTCCAGCCCCGCAAGGTGGACATAATGGAGACGTATCGCCACTCGATCCTTACGGGCCGATAGGATTCAATGGTGGCCCCGAGGGATCCAAAGATGGAGGACCTCTCGACTGGTATGTTGAAGGCCCCGGTCGACGTGTAGGCTACGACGACTTCACAGCTATCGATTGGATCTACGAATATACAAAGGAGCGGCAAAGGAAACGGCTCCTCCACTCGAGCGGACAAGGTCTATTAGGCCATGCTCGTCGGCTTCTTGATGCCAGCAATGTCTGGTTAGTGTTGATCGCAACCGGTATCGCAGTAGGCATAATCGCCGCCTGTATCGACATTGCAACAGATTGGTTAGGTGATTTGAAGACTGGTTATTGCAAGAATGGCAGTGGTGGCGGAAAGTTCTATTTGAACAAGAGTTTTTGCTGCTGGGGTCTTGATGGTAAGTTGTTACAGTCGAGCCTTCGAGCCTCCCATACTGAAGCATGCAATATATAGATCACTCCAAGTGTCTTGACTGGACACCTTGGGGCAATGCATTGGGTACAACCTCAAACGGAGGAACATATACGGTTGGATACCTTTTCTATGTTGTGTTTTCGGTCTTCTTTGCTGCATGTGCATGCTTTTTGGTACGAAATTATGCCATCTACGCTCGACACAGTGGAATTCCTGAGATTAAAACGGTGCTTGGTGGAACTGTCATTCGGCATTTCATGGGGCCGTGGACACTTACCATCAAGTCCTTGGGGTTAGTAAGTAGAGCCCTATACTTTGCCACGTAATACCTATGTTGACTGTCTTTGGAGTGTCTTTCAGTTGCATCAGGATTGTGGCTAGGAAAGGAAGGTCCACTTGTGCACGTTGCATGCTGCTGTGCCAATATCATGATGAAGCCTTTTCCTAGCCTGAATGGCAACGAAGGTATGCCTCTGCGTTTCCATCTTTCCTCATTATTCAGCTAATGATGTAGCCCGAAAACGAGAGGTGCTTTCCGCCGCTGCCGCTGCCGGTATTTCCGTCGCATTCGGAGCCCCCATTGGAGGTGTACTTTTTAGTTTGGAGGTATAGTTCATTGACAATTTCCTTCGTTGGCTCTCTTACTAATTTTTCTAGCAACTCTCCTATTATTTCCCGGACAAAACTATGTGGCAAAGCTTTGTTTGTGCCATGATTGCAGCTGTCACTTTACAAGCCCTGAACCCATTCCGAACAGGCAAAATCGTGCTATATCAAGTCACATACACACGAGGCTGGCACCGCTTCGAAATTATTCCTTTCATCATTCTTGGTATCATCGGAGGTCTCTACGGTGCATTCCTCATTCGTTTAAATACGAAGATTGCCACATGGAGACGAGGCCGAACTTCTTCCCGGCCGATAATTGAAGTTGTTGTAGTTGCTCTCGTTACAGCTTTGGTCAACTATCCGAACCATTTCATGCGGGCCCAAAACTCGGAGCTTGTTCAGTCGCTGTTTGCTGAGTGCAGCAGTGCGACATATGATCGTTTCGGCCTCTGCGCAACAGGATCTGCATCGATCGGCGTGGCAATATTTTTGGTAGCAGCTGCTTTGTTGGCTTTCTTCTTGGCTTCCTTGACCTTTGGACTTGAGATTCCTGCAGGTATCATTTTGCCTTCAGTCGCTATCGGTGCTCTTTATGGGCGTGCTCTGGGCATTCTCGTGCGCATGTGGCAGGAAGCCTACCCGAAAGCTTTCTTGTTTAGCAAATGTGAGCCGGACATCCCATGCGTCACTCCTGGCTTATATGCCATTATTGGGGCGGCCGCTGCTCTTGGTGGTGCAACTCGAATGACGTTATCAATTGTTGTTATCATGTTCGAGTTGACTGGCGCATTGACATACGTGATCCCGATCATGATTGCTGTGATGCTTTCCAAGTGGTGTGGTGATATCTTCGGAAAGCGAGGTATCTACGAATCATGGATTCGGCTGAATGAGTATCCTTTCCTCGACCATCGTGATGACACCACTCCCCCAGATGTGTCTGCTCACAGAGTCATGACGACCGTGGATGACATTAGTGTTCTGACCGCAACGGGTTATACGATTGCTTCTATCCGCGGTCTCCTTGCTAACACTACCTACCGCGGGTTTCCCGTTGTCTCTGAAACCTCGAAGCCCATACTTCTGGGCTACATCACGCGCAATGAGCTATCCTTTGCTTTGAAATATTCAACATCTTCGACTACCCGCAATCTCTCCGAGGAGACCCAGGTCTTCTTTTCGCATCAACCTTTTGCAGACCCTGTTGATACCCTTGATCTACGACCATGGATGGATCAGACTCCCATCACTTTGAACAGCAACATCACCTTCTTGATTGTGCTGCGGATGTTCCAACGCCTTGGCCTGCGTTACGTGCTTTTTGCCAATAAAGGTATCTTACAAGGCTTACTGACCAAGAAAGATGTCTGGTCTGTACTCAATGGCGTGGAATTTCGTCGCCAGGAGGCGCTTAGAGACGAGGACTCCCAAGATTTCCAGAATCGCCAAGAGGCCGAGGAAGTCGGTTTACTTGATGGGAATGATAGGTCGAGTCTTAGCAGTTCTTTGAGGAGGGATTCTTTCTGAAATTTGCTACCATCTTGCTCTGTATATTTCTCATTTCTGGTGTAATCTACATGGTTTTATTGGAGATGTTACCCGGTAAAGCCTTTGTTTTAGATATGTGAAATGGATAGCCCAGTAGATTATGGCAGCACTGATAATAGATGATGAAGCGTATTCAGATCAAATGTCCCTAATAAACAAGTACTCTGAAAAGGGCCCAGCGCTTCAAGGTGGTTTGCTTACTGTATAGATCTTCTTTCTTCTGCAGCTCCCGCCATTCTTGGACGACCCACTCTGCTGACATAATCTCCATCGCCCGCGGCGCCTATCACGATGTCTACTCCTGTTCCTGATGAGTCCCTTAGCGATACTCAGGCTGAAGCTAAGAAAGCCAAAGAAAAGGGCGGCAAGATGATGGTCGATCCGTTTGAGGTGCGCATGCGCTTCACGACTCAGCTGCAGCACCTCAGTGCATCAGTCACGTCCGCGCAGAAAGCTGCCCTCTATGCGCTCAAATATCGGGATCTGGATGAGGACCTTCATTCCTGTATCCTAGAGCAGCTTGAGCGGGTATGAACAGTGCCATTCACTATATTGGATCTTAGCTAATTGGTTTGCATTTAGAACAACATGAACAACCGCGCGAACATCATGTACTTCATCGAGCATCTCTGCGACATGGCCCTCAAGGAAAACCACCCGGCCTACGTCCGCATGATGCAGCGCGACATTCTCCGCGTGGTCGACTCCGTCGTTCCTCCCGATGGCACCGGCGCAGCCAACGTCAAGCACGTCCGCCACGTTCTCAACGGTCTCCAGACCAAGAATGTCCTCACCTCCGAGAGCGTGACCGAGATTGACGCAGCTCTGAAGGACCGTGACACCCACCCCTCCCATCTCGATATGGATCACGAAGAAGGAACTGAGGAGGGAAGCAAGGCAAAGGCTGGCACCCCTCAGATACGCCTCGACAAGAAGCAAATCGAGCAGCGCATTGAGGAGGACCGCGAGCGCAACAAGCGCCTTCGTGAGAACATGTGGGCGGTCACGGGCAATGACCAGGACGAATACAACCAGATGTGGGAGGAACTTAGTGATCTTGGGGAGGATGACTTTACTCGATTCCGTGAGGAGGCTGAGGAGCGCCAGGAATGTGTCCGGAAACACATGGAATTCTGGACCGCGAAAGCTGCTGAAAAGTGATTCAACGTACATTTTCTTGCTGTCTTTTTGCATGCACCTTGGAGTTTGGTTGGTTTTTGCGGCGTTCAATCTGGGTCTGACGGCATTTATGACGGAGTTTTTGGACTGAACATGAGATATGTATGACTTGCATAAGTGGCGGGATTGTGTTGCACGTTCTATGAGCGTACAAATCTTCTTTGCTTATCGGGACGTTGGTATTTGGGCAGAGCAATGCATGCACGAACATGTCTAGCTAAAATGTTCGATATTCTACGGAAACTATGTGTCTGACGACGGACATCATGCTACGGATATGAATAAACCAACAAATTACCAAATCCACCAGACCATGTCCTGGACACAAACGCAGTTAGGCGTAAGAGACTCAGTCAAGGTCTCCGAATGCCCGAAGATCGGTAAAATCTTTTCCACGTCCTGCAATGCACACAGCAAATGATAGAGGCTATACTTAATTAGTACTAGACTCCGCATAGGATGATCAGTGGGTCGAGTCAATGCCAAAGAGATGTGGTTGGGGCATATCAATCCTCGGGGATAATTTCTTGTTGCGAGCAGTGGAGAGTCGGAGTTGCAGGTACCTGTGGGGATATTTTATGGCCCGAGATTAAATGTAGGTAGGTGCCATATTGGTAAGTCATCTTTCTTCACTACTCTTAAGGATGTAATATATATGCACGTCTGCGAAGAAAATTAGCGTGTATAAGTCATATCACGATGTCTGTCTGTTAGCACAATTCTGAGCCAAGGTAGACCTTGCTCTATTAAAAAGCCAGCATCTCCAGTTTCGTACGAATTAGTATATCCGAACAAAGTATTTGATGACGCTGCCCCATATGGTCTACAGCTTGCCTTCTCCTCGCAGGACGGGAAAGCACGCGTCACCCTTTTTTAAGACATGCATTAGACATATTGAACTTGTTTCGGTGTCATTTTCCTAGAGATAATTTACTCTTGTGGTGTATAAAAGTAGACATGCCGCTGTCAAATATTTCTGCTACCATTCTCTCCTACGCCCTCAATATACAACTACATAGGCACAGTTCATTATGCTTTCCATAAAGGATACTGGGATTGCTGCCTGGTGGCCATTGGAGTCTTTGGCCCGGGGACTCTCGCTTCCACATATACAACCTTTCCAACTCCCGAATTAGTTGACTTTGATGATGATTGTGTTGTTGATGGTCTCTACCGACCTTCTACGACTGGTCCGAAATCTCGCATTGCAGTCTATGTGATGCCGAGCGAGACGATCTATCCTTCTCCGCCTGTACCGAGCTACCCAAACGTGGCTTCACGACTTTCTGTGCAAACAACGATGCCAGTAAGAGCGGATACATGTCGGATTTCAACTTCGAAGACATGATGACGGGTCGTAAATCAGGGAATGGAGTACCTGCATAACCTGACCGAGATCGACCAGGTCGTCATCCTCGGACACAGTGGCGGTGGTACCATGATGGCCGCGTACCAGGACATCGCAGAGTACGGTGCCTCTGCCTGCCATCTGCCAGCGATAAGGGAAGATCTACCCGTGCTCCGATGCAATGGAAGGCCACGAGCCTGGCGACGGACTCATTTTGACTGATGCCAACTACTGTAGCTCAACAATGGCACCGTTGAGTCTGAACCAGCCGTCATTGACGAGGTGACCCGTTCCAAGCTCAACTAGTCCTTGAACCTTCTCAACCCAGCCGATGGCTTTGGCAACAACACTCTCGCAAACTACACCGAATTTAGCAGAATTTGCGAGTCTTATCCTGGCGAGTTTGATAACGGTCTGGGTAGTGCTTATAATCATACGGGACGGTGGTTGGGTCAGAAGGAACGCTTTCTGTAAGATGAGGCTTTGCTACCGAGTTAATTTCCATGTTGTGTGTATGGAATCGAATGTATATCGGGAGCTTGAGTGGACAAAATGGACATTCACAGTACCACCGAATAAAACGTAACTTTTTGAGAGCAACCAAGAAACTTATATAGCCGTACAGGATTGAACATTCAATTACACTCATATCAAGACAAATACAGTTGAGAATACAACAGTAAAAGGGCGAAGATGAAGTGAAGTACATGTAAGTTAAAAGGCGGAGTAGCTTATCAGTCTCCGCCCTCGGGAAATCCCAATCGCCGAGAGATTTTTTATTTTTGCTTCACCTCTCGACCTAGACAGGTTCAATCCAATTTTGTCACTCTATGTTTGCTCACTTGGTTACTGCTGCTAAAGGTCTATTCGCGCGACCAGAAAATTCAGATTCTGCCAGTTCCAACATGGTGACTACACGACGAGGCGAAGTTGCGCCCGAACTTGCAAGCGGAAAGCGCAAGGCCAGCAAGGCCGACGAGCAGCAGACCAAGCGGAGAAGAAGAAGTGATCCCAAAGCTACGGAAACCGAAGATGCTAGCGATATTCCCGAGACATCCAACGTGAACGGAGAGAAAGCGCCCGTGGATAAGAAGAACCACTTCCGTTTTGACAGCGAAGAACCCGAGATCCCTGAGATACTACCTGAAGAAATCTCAGAAGAACCGAACCAGGAGGAAGAAGATGAGGATAGCGATGACGATGCGCCAGAGGCTATTGATAACTCTGCCCAGCTCTTGAAGATGAAGGAGCAGGCCAAGAAGCGAGAGACCGCGAAGCAATTGTACGTGCTATTCCATACTTGCAAATGAATTCTGTTAACAATGCCTACAGAGAAGAACAACTGAAGAGAGAAAAGCGACGGAAACTGGACGAGCGCCGCAAGTTGCAAGCCAAGACTGTCGTAAAGCCCAAGGAGTCTTCCGATGATCTGCTCTCTGAGAGCACAGCCACCATTCAAGGCACAACTACGCAAGATGCACGACGGGCAGCTCTTCCTGCTTTGCTTCCTGATGACATCCTGAACGCTGAGCCTGCTATTCGCCCTCCCACACCCCCAGCCGATGAATTCGCAATGCCGAAGAAGTCAAATAAGCTGAGATTCCTGGATAAGAAGGACAAAATTCCCAAGGATGTCAATATGGGAGATGTCTCGATTCGGGTGCTTGATGCGCCTTCCACCAAGAAGAGCTCGAAACCTGCCTTGGCCCCCAGGGTTTCCAAGGCCGGAAGGAACCTCAAGGGCAGCATGCTGCAGAGGTCTCGTAACTCAGCACAAGGCAACGGCCTCCGGAAGAAAGCAAGTGGACCCTCTGGATTTGTTCGCCGTTGAAGTTGACGTTAAACCTTGTATGAACATTAAAAGCGATTATTCTCCAATGTCGCATATCTCCAATACGTCTGGAAGCCGCATGTTACTGCGGCCTACCAAAGCCATTTTACTCGGGCAACACTAACACTGCGTTGAGTTATGTTTCCCTGTCTTCTGGGCCCCATTGGCGCAACGTGAAAGTCGGTGTCGACTGGGTATGCAACCCGCCGCCATCTGCAGCCATTTTGTGATCAATCAATGATGCTGGCTCTTTCGTCTCCGAAGGTTGCATGGTGTTCGGTGTTAGTGAAACCTATGAAACCAAGTCATGTACATAGCAATTTAGTCATTTACGGAGTCCAATAACGGCTGAATTCAAACAAACTAAGGATACCATGTAACAATAGATAAATTTCAGTAAATATATGTAATATCTCAAGCATGCATGTTTAGATCTCTGCTGGCCAAACTTGGAAAAAGTGACGATGTCACCTTCGATTAATAAGGCGGAACACGTGCAAGCCTGGGAAGCTCCCAGCTTCCTTTTTCTTCTCTTGCTTTTTCCTGTACTCCAATCCCGCCAATGGCGCTTGTCGTCCAAGTCTCCATTTCAATTTAGCCATGCCACCAGAAGAGAATTCCCCGTTGCTGCCTCAGCATAATCCAGCCTCTACGTCACCACGGGCAAGCCGGACGCCGCGGTCGGTATCATTCAATCCGCTCACGCAAATCAGCACTTATGGCACCTCCTCTACCTCCGATCCTACATTCCGACCCCTGCAGACAGGCTCACCTCCAGTCCTCAATGTCAATGCCCAGGGTAGCCAGCCCCGTCCGGGCAGCCAGCCCATGCTCTCAGCGTTGAACAGCAAACTCCGCCGTCGCAACAGCCATGGGGCTGCTCCCTTCAACGCTTCGTCATACCCATCACACCCAGCATCTAAGATTGGACCGCAGCGAACCACCAAGAAAGCGCAGAAACTAAAGTTGCTCCCCGATCCGGTGACAGAAGAGGAAGAAGGCTTTGATGGTGATTTCCCTCGGGATGTCTATTCGCAAATCACTCGGATTAAGGACCCCGCCGCACGAAGCCACGCCGCCCGACTAGGCAAAGCCGACCGCGATCGCATCCCACGAGTCACAGCTTACTGTACGGCCAATTCGTATCGGTTGGAGGGCGTGACCAAGTTCCTCAAGTCGCGGAGCAAGACTCGTGGAGCGAATCCCAAACTTTACGACGAATGTGTTTACTCGCCTTTTGACTACCAATACGAAGAAAAGCAGAAGGGTCGGATATTCCCCGACCCAGGTGGTAATGGACACCCTGAGCGACGACCCAGCGAAAGAAGGTACTCGGACAGCGTCGTGGAGGTGGAAGACAACAAAAAGAGCCGAAGGGATGATTTGATTGATTTGCACGAAGAGGCTGGACATTCAGCAGACCATACTGAACAAGCAGTGGTCCAAGATACCCCCGACATTGACACCACAATTCACACACCGGAAATATTTCTCTTCGATTACGGCACAGTCGTAATATGGGGAATGTCCCCAGCGCAAGAATCACGATTCTTGTCCGATATCTCGAAATTTGCGACCTCCATCTTGAGCCCTGATGACACGCAGATTGAAAATTTCAACTTCTACTATGCGCGGGAATACCAGGCCAGGATTTACAACGACTTCATCTCTCTTCGCGACCCACGCAACAACATGATCAAGCTGGCCATCTCTCATGCTCTAGCTCAATCAGTCAAGACCTCGCTTTTCGAAGATCTTGTGTCTGAAACAATTACCGACACCGCACCTCTGCCTGCCCAGATTGCCCAGACTGGTAGTGTCAATCTCACACGCAAGCAGATCAACATGCAGATCGGAGAGCTGTTCATTCTCCGCATCAACATCCATTTGCAGGGATCTGTCTTAGACAGCCCTGAACTTTTCTGGGCAGAACCGCAACTGGAGCCTGTGTACCAGGCAGTCCGAAGCTACCTGGAGATGGATCAACGAGTCAGTCTGTTGACGGAGCGACTGGATGTTATTGCGGATTTGCTTGCAGTCCTCAAGGATCAATTGACCCACCGTCACGGCGAATATCTCGAATGGATTGGTAAGTCCCACTGCGATCGTGATAGCGATTCATCTAACAGTTATCAGTCATCGTCTTGATCGCCGCGGAGATTCTCGTGGCTGCAATTAATATTGTTGTCGATCTCTACGCTGGGGTAGACTAGAGCGTTGAAGATTGCTCGTTGAACTCCTGGCTTCTCTCGACTCACCGACTTGATGCGAATATCCCAACTCTCCTGATATGTGATATCACCACTTTTCTGCGCTTGTTTTGCATAACTCCCATTTTCCAGTCGCCTAAGAGCACGGCAGCATGCCAGAAACGGCCCATCCAGCAATATCTGCTCAACGATACAACTCGACCAGACAGGAGATCCCCTACATCCATTAAAGCCGAATAATCACCTACCCAATCACATATTTCATCGAAATCATCTACCAACCTCGACCGGCCTTCAACTGTACATGAACGAAGACCCCAATATTCAACTTTTCGCTGCCATTCTTGTTTCCAATAGTATTCTACCTTGTCTACTAGTATCGGAGTTGGTGTGGGTTATGCTTATGCTTAGTTCGGGGAACGGTGTTAGGGTTGGGATACGCTTCTGTAAAAATGGTGCTTCACTAGGTAGTCTGTTCATAGTTTCTGAATGCATCCCGATACCATTTGAGAATGTGGCAGAATGATAGGCGTTACACTTACGGAAAAGAAGGGAGAGAGACGGCGATCAGTCCTGAATCCCCCAAGCCTTCCACTTGGGGATGTTTCTCGGGCTTCAAGTTAACGCTAGGCGGATAAGAAAAGAGACGGCGATCAGTCCTGAATTTCCCCAAGCCTCACGCTCGGGGATGTTTCTCGGGCTTCGAGTTAATGGTAGACGGATAAGAAAAGAGACGGCGATCAGTCTTGATTCTCCCCAAGTCTCGCACTCGGGGACGTTTTCTCGGGCTTTAAGTTAATTATAGTTCTAACAGGGCTAGTTGAGTGTTGGCCTTGGCAACTTGCTATTGGTGGTAGCCCTAAGGGATCCTGCGGCTAGGGCGTGATGGCTGAATAGTTCGTAAATGCAATGCGACCAAAGTAGCATGGCCCAGCAAGCATGACTCGGGCAATACCCAGAGACATCCAGTGAAGATAGGGAAAGAAAGTAAATTATGAAAAGAAGAGAAGAGAAGAGAAGAGAAGAAGAAGAGAAGACCACTGCATTCCGCACACCATTACGCTGCCTGGATTCCTATGTACCTCTTTCTTTTCCACTAAAACCAGAACTCGGCATAGGCTCATTGAAAGGGAACTTGGTGCCTGGCTGTGGCTATGTTTTACCCCCAAGAGTATAACCCTGAATACAAAACGTCACTGGTCCTGCATTCCGTCCATGAGACAAGCAGTTTTCAGCTGAGGACTCTTGGCCTACAAGTTGCGCCTTGCCTTGGCATGAGCCTCAAGAGAGTATTTGCCGTATAAGCAATGGGCAAGCTAGACTTATTGCAGCATAGTAATCCTATACTTCATGCACCATTCCCTTGGCGACAGCAAGTCGGAATTTGTGGAGCGCAAGGCCCAGGGAGGTAAACCATGTCTATTTGTTGGTTTTGGGCATAGAAAAGTGTATGGCAGCGCCTCGTGGAGTATATATTCACTGGAATATCCCCCCTTTGCCTTCAGCTACTTGTGAATATTAAGTCATCCACTAAATATGCCACGGTACCATAACTCCTCTTCGGAGACAGACTCCTATGAATTTGAGTATAGCACAGTGGAGACCAATATCAGCCGAGACGAGAGTACGTATTTCTCTACCTCGGCAGCACGTTGAGCAGTTAACTAATAATCAAGCAGTCAACGATTGCAAGTTTCCAGCTTTCCCTGCGCGAACGGAGAACAAGGTCGTCCGACGCGCAACAACAGGGGCTATATGGTTCGGCCTGGTGGTTTTAGCCTCTTTGATTGGAATCGCAGTTGTCGTCATAGTCCTGTTTGCAGTCAAGACAGACAATGACGGCTTCGACCAGAACAGCTCGGAGTACGCGCTGTACAAGAACTCCATGTTCAAAGACTGTTACAACGTACCTCCGCCTGTCGTCAATAACTGCACTGCCATTGAGTCCATCTTGAGACTGGGCCAAGATGACATTGTGGCCCAAAATTTTGGCTACGTATCAAAGCTCAATATATTCGACTCGACCAATTCGGAAACTCGAAAGTCCTCTTACGATTGGTGCGAGGTGGTGAGCTGCTTCAACGAGTTCAAGATCGTCCCATCTTCGCCGCGTCCATCGGCCTTTTGGGCGACAACTATTGGAGCGTATACCAAGGCTGCCATGATCTTCCTTTTTGCCCTGTGGCAACTCAGAAAGCTACAAAAAGCCCTATACAGCAACAGGAGAGACCCATGCAAGAAAATCGAATGGGATGTTTGGGCTATCATGGCTTGGGATATGATCTCGGCGGTTTGGTGGTGGATCGACTTTGGACGACATCTCAATAACCCAACAGAATTCCCTGCGCCTGGGATGCTCAGCTGGGTACCACTATGGAAATATGGTTACCTGATCAGCTTTCATCCATACAGTTGTGCTATCGAACACACCCCTACAACGGCATGGGTTACAAAATGGACACTATACACATTGGCCGTCGTTCAGTGGATAGCGTCAGTATACATATGGAAAGCCAGTGCGGATACGGTCTCCAAGTATCCCACATACGAATGTCTTGCATCCCAGATTTCGGCTGCACCTGGGATCTCGACGTGCTCAGTGGACCAGATTTGTTCCAGAGAGTTACTCTTTCACGCCTACCACTTTGCATTCTCCAACGAGGTCATGGACGTTAAAGACCCTAATTTGGGTGTTTTCGTCGTTTTCATTTTTCTTACTCTTGGGTTTTTTTACAGAGTCTATATGCTCAATTTCTTTGCGTTGGTGGAGTCTGGGTTCCATATGGAGCGCTTCAAGAAAGCGAAGCAGGAGATGTACAAACACGATTTTGGCTATGCCGGCAGTATTGGTCTCTCGGCCTTTATCAGTATCATATTCGGGGCTCTAACTGCTGCGGGCGCAATAATGGCCTTCCAGAATGCTCGCGAGGCCGCTGTTGCTGTCGACTGGGCTTGTCAGACGGTTCATGTTACTTTGAGTCCCTGGAGATACTATTTCGATGTGCAGTATCAGTTACCACTGCGTGCGGTCGAAATGTGGTTTAATGTATGAAGTGATATAATGCGGATTTGGATTTTTATATTCATTGTTACAGTCTGTCATCTTTTACAGTTTAACCATTTTGCTGCGAAGACTGTGTTGGCTCCCGGTACAGCTAGCAGAGCACTATAAAGCCATGTCACTCTAATATTGTTACTTATGAAACTGCCAAATAAACCACCCAATCTCCCCGAAGGCATCCTACGCTCAACGGTACTGCAATTGAGAGGTCTCATACTCTAATCCAATAATACCAAGACCCTCCCCACGGAAAAGCTTGTTGCGACTAATAGTCGTTCTGCTCGCGAGAACAGTATCACGAATCCTCTTGGCCAAGTCATACGCGCATCCGATCTTCTCATGGGGGCAGCCCCCATGATCGATCAAAAGCGAGATACAGTGAGAGCGAATATGATGCAGACACTCAGCTGTAATAGTGGCGTTTCCCCTCGCGAGCTCGGAGACAAGTTTGTCCATGAGTTCCATATCATTTTTGAGCCTATCGGTGTCTTTGTAAAAGACGTTGACATACCAGGGGTTTTCGTGCCTTGCGGGGTCTTCTTCGCCTGCATACCAGCCGTTTCTGATGAACATTGCGTCAAGCATTTCGACGAGTTTGATAATGTGGGATTGGTGTGTGGCTGGTTTGTATAAGCTAGGTAAGGGTCTCTCTATGAGAGGAGATGAAGGCTAGAGAATGGGTGATCAAGCTGATTTAATACCCACTACTCGGATTTCGAGGATATCTTCCTCTCACTTAAGTTTAGTTTCTAAGGAAATCAGAGGAGCTTTTCAGAAAGTTATAGCGTCTAAAGCTTTCATGAGCGGGTTCTAGTTTTTGTGTACTAGTGTCTCAGAATTCTTTTTCTTCTTGTCTTTGACCTTTGAAGAAATGAAGACGTATTCTAGGACTTGAGAAGAAAATTACTCGAGCTCTTCTAAGTTTGTGAATGATCCTAGTTTGATCCTGGTCTTCTTTGACAGCAGAGGATCTCGGCATGAGAGCCGACCATTGAGTTATCGCATGAAAGAAAACAAACAATGAAACAATGGCAATACTGCAAGCTGTTTATAGCTGCAAAAGCACAAAGATTGAACTAGTTGTACAATTATCCCTCGGGTTCAGCTTCAAGGATACTCAGTCCATCACCAGGTGATGCCCAGAACTTGATGACCTGGAAGCCAGCCGCATCCAATAGGCGAGTCCATTGAGTCTGTGAGCCCAACAAGCTTTTACAGAAAATCATCATTTCCCAATCCCACATTGCAGGAAGCATAGCTGCATCCCGATCTGCCAGCACAAATTCCTCGATAATCAACTTGGAATAACCTAGCTTCAATGTACCTAATAGTTCAGTTAAGGTCTTTTGGTTCTCCCTATCCGACCAATCATGCAAGACAAACTTCATATAGTAGATCCGAGCACCTTAATCAATCAATCAGCAGTCTGTCTACCATGGAGGCAATAGGACACACCTCGAATTGGCTGTGGCTTGAACAATCAATCGCCTGCTTCTAGATCCGTTCATTAATATACTCGCATCAAGAACATGTAGCAAGAATTTCGAGAATCAAATGTCCCGGTGCATCAGGGAATTTTTGCCGCAAATCGACTAAATCATGCCCTCGGCCTCTAGCTACATCCACTAAGAGAATCCCATAAGATTGGGCACCCCCAAGAATCCTCTCGGCCACATGGAACCACTCCAGCCAGCCGGGTCGTGCGCCACGATCACTTTCCATAAAGGTAAGACAAGCATCCAGCTTCTCAGGATGAGGGGGCAACTATGTCCAAATAGGCTCATCAATCTGTTCCACAAGTTGCAGAGGGCCTGTAGCCACACACTCACCGTTGTTGAAGCTCTGCAAGCGAAGGAATTCGGGAACTTTGGCCAAGGTGGGCATGCCAACATCGAAAATGACTTAATAACAGAGATGCATTCTGATGAAATGACATGTCTCAGCTCTTTACTCCCTTTTTCGAGCTTATGGGCTACAGTAAGAGCTGACTCAGGGCATAGATTGCAATATTAGTGGTCCAGATGAAGCTTTGTGAAATAATCTACGATCAGTGCGTAGAACTTAGGGCTCATTTATATCCCTCACGTGACACATATGTGACGGCCACGGATTTTCGAGGCAAATGATATAGCCTAGACTGATAATATAACAATAGGCTTATTTAGAATGTAATTAAGGAGAATGGCAACAGGAAGCTACACCTACAGGTGTGGAAAGATGTTGGGGGGTGAAAGCAAAAAGCGTATGGTGAAGTTCTTTCAAGAAGTGTAGCAATAGACATCATCATGCTTTATTTTCCCTTTCAAGATCTGCTATATACAGATCATTGCACACATAGTACAAACATCTACAGACTACGAAAAGGAAAATAACGTGCGTCAGCCATGCTTCCGGCATGGTATCTCTCAGATGAATTGGGCAGCCCTAACGCCAGGAGAAAAGAGTAAGGCCCTGCTCAATATGAGCATAGGGCGGGCAAAAAACAAGCACCCATAAAGCCCGCACCACATCGCGCCCGATGCATAGGATCCCGCCGAAAAAAAAATGAAAAAAAGGAAACAAAGTAAAGAACCTAGGCCCGAGCCACGTCTTATCGGGGCAGACGGGAAAAAGTAAAAAAAAAAGCCCGACTAAAACTGCTCCTTAACCTCCTCCTTTACTTCCCCCTTGTCCATGTCCATGGGTACGGCCCCAACTTCAGGACCAGCCTCGGCCGCGGCGGGGGTCTGATCGGCAGAACCACTGCCAGTCTGCACCCGGAACGAGTGGGTGAGCGACTCCTGGGTGGGAGCCGGGAGGTGGTGGGGCAGACTGGTAGGGTCCGCCGGATCTTGGTGACCATCGGGGCCGGCGGGGAGGTCATCATCGGCGCCGTCGAGACCGGGGACGGCAGACTTGCGGGAGCGCTTGACGCGAAGGGGACGTTCCTCGGGCTAAGAAGTAAGAGACGTTAGACCAGATGCAACAATAGATAAGAGATTGAAACCAAGGTAAGACCGAAGTGAAAGAGAGATGGGAAGGAAGTGTTCTCAAAGTAAGAAGAAAGGAAGATGAACGTACGGTCCGGGGCTGCTCATCCGAGCTTCCCTCGGTGTCATCCTCGAGAGTGGCACCAGTGCCCTCGGGCACACCAGAGCTGGTCATCATTGCGGCGGCACGGGCACGCAGGTCCGGGTTGATGGCGCCTGCCTTTGCCTCCTCGGACATGCCGGTGATCTTGTTGAGACGCTCCAGGAGCATGCACGTCTCGAGCCGCATCTTCTGGATGTACTGGTGGCTCCGGCTGTTGCGAGTGCGCATCAGCTCGTTCTCTGTCTCGATTTCGGCGAGACGGCGCTTCAGCGCAATGCACTTGCGCTTGTAGGCGATTTCCACGCTGGGGGGGTTGGCCGGCGGGATGGTGGTGGATGGGCGAGAGGCCTCCATTGTTGTTGGAGGGGGTGATGGTGGTTGGTGGCACGGGATGTCTTTGATGAGACGGGCCAAGGAGAGATCCAGCAGCGACGTTAGGTGGTCAGAAGCTGGTCAAGATGCGAAGGGATCAACGAGCTTCAGAAAGGTGGACGGGAAAAAAGGAGGGAAAGAGGAGGTGGGGGACGAGATCTGTATATATAGACCAGGTCGCTTAGTCGTTGATGAGATCGAGAGACGCTATTCGCCGATTGAGGGTATCGTGAGGTTTTTAATACGGCGGTATCGCGGACGTCGCGATTCTGGCAGGCGATGATCTTATTCTGCCGCGATGCACAAAGGCGGTCTAAACTACGGCAACAGCTACTCTGCACGGTTCTTTCTCTAATACATCTATTGAACTTATTGATAATTGAACTAATCAAACTCCTCGCTACATACAAATTCCCAAAAATTCTATCTAGTGGCCACCAGTGGTGGGCAAACCCAGGAACACCTTGAATGAGTCGTAACTTCACATCGTCAGCCCGATACATTCGCAATAGGGTGGAAAGTCACTTACATGAGCCATTGGAAGCCAGTCAATGTACCCAGCATCACAATACGGACAGGCAGACCATTCCACAGGCCAGCAAATCCAATGTTACCATAGATTCTGGACACAGCAGTCATGGCACCCTCACCAGCTACCAAACAGTTAGCAAATCCACCAATCCAACCAAAAAAACCGTGGAGCACTCACCCTTCCGATCAGCATTCAACTTGCTAACCATCACATCAGCGGGATGGCTAACAATAGCACAGAAGATACCAGCAATATAACCACCCAAGAAACTAACCCCAGTCTGCGTCAACTGACCATACTCCTCCTTAGGCTTCCCCATCGTGCGATAAATCAGTCTAACAGTCTCCTCAAAGGTCGCAAACTTAGTCATAGTATAAGGAATTTGCCTCGCCCACAGCGGATACAACCCCTTATACAAACCACCAAGACCCTCCTTCGCAACGATCTTACCCCACCCCTCACGGAGATTCGAAGCGTACGGTGGCAGCGTCGTCTGCATGCGAACCTTGATAGCCTCCATCGGACAAAGTGCCATATCAGCAAAGAACTCCGCAGAGGCACTGGCGCCCAGGAAGACGAGGGTGCGGTTTGTCTGGGGGAACATCTGGTCGCCGTAGAGGTACTTGAAGTACTCGTATAAACCATACTTGCCGGCGCCTTGGAATGAATACCCCAGGAATGTTGGGGACCAGCCGAAGAAGACGCCGCGGAGACCTTCCTTCGAGAAGATTGAGCGCCATGCTTGTAGGTTGGAGGTGTAGATCTTGGGATCGACTTGGCGTCGGCATTTGACAAGGTCGAGAGGTGTTACAGCTGTGTGGGTAGGTCCTGCATTGCGTGTTGGTGTTATTGGTGCTGTTATTGGTTATATTAGTGCTTTTGCTTACCACAAGCTGGGGTGATATGTTAGTAAGTGATGTACTTCTAAGGATAGACGGGAAGGGGGGCATACCGATAATACCACCGAGTCCACAGCTGTAGAAGTATTTGAATGAATTAGGCTCGATCTTCCCAAAGGGAAGCTTACGCTCTTGCAGTGCCATGGTGAGAGGGGGGGGAAGGGGGAAGAGAGGAGATTGGGCCGAATTGCGGTCTGAAGAGCGAGGAGAAAGAATTAAAGAGGGAAACAAGCTACGGTACTACGTAGAGATATCAAAGCTGAGCATGGCGTCAGTGGTCCACTTCATAAAGTGCATAAGCTGCATAGTTCGCACCTGAGGGGGGCTTATCTCCGCATTCGTCGATCATCCATGGATACAGTAGTTACGGAGTTCTCTGTTACTTTAATATATATTTTGATATATTTTGATTTATCCAACAAAATAAATATTCAATCCATACTTTAATAAATATCTATACATAGTAACAATCATAATTGGATCAATATCAGGGAAGTTAGCGCGAAGACTGTATGACGTCACAGCTCCGGCCGTGCCGCGACTCCGAGTTCAAAGCCGAGATATCCAGAGACATGCATGTCCAGTCCCCAAAAAAGGAAATATGCCCACATAACTCATTGCATTCATACAAGCTCATGCAGAATTCACAACTGGTACCTCAGTATGCTGCTCACGGCGAATACGCTCAGCTTCACGAGCAAGCACCAAAGCCAGCTTGATACCATGCTTAGAGCCAATGCGATATAACACGGTGCGGATCTGCTCGACCTGTGCTAGTGTGGGCATGCCACAGGAAAGGAGGTACCACAGTGGCCAGAGAAGACCATAGCCCTGAGCGGCGCGTGTCTGCCATTCACCAACTGTTTTCGTCGGGCGGCCAAGGGAATCGACGTCTGATAGACAGAAGGGGAGGCCGCGGCAGACTTCTGTAGTTAATTCACGGATTGTTGCTCTTATACTTGTTCCGGGTGTGGAATCACCGGGTTGCGTGTTTGGAGGTTTGAAGGTAGAAGTAAAGGAAGACTGCATTTTGATGGCAGCCAGAGAGCCGTGCAGGCTGAGTAAGAGTTGCTGCAGCATGACCCGCACAGCGCGATAGTAATTCCAGACCAGAGCGGTGGAGATCCGGTTATAAGTCATGAGCGGCTCGCCCTGGTCGGAGTAGACGAAGAGAGGGAGCCAGCGGTCAGGGAGGGTTTGAGTCCATTGAGCGAGTTCAGCATCGCATTCGAGGCCGGCCGCAATCCACGCTTCGACGGTTGCTTGGTCTGGGGGTGGCGCGGGGCGCATAGAGGTGAAGAGTTGGGATATACTGGATGCTGTGAGCATCAATCTCTCAACGGGATTGTTGCTGTCTAGCATGCCGACAACCCAGTCGCCGTCGAAGCGGGGTTTATCTCCCAGGGCGAGAATTTCAACATACTAAACCGGTGTCAGTCTTCAAGTATAACATATGATATGTGAATGGTGCACACTTACAAGATGTGTATAAGCAAAGTTGAACATATCCCTCCCACGCCGATGATCCATCTGCCCCTCACCACGAAGCTTCATCAGGAACTCGAAGCCCGCGGTATGCGAGCTAAACAACCCGTTACGCTCACCAGAGATATCCTCATAAAGCGAAAGCAGGACAACAGAAGCAAATGTCTCGTCCTTGACCGCATGAGCCGGTGACGCCAAAGCCTCTTGCAAACTACGTAAGGCTTTGCCATAATCCAGTCTAGCTTTGTTCATCAGCGGAGAAGCATTCTTAGCATTAGCAAGAGTCATCAATGCCGTAGCATCAACCGCCCACCGCAAACACGAAGACGGCGCATTGCCGCTCTGACGACCAATTTCACGCGCATATAGCGGGGGCAGATAGTCGAGATGGCCACCATCCTCTTCGTCGGCTTGGATGGTAAACTGATCAAAAAAGTAACATAGAGCTCTTTGCTCCCAATTTGCATCAGCGGGCGAATACAATGTTAACGTGGACTTGCTCTGGATGCTTCCATGGCGCCGGCGCCCGGCCACGATGACCGATGAGTCGGAATCAGGCGTATGGCCTTGACTACCACTATTACTTCCACTGCTGCTGTTGTTGCTGGTGCTATTGCCAATTTTCACCAGTCGCTCAATTTTCCTGGTCTCATTGCGGAAGACTGCATTGGGCCGATACCCCGGACAAGGGCGGCCATATATAATGCAGTTCCTGCACTCGGGTTGAGCTTCATCGCACTTGATTCACTTTAGCATATATCCCATCAATCCATTTCATACACATCTATAAGTGGATGCCCCGGTAAGACCGAAAGCATTACACGGTAGAAAGAAATAAAGAAACAAGCTCACCTTTATCTTCCGCTTGCGACACAGGTAACATCCGGTACTCGGCTTGCCCCCATAGACCATTGTTCACCCGCGGGGGGAGTAGTAAGCAAAGCACAGAAACCTTCAATACTTCAAGGATCCTCTGAATAAAGGGCCAGGGACCTGCGGATCACAGGTACGTCGGGCTTGATGTGGGTTCCACAGAGGGTGCAAGAGACCGTGCGCGTGTCATGGAAAGAAGCTCAATCAACTCGGCTGCCTACTCCGAGCAGAGTACATGCACATCATAAAAGATGGGCGACGTGGCTCGTCTAGGTTTGGGAGTGTGTTTCTGGCCAACACTCGCCAGGATGTCTTGGAGATGTGAAGGTACGAACGCAAAGAGAGGTTTATTCTTGGATGTCGCCCAATCGGGGTGATGCGCTTAGTCATTTCCGAGTCTCCCAAAAATGACAGTTAAGGGAAGGGATCTTTATTAGATTACATGTAGATGTACTCGTATAGATCATATTCCAAGGGTTTGCAAAGCTAAAGAGACAAGGTATCATGTGCTCGCAAATCTCTCCGAAATGGTCGATGTGAGAGGGAGGATAATGAAAGAAAATGAATCAAAATGATATGGAGAATCCAGTAACTCCACTATGACATCTCCAGTATGAGATCTGAGACAGGAACCAAGACAGAAACAGCCAACTGATTCGCAACACCAAATATGCAGCCTGCCTAGTGCTCCACAGGCACATGGGTAAAGTAGAAACGCCAGCAGCTCATTCACAAGGCAAAGTACTCAACTGATGATAAAACCCCACTGCGCTCAAAAAGATGGGGAGATAAATATGATGGAATAGATAGATATGCATAATCATTATATGGCAGGTTAGATCAGATGAGATTGTATGAGATCAGATCAGTAAATGCGAGAAATCAGGCGTCGGGCATCAGTTGGTCACTGTCACTGCCTGGTGGGATCGATGGTGGAGGATCGGAGAAGAGAGTCCGATGTCGTGGTGGGACGGCCAGCTCGTTGTCGTCAACGGAGCTGATACCCGGTGTGCTCGAGGAACTTTCAATAGCGGTGTCATCATAGTCTTCCAATGGAGGAGAGAAGGACCAGACCTGTGGTGATTAGCAACCGTAATATATCTGGAAGATCTCGAAAATTAAAACTCACTTCCATAACCGTACGGCCAGATCGACTAGCCATAATGACAGCTTTCTCATCTTCAAAGGCAACCCTCCATACAGCCTCAGCCGGAGTAGAAAGCTCTCGGAGCAGCTGACCAGTCTGGAGATTCCAAACCTTGACACGACCATCGCTGCCACCACTGACAATACGAGTCTTATCAAACTGAAGACTAGTCACACTGTTATCATGCGCCGCAAGCCGGTGGATGGGAGCCATCTTAGTCAACGACCAGACACGGACAGAGCCATCAGAACCACCCGTCACCAGCGTATCATCGCGCATCTGTAATTGTCCGACCAAAGACGTATGGCCCTGCAGAATGGCATGACATTGACCAGAATGAGGATCCCAAATCCGAACGCTAGTATCCAGACTTCCCGTCGCGATCCGACGCCCGTCAAAGGCAATCGCGTAGATCTGACTGAAATGGCCCGACAGTGTCCGGAGACAGCGTCCTTGAGAGATACTCCATATCCGAGCGGTCGTATCGTAGCTACCTGATACAACGAGGTCGCCATGGATCGCAAGACAGCGCACGCTTGCTTGGTGTCCGACAAGTACTTGCCGGCAGGTCCCCGTGGACAAGTCCCAAATGCGGAGAGTTGTATCTCTTGATCCTGAAATGGCGGTGTTCTTGTCGGACATCTTCAAACAGCGGACAGTTGATGTGTGACCCCGAAGTAAATGAATTCCCGCTCTGCCTGGCGTTAGCACCACTTTTCATTTTTGGAGGTCGGTGTCTGCCTTACCCAGTAGCCATATTCCACACTCTGACTTCACGATCGCAGCCTCCGCTGACCAAAATGTCGTCCCATGGGACCATCGCCCATACACCCATCACATGGCCCTGAAGCGTCTTCTGGTTATCACCGTTGGTATCATACACATGAATCTTCGCATTATCCAAAGCAACGACGATATACTTCGGCGTAAGATGCAGACTAGTAACGACGCCTTGGTCAGGAGTGATATGTCGCTGGGTACAGCGACCACCCTTATTCCACGCTGATTCAACCATGTATTTCTGCTTGAACTGCGAACGATAGGAGACAGGACGGGTGCGACGTCTTCGCGACGGGAAGCTGGTGGGTGGCAACCATTCACCTGACAGGGTGCGGGGAAGGTCCGGTTCGCTCTCGGTAGACTGGCCGTTTGACGCGGTTAAGCGCCGCTGCAGGCCGCTGAAGGTTCGTGCGCCGGATGTCGAGTCCACGGGATGAGCGGTGAAGGGGTCAACCAAGTCCCCTTCATCTTCCAGCACTCGCCGCACTGAATATGCATGCTTTTCGCATAGGTTCTTCCATGTGATGTCATCGTTTAATAGTTCTCGCCAGCGTCGGGATACTTGAGAGGCTCTGGCGAGGGTTTTAGGATCGTCGATAAAGGAGAGGACCTGGGGAGAAACAAATTAACACTGGATCGGAGTAACGGCAAAATAAATCACGTAGCGTACCCTCAAGCATAGCTCGTTAGGAAAGACTTGGAATGGGTCTTTTCTTAATCGAGGACCAACGTAACTCGACACGAAACTCAGCTGTTGGCTGTCGCATACATCTAAAAGACCTTCCAGAAGTTTCTGTTTCCGGGCATTTGATAAAGTGCTGAATTGTATGCGAAGGTTCAAGAGGAAACTGCTCTCTTCATCATCGGTCGAGTGCCAGTTGGGGGGTCGTTGATGGGGAGTCGGGCTCGGCGCAGGAGTCGGGGGCGATGCGGGCGCCGAGGGGAGAAGATTTGCAGGTAAAGGGGTGACGGTTTTCTTAGTACTGAGAGATCTGGAGGGAGTGCTTGTGAAGCTGTTGACCGTGTCGCGGGACGGCTGAGAATGAGGGCCCAACTGCTCCACTGTGTGCGCATTCCCTTCCCCTAAGTCGCTGAATGATGCCCGATGGGAGTCCATGGCGAGTAGAACAGAGGAACAACCCCTGAGTTATTATAGCGACTTCTTCCAAGGTTCCGATTCGCAGTTATCGATAGTGCCAGACACTCAGCCTTGTAGCGTCCACGTCAGGCATAGAGGAATTCGGGAGTTGGTGGTCGGGTGTGAGAGAGGCTGGCCGGAGGATGGCAAGGAGGTAAGACGAGTAGTCCCCCGGGGTATATATGCGAGTGAATGAATATCAAGATGCAACTCAAGAGGGGAGAAAGGAATCCAAGCGGAGACGATGTCGTGCCCGGGTCCTCTGACAAAGCCGCCAAGCTCTTCTCCGGACTCGAGATGGGGGTCTATGCATCGGGTAGGGATCGACCCCTACCCTTTAGAAATACATGTATTTTGCCTTTTTGCCTTTTGCCTTCAAAGACAATGAACTTCGGTAATGGCAAAGAGGCAACGAGCCGTAGCCCGCGATAGTCCGGGTCGGGGAGCCCGAAGCGCTTTTCCCCGGCCAATCCTCGGTAAACTATGGCGGATTATCGTGAACAGGCAACTTGCTATACTTCCCAAGTCCTTGGATACGCACGCGGCTCTGTCAGGGACCATGGAACTTGGCCGGGTTGCCGATGATTCAGACTGACGAGCCTTGACGAATCTTGTCATCACCCCACGGATGACATGATTTAAAGAGTGTCGAGTCCCTCCTGGGGATAGTCAGGTCTTAAATACCTACGGCCTATGGCATAACGCTACGTAGATGTGATCGTGAGATACCATGCAATTATGACCAACACTCCATTTGCCAGTTGTACAAGTCTAATAGAACAGCCTATTCTCCTCTATCCAATCTCCCAGCTAGACCCGTCAACGTCAGTAAATGTTAAACAAATAGGGTATATGCTCTCAAGATGTGAACTTTTCAGCGAAACGTAAAAGCAGCATGACACATCTTTAGAACTGTGTACCTGTTTAGTGGGCATGTCCGATCTGCAAGAACAGAGGCAGGATCATGCCCAAAACAGAAGCAATCAAGTCTCTCAGCGACTTGTCCGATCCACTCTGATCCCGGTCACCATATCCGTTGACGGGCAGTTCGCGTGGCGATGAGCCCGGGCCATTTTCTTGCATGGTATGCATAGCAACGTACCTAGAGGATCAGTAAAAAAAACCAAGTCAGTCATCTCGGAAAACTTACAAGAAAGTGCCTCCGGAGAAAAGCAGAAGCATTCCAGTGCGCCAGTGAGTGCCTGCCTCATCGGCGGTGGAAGATCCCATCATCTGTACAAAAAGGAAAGTGGCCAAAGCGCCGAGCGGAGCAGCAAGACTGAAGACCAGTAGATGCGCTCTGGCTGTACGGCTTGACAGGCCCTGCTTGAGCAGGACAGAGGTCAGACCGAAGGACGCGGGTGCCTTGTGTACCATGATCGCCAAGAAGATAATGAAGCTCAGCCCGGTATCGGAGCTGGATGCGCCCAAGGCAATTCCGTCCGCCGCAGCATGGATCACCAGGCCGGTGGTGGTCGCGAAGCTGTGGCCACGTCTGGCGTGGTTTGCATCCAGCAGACCTCCCTCGCGAGAGGGCGAGGAGCCCCGTCGCAGTCCCGATCCAAGGTTATCCAGGGAGATATGGTATGGGGTCCGGTCGGTTTTGGTAGGCGCTGCAAATTCGGGTAGTTTGTCGACGAGGTACATCAGGATGAATCCGCTGATGAGGGCGATTCCAATCCACGCATGGGGCGAGCTCTCCTCATTTTCGTCGCTTGATCCTTTGCTTGATTTGTCGCCCGACGATTCCTCCTTCCGGGCACGCAGCCGCTGCGAGTCGGTTTCGTCAATGCGAATGATGGGCACTGTCTCTTCTCTTTCCAAGGGCAGACCTGGGACAACAGCATCGGATGGAATGTTGGCGCTGGCTTCATTTGAACCAAAGGCGGCTGCCACAGCGGGTGCCTGGTGCCATTGGACAGCTGTCGCCCGGGTATTGAGTTCCTTGGGATTGAGGGAGTTGGCGCTGTAAAGGGTCTCGATACCTTCCGGGATAATCACGATCAAAGAAGTCCCTACCAAAACTCCCATGCCAATGGAAGATATTAATCGTAGTTGGGATGGGGAGAGCGTAAAGGCGAGAGGTAATGAGCCAACGACAAAGGATCTGCCAATCAAGAACTGTTAGCTGTTGCTTTGAATAGATAGCCAAGTGGCTCACGTTACTGCCATCACAATGCTCAAAGCGAGCAGAGTGAATAGTCCCTCCATGATGTGCAAACTAGACGTCAATCATGGTGAGGTGGAGAGTAACGTGTCGGAAGGGCAGAAGTTCGGGACCCACGTCAGGTACCGCTTTCGATCAAAACACAGGGGAGGTATGAGTTCAAGGAATTCAGGGACCAGCCTACATAGGGCTCTGCAAGACTGACTCTAGATTGTATTGTCGGACTGTAACAAGACTGCACGAAGTATACAGGGTCGCCCTGGTTTGCCCCTCTGGCCCTTGTTGCTTTTCTCGTCGATCTTTGTTCTATTTACGGGGTACAGCCCCTAGTATATGGATTGTTAAATCACGAAGGCCATCATTCAAGTTTAGCAAAATTATATGAAATATATTCTACAAGACTCTCTATTTTAAAACATTAAATACCATCAGTTACGGTCTACCCCGCGGTCCTTATCGCGTCTGAAGTTCAAAGTCACGGCTGACATTCGCCTCCTTTGGGCACTCGGAATCCCAAGTAAGGTAAATATCTCGCCGGATGCCAATAAACGAACAGGGCGACGCATGGATAGATGACGAGAGCATCAAAGACATACAGGGGCCATTCATGCGTATTCAGGTAACCAGTATTGCCCTCCGTGAATTCCACCAGTCGATAGACAGACCGAACCTGATACGAATTAGCAATGAAAAGGAATCAAAGTGGAAAACTCACAAGAATCAGAATTGTGGTGAGATTAACCACTCGCAACAAGGCAGGCCAATGCTTATTCTTGGCAATGCCATCAATTATATACTCCTTCTCCCCAAGTTCCTCGTATCGCTCACTGAGCGATTTTGCAAATCGTTTCGATGTAAAGTTGAAGCGTACAGCAGCCACGGCAAACAAGCCAAAAGCCGCTAGCTGGATAATAACGCCAGCCTGTGCAATGTGCTTTCCTCTACCAAGCTTGTCCTGTGCATCTATATCCGTGGAATCGACCGAAGAAATCATCACGGCACCAATAAGCTGGAGCAGCAGAGCGACGATATCAAATCCAACAAAGATCGGTGTGATCCATCGGGGAGGGACCCAACACAGTCGTAGAGTGCGTGCCTCTTGGGGGACTATAAGAATCAGAATACGACTGAACAGGATATAGCAACAAGCGGCCATGAGAACCGGAGCGAGGATGACAAGACAGAGTTGAAGGGCGTAGATTGATCTATCAGTTACGTTCTGGACAGAAACACAGCGGGCAATGTATCCAACAGCTTCCACTGGTATGGGTTAGATCTGAAGAAGTGAAAGAGTCCGAATATACTCCAAACCCAGGCTTTGTATCGAATCCATTGGACCAATGTCAATATAAAAGCAATGGTATAGAGGGCGGCTGCAACAATTGATACAGCCAAAGATGGATTGTAACGATAATAAGAGGGGTTCTCCCTCGTAGCCCTGTTGATCAACGACATTGAAGTAAATGACTTTGAAGTGCTATGAGTATATCAGTGCAGGGGTCCCACCTTTATTAAACCGTAAAATCGGGATTAAAGTGCCCGAAGTCCGGTTATACTGTACAGTACTCAGCCACTTGTCAGATTTGGTATATTCCAGGCTCCCACCAAAGCCCGCCACTTTCATCCGCGAACTAAACGATGAAACAATTACCCAATTAGGCCATGCCAAGCATCAACCAGCGAATCGTCTTGGCCAACAGGCGATGAAGTGGATTCAGCCCCAGAGCTCAAGTCTCCCACATGGCCATCTAGTCTACGAAATCCTTCCTATTTTAGACCTGAAAGACGACACATTCGCATAGCAATGCCAATTCATGGTAACCCAAGCAAAGGCTGTTCGAGCTGCCGCAAAGACGAATCAAGGTACTGGTAGCTAAGCCTCATACTTGATCGGAAACTAACATGGTCTAGTGTGACCGGCTGGATCCTATATGCTCGCAATGCAAGCGACCCAACAAAGAATGCGGCGGTTATCGGGACCTCCCATCTCTGATATTCCGCAATGAGAATGATAAAACAGCTCGACGGAGCGCAGAGGCGAAAGCCAAAACAGTGGCTCGTCGAAAGCTGGAGGATACGGCAGCTTTAGAGACTGATATATCAAGCCCTATCCCACGATCCGAGCGTGTTCCGACAGATACTTTGCTTTGTAGAAGAGCGGATCAGTTGCTTCTAGCTTCTCCACGCATTGCCGTCTCCTCCCCGGTGGAGGAACAAGGGCTGAAGTTCTTTATTAATCGTTTTGTGACACCGAAACTTGCCAGACCTGATGGTTCCCCACATGCACTACAGCCTTCCCATTATTTTAGGGCAATGAACTATGATCAGTCGGCTCGAGATGCCGTCGTCTCGGTGGGCCTTGCTGCCATGTCCAATGTCAATCGTGACAAAGCACTGCGAACATTATCGAGAGAGAAACATGCCACTGTCATCAGTGCTGTCCAGAAGGCAGTGGGTAATTCTTCCCAGGCAAATCCAGACAGTACCTTTCACATGATTGTGATGTTGAGCTTATACGAGGTAAGGCATTAGATGACCGCAATGCTATTACTTTTCCAGTCCAATCACTAACTCGCGCAGATGGTCAGTTGCTCCCCAAACCAAATAGATCGCTGGACAGTGCATCTAGACGGTGCTTCTGCGTTGCTCAGACAATCAACGTTCAAACGGGCAATGACGACTTTGGGCCATCGTGCACAATTGCAATTCTACTTTGCATCAATCGTCAAATATTTCCTGCCGAGAAGAAATATTCCCCCGGATTTGTTAAACTGGTCACCAGAACTCATGGCATCTGCACCACTGGAGATTATCCCAGCTGCCAAGCTTGTCGACATATTGATAAGATTCATGAAGTTAACGTATCTCTGCGGGGAAAAGACCACGACCCACGAACAGTAGTCACCTCAGCATATGTGTTCGAGGCCGAGCTTCGAGAATGGGAGACCACTCTTCCAGAAATATGATCCTTCATCACGAAATATTCAGATGAGTCAGATGATCGCCAGTATACCTTTTATGGTCAATATCATGTCCACAGAGACTTATGGGTCTCAAGAGTTTTCAACCACTTTCGCTGGGGACGGCTGCTGGTTAACGAGCTAATATTAAGCCAAATTTCAAGCATGAGATGGCCCATGGCAGATGACTTTTTTCAACGACAGCAAGCATTGCATTGGACACGATTTCTTGCTCGGCAATTGGCATCTGCGCCGGAACTGCATGTGCCACCACTCAACGGTATATTCATGCTGCTTTTCCCGTTGTCTGTCGCTGGCGGTACAGCTGGGGTACCGGATGAAGTTCATGAATGGGTAATTAGCACTCTAGAGCGAATAGGGCGTACCATGGGGATCCAGCGAGCCATTGAAATGATACCACAGCTAAAGAAGACCCATGGGGCAATGGAAAATAGACCAGGAGCGGTGGCAACGGAGATATATGTAATAATAGCTAATAGTTCACATGAATAACTTAGACAGTGAATCTTGCAATACAATGAGTATGAAGTCACGCTAGTCCGGATTAGGCCGTGATTTAATGACGCGGCGGACCTGACGCGGGTAACGCGCGCTTTTGCTCTTTCTTCAACCATTTGACCTTCACATCTCAAATCCATACAGTCAAAATGGCGAGCGAAGCCGGATGTAAGTGGCATCAAGATGCGCCAGCAATCAATGAGCACTAATTGATCTTCGATGCAGGGTCTTGCGACGCCAACGATGCGGTCCACATCACCGTTGTTCAACCGGGCGAAAAGAAGCCCAAGACACTATCGACCTTCCACCCTCAATTCACATATCCTATCTTTGGCGATGATGAACAGATATTTGGCTACAAGGGGTTAATTATCCGTTTGCGCTTCGCCGCTCATGATCTGCGGCCTCACTGTCACATTTCCTACGATGAGAAGTTCAAGCCAATCGGCGATACACAGGCTCTCAATCTTCTCGATACACTGAAGCCTTTTGTTCAGGAAGGTGGGTCCGAAATTTTGTCCCATATCAGTGACATAAACTAAGCATGATTGCGCAGAGGCATTCGGCAATCTTCAAGACTACGAGAAAGCCGTCCAGGACGACCCAAACGCTAAGGACTTCAAGCCCCCAGGGGAGTTTGTAATTGGATACGATGTTGGAGACAGGAAATATGAGGTTTGGGCTGGATCACTTGCAGACCCGGAAGTGCGCAAACTTTTGGATCGAGTCCAGGTCCTCGTCTCTCTTTTCATTGAGGCCGGAACCCCTCTGGAGACTGATGACCCAGAATGGACGCTCGAGCGGTGGACTGTCTACTTCGTGTGGGTATTTATTTTGCTTGCTGGCTTTTATAACCCAGGCTAATCAATAATGCAGATATGAGAAGGTGACACCTCCAACACCGACGGCCTCGTCATACTCCATCGTTGGATATGCCACAACATACCGCTATTGGCGTTACCAGCGGGATCTCTCGGAGACGCCCACAGTCAAGAATGGTGACTTTCCACTACCCGAAGTCAAAGTCTCCGAGCTTCCCTCCCGGATTCGCATTGCGCAGTTCCTCATTCTCCCTTCACACGGCCGCTCCGGTCATGGCAACCAACTATACACCACAATCCACGCCGCCTGCATTGCAGACCCGACCGTAGTGGAATTGACCGTCGAAGATCCCAATGAACAATTTGACGCACTACGGGACACAGCTGATTACACTCTGCTGCAACCAGAGTTCCTGAAAAACAATGTCAACCTCAATCCTGATCCGCATGGATCGTATTCGCAAAAGAAACGCCCGCGCGTGGTCCCTACTTCCGCACTGATCCCTACCAAGGTTCTCCAAGATATTCGCACATCGTTCAAGATTGAAACCACCCAGTTCGCACACATCCTGGAAATGTATCTACTGAGCCAGATTCCTAAGAGTCACCGCCTGGCTGGTGGCACGAACCTCGCCCGGCTCTTGATCAAAAAGTACAAGGCTACTGACGAAAATGACCGTCGGTACTACTGGTGGCGCATGCTCACCAAGCAGCGTCTCTATAAGAAGCACAAAGAACTCCTGAATGAATTGGAGCTTCTTGACCGGGTGGAGAAACTCGATGCTACAGTCCAAAACGTGGAAGAGGGATATGAAATCACATTGGATGCGCTTGAGGCTCGGATGTCAGAGGGTGGTGCGGGAGAACATGGGGAGGGCTCCGAGGGAGAGTGGGAAGACCTGCGAGAGGTTGGAGCTCCCACCGGAAGCCGCGACAAACGTGTCAAGCGTAAGCTCACGGTCATGGACGATGAAGATGAGGAGGAGGATGAAGCTGGGCTTGCCAAGCGGCCAAAGGTTTAGACTCGCCATGAGCAGCTCTTTCTACATGTTGTACTATTAATTATTATCCCAGGGCTTGGGATGATGAAATGAGAATCTGATTTCCTACTAATGTCTCAATGAAATTGAAAGTAACCAAATGTCTCAGAAGTAATCGTTGATAGAAGTAATCGTTAATAGTATGTGGATATGCAGAGATATAAAAAAGACATCCGTGGATGGCAGTCGACCCGAGCCAGATTGGGCTCGGCGCTTCTCTTTTTCCGGCCGCCTCCATCGCATCTCTTGGAGCTTGATTGAATCCATTGCTACACTTAACATCTCCAAATAAGCCAACAGAGCCCTTCACTGGGCCCTAGTTCAATTACTGAATCCATATTCGACTGTGGATCTGCACACCGCGCTTTTCTGAACCCGTGCGCTATCCTTTAAACCTCCCACTTTCACCCACTTCGTCGATCGCATTCCAAGATGGTAAGCTCCAGCTCCTCAGAACCCTCTCTGGATATACTTTGACACTATATTATACAGCTTCCCCTCGGCCTGCTTACGGCCGCCCAAGGCCACCCCATGCTAGTGGAGCTGAAGAACGGCGAAACCCTCAACGGCCACCTGGTCACCTGCGACAACTTCATGAACCTGATTCTCCGCGAGGTGGTACAGACAAGCCCGGAAGGCGACCGCTTCTTCAGATTACCTGAAGTCTACATCCGAGGCAACAACGTATGTGATGAATCACCCCGCTTTGCCATTCCATATACTGACAGTCATCCAGATCAAATACCTACGAGTCCCCGAGGAAATTGTCGATATCGTCAAGGAACAGCAACAGAACCAACCACAAAACCGTCGCGGCGGTCACGGGAGAGACGGTGAGCGTGGCCGCGGCCGCGGTGGCGGTCGTGGTGGACGTGGCCGGGGTCGGGGTCGAGGCAACTAAAGAGATAAGCCTGCATGATTTAAGAAGAAGTCAAACGAGATACCCCCGGAGGAGACGGTGGTAAGGTCGCTCGGAAGGTCCGGTGGAACGATTTGATCGAGCATGGCCGTGGCGTATCGGGCTCTGTATTTTCACGGGATCTGGGTCACTTCGATTTACACCTAGAAATTTTACAACTAAAAACCCGGACTTGAGCTCTCTTTTCCTGTAAACTGTCAAGCATATATTTCCCGGCGCGAGGATTGTGGGATGTCACGTGATATCAAGTCGAGATCAAATCCGCGGAGTTCAACAGTCCAACTTAGTAGATGCGAGCCAAAATGTCACGGCGAGCGCTGGTTCTTGATGGACTATGGTATTCCCTATGTCCATCATTTACCACTACCTGTCGCTCAACAATATTTCACAAACTCAGCCGAAACTTGGGGATATCGCGGTTCCCCCCGATCTCCATCGTGAATTCGACCTCAAGACGGTGCTACAGCAACACATTCGGCAACAACCCCAATCCGACCCAATACCCAGACTATAATAATTCCCAAACACCCCGAGACCTGAACTCAAACGGGAATCCCGAGCAAGATGGTACTTGGCCCAGCCAGAAAACCCGGCGCGAACACATGCGACCACGGAAAAGTTGGCATCCCCGAACATACCATAAGGTGCAGGAAGACCTCCTCAACAAGCCAGATCATGCGCTAGAGGCGCTGTTACAATACATGGCAGATAAACAACCGAACCTTCGACACACAACACAAGTGCTGCGGCTGCTCATTCGGGATCGTCATATCCGGCCAACAGCTCGCCACTATAAAGCATTGATCCTCGCCAATACAGACTGCGAGCGGGGATCACCAGAGATAGTGCGTGGACTACTGGAGGAGATGGAGGAGAACGGGATTACAGCGGACTCGGGTACACTTCATGGTGCATTGCAGGTAGGTGACAGTTTCGCACGGCGTGAATTGTGAATTGAAGCTTACCATTGAATTTCCACAGGTCCTCGCTGTACACCCGGACTATTTACTACGACAGGAAATCCTCTGCAAGCTTCGAGACCGGTGGCTTACGTTGAGTCCGGCCGGGTGGCATTTCGTGGTGGCCGGTCTTCTCCGCGAGAACCAGATCGAGCTTGCGCTTGAGCAAGCTGCGCTAATGGAGCGAAAGGATATATTTGTGGAGAATTGGCTACATGGTATGATTATTTACACGCTTTGCGACCATCAAGAGTTCCATGAGGTGTTCGACTTGATGCGCGCTCGAGTCGACCAAGGCCATGACATGAGCAATTCTCTTTGGGCACATGTCCTGACCACGGCAAGCGAAGCTCTCCATCATCCTACCGTTCGCTTCGTATGGCGGCGCATGGTTGAACTGGACTACATGCATCCACCGGCTGAAGTCTGCGATAACGTTCTAAAGGTGGCATCCAAGGTTGGCGACACGGAACTTTCGAGCTCTGTGTTCCGCTACCTCGATCAGAAAAATATTAAACTGGGTCGCGGGCAACATGAGCATCTTGTCGAGGCGCATGTGTCAGCTGGTAACCTCCCAGCTGCGTTTGAAGCACTCTGCGCCATGCATGAATCCGGAACCCCGCTTGCAGACTCCTCGACTGAGGCCGTCCTTGCATATATGATCGAAAATAAAACCGATCGCCGGGAGGCCTGGCAGATGCTGAAGCGGCTGAAGAATGAAAAACGGTCCATTCCCATCGAATGTGTTCGTGCCATCGTCGACCTCTGCGAACACGATGCCCACGAGGACCCATCAGTAGTCGACGATGGCGTGGGATTCTACAAAGAGCTCTACACCTTATGTCCCGAGGGGGCGGACGTCCGAGTCTACAACGCGCTGATTCGAATGTGCCGAACAGCGAAGAACCGCCAATCAGGCATGTTCCTAGTGAAAGAGATGGCGTCGCTTGGGGTTGTACCGAACGCAATTACCTTTGAGTCTATCATCCTCATGTGCCTGGACGCTGGCAATTTCCGCTCCGGCTTCATGTACTTCCAAGACCTGATCAAGCGGGACGCCAAGGTCAGTAAGGAAACTCAAAAGGAAATCCTCGAGATCTGTAGTGGATCAGTGGATGAATTCGCAATGCGACTGCAGTATCACCCTTCAATCAGAGAAGACGTGCAGAAGCTCGACGAGGAAATTCAGCAGCAGAAGGAGGAATGGAAGGAACTGGAGGAGTCGGGGAAACCTATCCACCCAGCGGTTCGTCGCATGAATATGCCGCACGACGAACGGGTCGCGTGGAACAAAGAACGCCGCAAGAGGAAACGCCGGTTAATGGCTATTGCGCGAAATAAGGAAGAAGGCCATTCCGAAAGTCCTGAAAATGGAGAAAATGGATCTCCTGAGTGAAACTACAGGGGAAGCTCTCCTGTTTCAATCAATAAATCGACGGCATGTTGCCTGAAATATGCAGCCAAGCTTCCTTCTGCATTCCCGAGGTCCAGGGGCAAAGAGTCCTCTCGGTCGGTATGTATATATATCAACTTCTGTACAACACATTGGGCCAATTGCCCGAACTTGGCACGTTTACATGTACTTCCCTGTTTCTTTGCTTTTGCCTTCTTGCTGTGTAAAATCCTGAAGTCTTGAACCACATTCCTGTGGACCCGGCTATAAATAGGCTCCGGTCATCTGAAACGCGCTTTCACTGACGATCAGGGCAAAGAGGTCGGATAGTAAGACCTTCGAAGGAGGGTCAAACGGCGACCGATACCAAGAGTCAAAGCAATATATCGAGAACTCAAAGCAGTTCGTAAGACTCCGTATATTCCAGAGTATAACGTTATAACGTTACGAGGTATCCCCTACATGTAAGTGATCGGCAGAGTGGGTTTCCAAAGACCAAGGGGAGAAATGAACCCTGCACTCCAACTATATAACCCCGACCTCTCTCCCAATTCCTGTCAACTGTCAACTCTCACCCTCAATTGTACTCTCTGTATATCATTGAACATATCCATCCTTACGTCAATAATTCATAATGCAACTCACAAACCTCCTCCCCTTCCTCGGCCTCGCCACTGCCCTCCCCGCCACCAACAACCTAGCCAACAGCAACACAATCACCCAAGAAATCGCCTGGAACGTGTCAAACTTCAAACTGGGCTGTTCGTCCGGAGGTTGCTACTACGACTTCAACATCACCGGCAACGGCAACAACTACACCCCCAAATTCAATACCCACTGCAAAGGCGCCGAGAACAAGAAGGTCTACTGCGACGACAAGAACATCACTACGACTGTCGTGCCGTCGGGTAATCCTCTCTGGACCGTTGACGTTACCCACCGCTGGAATACCTATCTCGATGCTGAGCACCATGATCTCGCGACTTGGTACCAGGAGGGCGCGAAGAATGTGACGGTGGTTGACCACAAGCCGTTCAACTTCACTATGAAGCCTACTGAGGAGTATGGTGTTGCGTAAACAGTTTCTCTTCTGTCTTTTTGGTCCCTATGTATCTTTTGAGGGAATTGAGTCCCTTGGGAACTGGTGTTTTTAATGTAATGGACTCTCGCTTGAGTCTGGTGCACGCCGGCATGTCGCTCCTTAATGTCTGGCGTTGGGCGCCTTTAGATTTGGATATAGTGGAATACTTCTTGTACTTATGATTCCTGAAGAAATTGACTGATCTATACTTTTCTCTATACTACATGGTACTTGTATACTTGATGGTACCTGATAAGTTACTTGATAACTATCTTGATATCTGGAGTGACATCATCGCTGCGCCTCACGCGACTCTGCCTCCGTAAACATTCTACATTCTTTGCAAGTAAGCTGCTCTCCAAAGATCGATACAATTCCATGTCCAAGTCCTGAATATCGCTCGCTACGAGCTACCCCTAATGGTAATACCAAGCTTCACTCCATCGGGGACACCGATACTAATCAACCCAGTCATCAATCCTCCGCCAAATAGTCGCAGGTCCAAGACTCCAACACCCAGAAGCAGGACTAGATCTCTGCTATGTAACCGACAACGGTATATATACACTCTCCAACCGCACCCACAACCAACCCCAAAAACAATGGCTGACCCACGCAGTGATCGCAACCTCCGGCCCCTCAGCAACCTACCCACAGCGCGCATACCGCAACCCACTAGACGCCCTAGTAACCTTCCTCGATAGCAAACATGGCAAAAATTGGTGTATCTGGGAGTTCCGCGCCGAAGGCACAGGATACCCAGACAGCGAAGTCTACGATCGAATCCACCACTTCCCCTGGCCAGACCACCACCCACCACCCTTCGCGCTGATCCCGAATATAATGGGCAGTATGCGAAACTGGCTTCAGCACCTTCGTGACAACAAAGATAAGAACAAGGAAAACGAAAAGGGACAGGGGCAGCGAGTCGCTGTGGTACATTGCAAAGCCGGCAAGGGGCGCAGCGGAACGGTCGCTTGTTCATACCTTATCAGTCAGGAAGGGTGGAAGAAGGAGGATGCCCTGCTGCGATTTACGGAGCGGCGGATGCGCGTGGGATTCGGGCATGGTGTTAGCATCCCGAGTCAATTGCGTTATGTTGGCTATGTGGATCGGTGGACGAACCAGATGGGGAAGCAGTATGTTGAGCGGCCTGTTGAGATCCTTGAGGTTCATATTTGGGGTTTGAGGGATGGGGTGAAGGTTGCTGTGGAGGGGTATGAGGACGAAGGGAAGAAGATCAAGTGTGTGCATTTGTTCCATCGGAGTGAACGCACTGTTGTTGAAGACTGTGATTCTGCGCCTGAACCTGAGTCGGAGGGTGGCAGTGGCAGCGGCGATAAGGGGTTGGATTTACCAACTGGGAAACCACTTTCGTCGGCTGCTACTTGGTCGCCTACAGCCTCGGGGTCACAATCCGACGTCTCGGGAACAAGCACAGACGCAGGAGCACCAGGGCAACGCCTACCCGCCATAATCTTCCGACCCAGCAAACCAGTCATAGTCCCAAACTCAGACGTGAACATCGACTTCGAACGACGCAGCAAAGCCTCCTACACAGGCTTCGCAATGGTAACATCCATCGCACATGTCTGGTTCAACGCGTACTTCGAAGGCGGCGCAGACCACGACTCAGGCGTCTTCGAGACAGAATGGAGCGCCATGGATGGGATCAAGGGCAGTGCGAGAAAGGGGATTCGCGCACTTGACAAGCTCAAGGTTGTATGGCGGTATCCCCCACCCGAATCGGTGGGTCTCAGTGTCAGTGCCACCGGCGAGGGTAAAGGGAAGAGCGTGGATACGACTGCTTCGGCGGAAGGGCGGCCGATCAGCGAGCCCAAGCCTGGGGATCCAATTCCCGAGAGTGAGCCTGCTGATTGGCGTGGCCATGCGGATAAAGATGAAGAAAAGGAATCATCAGAGAGTTCATCGGTAAAGAGTGCTTCGGCTGGTGTATCGGCGAAGGCGAAGGGGATGGCGCATGCGCTTGAGAAAGAACTTGGGTTGAGAAAACAGGGGGATGAGAGTAAGGATGTGAGTCTTGCTGGGAGTGAGGATGAGATGGGATTTACTACAGATGAAGAAGGGAGAAAGGTGAAAGCGAAGAAGAGTACTGAGGACGATGTAGGGTTGGAAGGGGTGAAGACGAGTCTTGGGAAAAATGGGGAGGATAAGGATAAATAGTATAGTAACTGCCAGCGTTGTATATGTGCATTTGCATTGCATTTTTGGATATACGATATACCTTTATGATCATGACTGTGTATTGGAATTGAAATATTGCATTGATTATGCTATGATCACAGTTCGTTTACTCTGCACTGTATACAAATGGAAATACACCAGACGCTGAAACATGAGATCTAGACGTAGCTGATTCTATCTAGTTGGGTACGTAAAATGGAGAGATGGGAAATGCGTCATCTCGTGCCTGCCTTGCAGCGACAGACAACCTTAGATCGATGTGTCGATCGACCGTCAAGCATCACAATTACAGAGGAACAAAGCCCTCCATCTTCTTCCGATGCTCCTGCGCCTCCTTATTCAAACGATCGGACTTCTTCCGCTCGTAAACAGCGCGGACAACACGACGGGTCTGCTCCTCACCTTGAGAAAAGTTGGCCCTGGCAAGACCAACAACGGAATCAATCTGCTCAGGCGTGTAGATGAAGTTCCACGTAGACAAGAAATCATCAACCTCGGGATCAATCGAATTGGGGTGAGGAGCGAGCGGTTTTTCAGGGTCTTTGGTCTGGGAGGCATCCTGTCTCATAGAGTGGGCTGCTGCACGGGGACGAGTTTGAGGCTTGGGTGGGACGTCTGGCGCGTCCGGGTTTGGAAGGAGAGGGAAGTAGACCACGGCGATACCGGCGTCTGGGCGCATGAGGTGGAAGTCTGATTCTGAGTGGTCTTCGCTATGGGGAGGATCGAAGAGCCGTTTCGATGGTGGAGGTTCCTCGTTTGAGGTGCGCTCTTCTGTGGTACCGACCCAGACGTTGCAGTAGCCTAGATCCGTACTGGCGCTGGAATTTTGGTCAGAGAGTGGCTTGCTCGAGCCATCACTTTTCGCTTTGTTGAGTTTTTTGGTTGCTTGGACGTCTGTGATATTTTGGGGTTCGCGCAGGGCGTTTTCAGCATCCGCGATGCTTGAGTTCGCTTTGGGCCAGCCGGCGCCGACTGGCCAGCCTTTGATACCACGCTGTTTGGCGTATCCATCCACGACAGAAAGCCAATTCTCTTGTTTGATGTCTGCAGATGCATCAAATGCAATAATGATATCGACATCACGTCCGGGTCGAATAAGTGGGTAGATTGGGAGGTTGTTGCTCATGCCTGCGTCCATAAGACGCAAGTGGTTGTTTCGGAAGATAGACTCTGGACAGGAATCGGGGAGTTGATCTTTCATGCCCATCACATAATTTGGTATGCCCGCAGGATCAATGGGGTGCACTCTGATCAGATCTTGGTTCTTGCCCTGGATGAGGGAATCGACACCACCAAAGCCAGCAAGACCCTTGACCAGTGGTCGGATCTCTTTGTAATAATGGGACAAAGTTGCACAGAAAGCGCTGCCCCAGACCCCCATCAGCCCGGGAACTCTCAACTCTGGAATAGGGAGATATTCAGAAGTAACTTCAGAGCGACCTGCGTTGAAGTGGCGACCCAGTGCCCAGGTAGGGATGCCGGCATTGAGTTCTTCACAGAAAAACTCATAAGGAGTAAACTCGAACCACTGAAACCACGCTTCGTTTCGTGATTTCCTCATCAGCTGTTCGGGTGTGGGCTTTTTTTGGCCCTTGGTATTCTCGTCATCGAGAACAGGGATCTCATGGCGGACTGCTGTGTATATAGGAAGCGGATGGGCTCCATCCATCAAATTGACTCTTTGGTTGGAGAGCTTGAAATCCCGATCTGAAACCCCAAGCTCTCCTCTCGGAACCAATAGTCTCGCTGCGAGGAGCAATCCGTAGATATCCACCAGTCCGAAATCCGCTCCAGGGTCGCCTTTCAACTTTTCCACAAAACCGCTAAGAAGGAGTTTGTTTGTCGGAGCAGTTGTCAGCAGATTAAGGGCTGCAGGCGGGAATGCAATATGAACACCAAGCCGATTCTTCAAGTGATCAACCAGCTTGTTGAAGTCCCGATGCGCGATGGACGAGTGGTACAGAGTCTGCAGCCAGCAGCTGCCACTGACACCGGCAGTGTAGGTGACACAGTCCCACAGCCCTGCTTCCTGCGCTGCCAGATACGAGCCAGTACCCGCAACAAGTGCGCGCAGACCACCTCCAGAGCCACACATGGCAATGACTGGGACATCGTCAGGATGGATATCCTCCTCGGCAATGCCGAGGTATGATGCCAATGCCTTCACGACTTTCTTTTGCCGATGGCGCCGGAACATCTGCTCCTCATCACAGAGATCACCGCTCACGCGTACCTTAGCATCGAGCAGAATTTCAGGATTGATATCCGGGTCCTGCGCCTCCTTCCAGATATCATCCGCCAATGAGCCAGGAGATAGAGAGAGCTCTCGCTGGAGCTTATGTACAGTAGCTGGGATAAACCTTGCCCAGTCCGGAATAATCATGTTGGTAATGCTGCCCACGTCTACCCATTCAGCAGAGCCAACAGTATGCTTGACGCCATCCAGCTTGTGCACAATGTTATTCCAGATGGAGCCATAGTCCTTCTCTTGGTCAGGGAGACCTGAAGATGCACTGGACTTAGGATCATCCGTAACTTGCGATTTGGAGGTGCTGAAGCGCGCTTTCGCTCTGGGGTGAGACCATTCCCCCACAGTATATGCAGCTAGGGCGGCCGGGGGAACCGTCCATTTAAGTCCAGTTACCCTCGCAGCACCCATTGTCATGAGAGGAGAAGGTCGGACGGAAGAGGCATGCAGCATGCAGGTCCATTGAAAGTAAGAAAAGGTAAAAGGCCAACCCTGCCTACTTTTCCAAGCCACTGCACGAATCGGGATCTGGCGATTAAGCATGACGTAATCGCTCAACAGTTTGCTACCACATCATGCCATGCCACTGTCGTCTGTTGGTAGCTGGTAAAAAGTTATCCAATCTACAATATTCATATGATCAAATAATTGTTTCCATCACATCAATTGGACTGTTTAATGTCCAAATGTGCCAACTTTCAAGCTCTACGCACGTGATCCGATATCACGGGCCGAGCTGCTTTGGGACTAGCGTGCCAAACAGTCTGGGGTGCTTATCATCGGAGGTCGGAGGGACACTTCATACCTACACTCACCCTAGACATGACCGTCTCGGGCATGGTCTTTGATTGCTTTGATTGAACTTTCACTATGGTGGCTCGGAATACTGCTTACGCTGAGGAGAGCGCAGAGGTCGAGGTGTTGTACGCCAACCTCGAGAAGCTCAACCGCCTCACAAAGAAGATCCAAGGGTCTATGGTGCGCCTAGAGACAGGCGGGAAAGTCGTGAAGGAAGCCATTGGCCCTATCTACAGCAACACTCAATCCCTGCAAATTACAAACAGCAACATCGACAAGGTCAATGATGCGATCGATCGCCTGCGCCAACCCCTCGATGCGAAGAACCGAGAAGATGGCATCATCCGTGCTGGGTATATGGCTCTATTTTTCTGTCTGGAACTGTGGTTTACTGACTCCCCCTTAGACCGCAGAGCTCCGGCCTCACACATTATCTGTCGGCAATGAAACGTGTTGAAAAGGCGCTGGTCGACCTCAACACGACAAACCTGCGCTCCAACCAAAATGCGATTTCCGACTTCAATGCACTTCTGAACACCGGTAGTGCCAAGCTCCAGGAGATGCTACGGATGGAGTTGAATCAGCACTCTACTACCATTGAACCCCTACATTATCTGACCAAAGGTACCCATGTCGCCCAACTGACGAGGCCAAAACTAATACAAATTTCTTTCAGATCTACTTTTCCCGTCCATCCCTGAAGAAACAATCTCTCGTTTAGCGCCTCTGTGCTCCGCGATCGGCTCCGCATCCGTTTATGGACCACAGCGCGGCAAGGGGGAGAACCCCGCGCTGAAGGTATACGCGGAGGTACGGGGACCCTATATCAAGAACAGCCTGCAGAATCTCTCTATTGCATCCCTCAATACTGTTAAACGCCGACCGACCGATGGTCCCTACAGACAAGGCACCAATGGTATTGGCATCTATTCCAATGCGTTGGAGGGCTTCATCACAACAGAGCACAAAATTATCACTGAGATATTCACTGGAGACCAACAAGGTCTGGCTTTGCAGGCCACCTTCCTCTCGGCCATGGGTGAATACTCCAAAACATTGCGCGAGCTCAATCAGTACATCAAGGCCAATCTAATGACAGATTGCTTCCTCGCATTTGAGATTATTGAAATTGTGACAGCAATGTCCTATCGAATTGACACCAAGTCTGCAGAGCTCAAAAGCCTTTTGATTGAGGCCCTGCGACCTGTCCGTGACACTGCGAAATCGTCCCTCTCTGAATTGCTCGAAGAAACGAAGCGCAAAGCTGCTACCACACCACTTCCGCCAGACGGCGGATCTGTGCCACTCGTGGAGGAAGTGATGAGTTCATTAGCCACACTGACTGGCTACTCAGGCCCATTGGCGTCTATTCTAACATCCTTGGGAGACGGAAATTGGCGTACCAAGTCCAATGCCGGGGGAAGCGCTCCTTTGGATGTGGGTCCGGATAGCGGCACCCTTCTTTCACATTTCATTCTGGACATGATCGAGGCCTTGATGACCTCTTTAGAAGCTCGTGGTCGGGCATTCCACCGATCCAAGGCTGCACTTGGTGTGTTCTTGTCTAACGTTTTCTGCATTGTCGACCGATCCATCCGACAGAGCCCGGAACTGGCACGTTACCTGGGCGCGCCCGACAGCATCGCCAGGATCGACACGTTCCGCAAGCGTGCAACATCCACTTACCTAGATGCATGGAAGGAAACTTCCCAGTACCTCCTCGATGTTCAGTACACCTCCAGGTCCGGAGCACGAGCTAGTTCTGGAGGCGCGACGGATTCAAGTGCCATTGTCAAGAGTCTGTCGTCTAAGGACAGGGATGCGATCAAGGAAAAGTTCAAATCCTTCAACGCAAGCTTCGACGACATGTTGTCTCGGCACAAGAACCTCTATATGGAGCGTGAAGTGCGCACTGTGCTGACTAGGGAGCTACAGACTGTTCTCGAGCCTTTGTATGCGCGCTTTTACGATCGCTATGTCGAAATCGACAAGGGTCGTGGCAAGTACATCAAGTACGACAAGGCCAGCCTGTCTGTGCAACTAGCACAGCTGTCTTGATCACATAACGAGCAGATTATACAAGTTAATACCATAATGCCAAATTCTCCAACTATATGTCACGTGATATATGTAGATCTTGATAACGTGACTGATAAGCCCCGCTAATCGGGCTGCGGCAAAATTTCCTGCTCGCACATTGCCTTGTCATTGTCTATTCGTCCATCTTGTAACTCAATTTGTCTTTTTGAGTCCTCAGACAATACCGACGGAATGTCCGGAAGCAACGATGTCTACCAGACCCCCCTCAACTCGCGTTATGCGAGTAAGTCGAACCATACCCCTCATAGAGGGGCAACCCCGGAAAACGTATAGATACTAATCACAGTCAATTGATAGGCACTGAGATGAAGTATCTCTTTTCTCCTCGCAAGCGTTTCTCCACTTGGAGACAGCTTTGGACCTGGCTCGCGGAGGCCCAGAAAGGTACGGGAGAATATCAAGTCATGACCGACATCGGATGTTGTTGACGGGAGCATCCAAATTGACTGAATTGGCTACAGAGCTTGGCCTTCCCATTACCCAAGAGGCCCTCGATCAGATGAAGGCCCACGAGGTCATTCAGGATGACGAGTTCGCAGTTGCCGCCGAGGAGGAGAAGCGCCGGAGACACGACGTCATGGCCCACGTCCACGCCTTTGGACAGGTCGCCCCTGCTGCCGCCGGTATCATCCACTGGGGTGCCACCTCGTGCTACTGCACCGATAACGCCGATCTAATCCTGCTCCGCGATGGTCTCGACATCCTCATTCCCAAGCTAGCCGTTGTCGTCGACAAGCTGTCCCAGTTCGCTCAGCAGTACAAGGACCTGCCTTGCCTGGGTTTCACTCACGGTCAACCCGCCCAGCTTGTCACTGTCGGCAAGCGTGCTTGTCTCTGGATCCAGGATCTGCTGATGGACCTGCGCAACCTCGAGAGAGCTCGTGATGACCTGCGCTTCCGTGGTGTCAAGGGTACCACCGGTACTCAGGCTTCTTTCCTCCAGATCTTCAACGGTGACCACGCAAAGGTCGAGAGGCTCGACGAGCTCGTCACCGAGAAGGCCGGCTTCAGCTCTGCCTTCATCATCTCCAGTCAGACATACTCCCGCAAGATCGATGTTGATGTCGGCAACGCTTTGGGCTCTTTCGGTGCTACCTGCGAGCGCATCGGTATTGACATTCGTCATCTTGCCATGCTCAAGGAGGTCGAGGAGCCTTTCGAGAAGGACCAGATTGGCAGCAGCGCCATGGTAAGATTCCTGTTTCGTGTGGTTAAGGTTTGTGGCTGATTATTCGCAGGCCTACAAGCGTAACCCTATGCGCTCGGAGCGTCTGTGCTCGCTCGGACGTCACCTGCAGAACCTCCCCAAGGATGGTCTGGACACCTACTCCGCTCAGTGGTTCGAGCGATCTCTCGTGAGTACACCGTCGCTTTGGGTGGAACATCGTATTGACTTTTACTAGGATGACAGTGCCATTCGCCGTATCAGCATTCCCGAGCTCTACCTGTCCGCTGACGCCTGTCTCATTCTCCTGAGTGAGTTTTACTTTGAGTATACGTTGTGGATTGTGACTAACTTCTATAGATAACGTCACCTCTGGATTCGTCGTCTACCCCGAGGTCATCAAGCGCCGTGTCAACGACGAGCTCCCCTTCATGGCCACGTAAGTGCCCAGCTTTGAATTGATACTCAATGCTAACATTATATTAGTGAGAACATCATTATGGCCTGTGTTGCCAAGGGTCTCTCCCGCCAAGACGCCCACGAGGAGATCCGTGAGTTCTCTACACCCACTCATTGAATCTCCAAGCTAATTCAACACAGGTGTCCTCTCCCACCAAGCTGCCGACAGCGTCAAGAAGCAGGGTAAGGACAACGACCTCATCGAGCGTATCCGCCGCACCGCCTTCTTCAACCCCATCATTCCCGAGCTCGAGACCCTCCTTGACGCCAGCACCTTTGTTGGCCGTGCTCCCCAGCAGGTTGAGAAGTTCACCACTACCGAAGTGGCTGCTGCCATCAAGCCCTACGCCGCTGTCATTGCCAAGGGCGAGACCTCTGCTCTGCACGTTTAAGCATGGAACTAGGCTTCAAGTCCAGATTTACGATAAAAAGAAGGGAAATGAATATAGAGGGAGTTATGTATATTGCCGAAATGAAAAGTTGAATAGCATCGGGCATGTCACATTCCTTGCCCCACTTCCCTACTTCCCCGATGCCCCGCGCACATCTGTGGCGTGAGAAAGAGATGTGCGATGTGCGATGTGCGATGTGCGATGTGCGTTATAGATGTGATATCATATATTCATTTTTGATTAAGGAACATATGAGCAACGTGAACACATTCTAAAACCCGCTTTTGCCTGTATGATATGCAGTAAGAGATGGAGCCGCCCAAACAAAGGAAAATAGACATGGAATGTATGAGCAGGCGGTTAACCTGACACTGAGAACTAATCAAACGCTGAGAACATGCAATCGTGCTGAAAAAAAAAAAAAACTAGAAACAAAGAAACAAAGACATAAGCGTAAATGCAGAAGAGAATGCAGAAAAAGAACGGACAAGACACGCAGGCAAATGCACAACAGCACCCAAGCTGCATAGCTCTCAGGCGCCACTTGGGTATCTGCATGCCCAACAAGCCAGAGATACAGACCTCATCCCCATCCCTAAGGAATATAGAAGGTCACGCGGGCCGAGGCAAGAACCGACAGCGAAGAGGATCCGTCAATCTGGCCTCAATGGCAACTCTTATCACCGAAAAATCTCCGGAGACAAGCCCGGCAATACACGGGAAAATGCGAGTGGGATGGGAAAAAAGAAGCGGAGCGCCGGTAAGCGCCTCCGACCCGACAAACCCCAAGAGGGAGCAGGATGTGCTCAAAGCCAGGAATCCGCCGCTCGGGCGTAGCGGAACAATTCCCCCCAGTATGCAGTATATCCCAATATAGAAAAAAAGACCGGTCACGAGGCCGGCATGATCAGGAGCAAGAGGGAACAGGGGACAGGGGACAAGGAAAGCAAACATGACATGCCAACCTGGACCCCCCACCAAGCCCCCTTCTCCCCTCCCCCCACTAAACCCAGCAGGCCCGACCAACCCAAGCAGACACCGTTGAGAGACAGCTCAAGCTACTCGCGTTGAGGCGGGGCAGACTCGGCAGGCGGGACGGGGAGGTAGAAGAGGTCACGGACCAGCCAGACGATATAGAGGACGGCGAGCACCCACAGCGAGGCCATGAGTTTGTAGGTTGAGGAGCGCCAGGTGACGCGGCGGATGAGGCGACGGCCATTGGGGCCTTCGATGGGACCGCGGCGAGGGGGGAGGGGGGAGGGAGATGAGGTTGAGGTTGGTGTTGTTGTTGGTGTTGTGGGTGGCCGTTTGACTGCATGAAGGGATAGGCGAGGGCCTCGTTCATCTCGCTGTGTGATGTTCGCCGGCGAGACATGTTGTGGAGGGCGGAGGGTATGGGAGTATTAGGTTTGTCTTTTTCGGAGGATTCTAGCAGAGTATATGTGTGTATTTTGGGTATGATATATGGAAAGAAAGAAAGAGGGAGAGATTGGGATTGGGATTGGGATGGGATTGGACTCTTGATCGCGGTTAGGGCTGTTTATTGGGGCTTTTTTTTTCTCTCTTATTTTTTTGAGGAAATTGGATGATTGCCAACGCACACAAAAGAGAGGGGCGCAATCACGACGAGCCAGTCAGAGGCAGTAATTGCACGTCAACAGCATGAGCTCGAAAAGGGTATCTCGAGTCTCCAGAAAGCGGAGCTGGTGGGTAAGGGCGAATGACGGTCTCCCGCATGTTTATGAAGACATATGGCCGGCAATCTACGGGGAACTTAGAAAAGATCTTGACTTGAGCGATGTGACAAAAGTACAAAAGTACGGGTTGACCAGGTACTCGGGAGGTTCTGATATCGTGTTTTAGCTGTCTGCTTAGTCAGTGTACCTTTAGACTATGACTTCATCCGGGGAACCGGCTATACTTCGGGTTGGATGTTATATACGCCCACAGTTTCTCAGGTCTATTTTGCAAAGGGCTGTACTAGATTAGAAGACAAATAGTTGGAGCTGTCCAGTTCGCTTTTATTTGATCGTAGTATCATGATTTCGCCGTGTTTAACCCGTTTTTTAAGATGTGTTCTAAGCTTGTCTTGAAGTTCGCGACTCCAGGGCTATTATGATATTACAAATGAACACCCTCGTTGGCTACATCGATACTTTTATTTGATTATGAGAAGCAGCTCTTGTAGTTCTCCCCTGTGGGGATTTAGAGCTCACTTTGGTTAGCCAGGCCGCACCTGTGGTTTATACATCCATGATTCCAAGGATAACTTAACTACCTGTCAACATGACGATTCCCTCTCTTTGACAGTTCACCCTCCACAGTCACGTTCCATTTTCCAATCCCCCCAAGCCCTTAGAAAACAAACCGAATACTCCAAAATGTTACCTCGCCCTCCTGGATACACTGCCATCAATGATCTAGAGGCCATGCCGGTTCCGGCCACCGATCCTCTAAACATCTTCCTCCCAAAGACGCTCCGACCAGAATTCATAACTACCTTCAAAAATAGAGGTGAAAAAAGAGACGCCAAATTGGGGTGAAAACAATGCATGAAGCGGTATACTTGTGAGGCTTTCGTGTAGAGACTGTCCAATACTTCATTGCACTGTACACAACATTTATGACCCCTGTAGGTAAGTGTAGATGACCAATCAGGATGCAAACTACCATTTTTGCAAACAAGTCAAAATATACCCGTGGACGCTTTAGTGGAAAGCTTAGTCAGGGTACAGAGAATAGACGATGACTTCATCTCGGACAAAGGGGAGATCCGGGGAATGGGGAGTCATATGATTTCTACAATTCAGTCAGCACGTGACTCTATCTATATCGTTGCCAATAGTTGAAGTATAATTGGATGCAATAATAGAGAATAGAGAGAGTAGAGAAGAACATCTGAACATCTGAATATCGGATAAGTTATACCAGCACGTATGGTCTTGTGACGCATCCTCCGGATATCGGAGGATGCGGATCTTCCCCCCGGAGCGCAGTCGACCTCGGCAGTTGAAAACGTCCCGATATTACTCACACGCGACCTCTTCTTCTTCTCTCCCCAACTTTGGATATTGGTGACTCTCAGTATCTACATTTTGTCAGGCCATTAGGCCCAATTTGCCCACTATGTGGAAGCCATCAGAAAGGCTGATGGAAACCATCAGACACTATGCTAGCTTCCCCGCAACCGGTGTCTCGCTGAGGCAGATGGTCCAATTTGGCGACCGTCCCTCGACAGGTATGTGCTGCAGATTGCCCTGAGAAACACCATCTGACTCGACTAGGCACTCTGTTCCGCGCTTCTCAATTCCTCTCCGAGGAGCTCCCAATCCGGCTCGCACATCGGGTCCAGGATCTGGGCGAGCTCCCGGATGGACTGAGTGAAATGCCGTCCATCAAAAAAGTCCAGGACTGGTATGCGCAGTCGTTCGAGGTATGCAGTGCACTCACAATTGATGTGCATGAATTGACGGAATTAGGAAATCATTACTCTACCCCGCCCGACTCTGACTCAAGAAGTGAAAACGCGCCTGCTACGACCAGGCCGGATGAACGGCACTTCCAAGATCCTCTCAGAAACAACTCAGAATCCCAGTGTGCGCGACGGACAATACCGATCCTCGGTGACCGCGGGCAATTGCAACGGAAACGGAAAAGCGCCTGCCGCAGGCCGACGGTACTTCTTCCCTGCGGATGACCGCGGAGACTGGCCCCCGGAACTCAACGACTACAACCAACGATTTGCCAAGACTCTGCAGCAGATCAAGCGGCGTCACGACGGAGTTGTGACGACCGTCGCTCAGGGTATATTGGAGTGGAAACGGGTGCGGCAACGCATGCAGATCGACTCGACCATTCAGTCATTCCTCGACCGGTTTTACATGTCCCGTATCGGTATACGAATGCTGATTGGTCAACACATTGCACTCACGGAACAAACACACGTCAAACATCCCAACTATGTCGGAATAATCTGTACTAAGACCAACGTCCGCGATATTGCACTCGAGGCCATTGAGAATGCCCGCTTTGTCTGTGAGGACTACTATGGTCTCTTCGAGGCGCCCAAGGTGCAGCTTGTGTGCAAGGACGATTTGAACTTCATGTATGTCCCGGGCCATCTCTCGCACATGCTCTTTGAGACTCTCAAGAACTCCCTGCGAGCGGTCGTGGAACAGCATGGCGCCGACAAGGAAGACTTCCCCGTGACCAAGGTTATTGTTGCCGAAGGCAAAGAAGATATCACCATCAAGGTCTCTGACGAGGGTGGTGGTATTCCCCGATCCGCCATTCCCCTTGTGTGGACTTATATGTACACAACGGTGGAGCAGACTCCCAACCTAGACCCCGACTTCGACAAGAACGATTTCAAGGCACCCATGGCTGGATTTGGATACGGTCTACCAATCAGTAGACTGTACGCCCGGTACTTTGGCGGTGATCTGAAGCTGATTAGTATGGAGGGGTAAGTCTTTTTCCACGAATTCGTATGAATCATTCTAACATCAAACCAGCTACGGAACCGACGTCTACCTCCACCTAAACCGTCTCTCTTCCAGCTCGGAACCCCTGCAATGACAATCACCCGTCATGAGAGACGGTCGGGTCCGGATCACCACCCAGCACCGCCTGCACCCCGTATACAATGAACCGGAACCCAAACCCGCACCGCCTCGAGGACTGACACTGATGAACGCTCAGGCACACTACGCGCGCATGCGCAGCCGTGAGGTCTCAGAGCGCAAGCAGGTGGGAGACGCAGAGAGTCTGTTCCACTCGGAACAGCGGAGGAAAGAGGAAGATGAGATGTAGGTAGCATTGGGCTTCACACATGCTCGTCTTTGCTTTGGTTCTCTGTGACTGACTTGCTTTAAGTCTTGGGTCTTCTCCCTTCCGATTTTGGTGGCTGCTGCTTTTAAGCATGATTCAGCAGTCTGATGATGAAGACCCGTCCTATTCTGAGTGTGCCACCTTGCCTACCTTTCTAGGTATCTTCTGAGGTGATATTCGAGAAATGAGGGAGAGTCCCCAAAAACACAAACACAAACTATTTGGCCTGGAGGATGTTTCCTTCTGGTCTTTCATCCCCATGATACCCATTACCTTACTATCCATGATCCATTATCCATTTCATTTCTCATTTCTCTCCGTCTTTCTCTGTGGTTGGTTCTGTCATGGATTTGGCTTCTTTGTACAGTACCTTGTTATTAATTTTAGCGAATTATACATAGTCGACCTGTTTCATTCTTCACTGGTTCGTTCGGGGTTGATATCAGGCTAAACAGCATGTAGACATAGCTCTGCATGACACTCAATATTTCGATCTTTCGTTAGGTGGCTATAGTGGAGTCTCGAATGTGTAGCCATTCAGGGTATAGCAGAAAACCCCAACTATTCTTTGGCCAATAGGGAATAGGCAAGGATATCAAGCAAAATGTTCCAAAGTGAATTAACGAGGAGAATCAAAAGTAGACCGAGAACAATACTTAAACGGTGAATCTCTCTTCCCCGCTCTCTTCTTCCACCCTGTTTTTCCAAAAGCATCATCACCATTCTTACCACAAAACGTATAGTATTTCTTCGCTTTAACTTCCTCGCCCTATATACCGAGAAATAACCCTAACTCATTCAATATCCCTATTCTTCTTCGGATTCGCTATGTATCTAGCTACGAGATGAACTAATTTCTCGCTGAATAGTAAGTCTTCAAACATGCATCCGATATCGTTTATACATGCATGATACAAAGACTGATTATTTGCAGCCTAATAAGAGTTCGTGAAAGATTGGCGAGAATCAGAGAGCAATGAAGAGCGCCTGCCGGATATCTAAGTCTATTGCGGAAAAGGCGCGGGAGCGTAACGGGATGAAGATCCCAAGGAACTGAGGACGATGCTGTGAACTTAGTGGGAATTTGTAAAATAGATGTTTAACCAAGAATCGCGTTTTGAAATTCTGGCTCAGAGCACAATGTAGACAGGACCACGCATTCCTTTGAAGTTACCGTTTAAAATCAAAGTATGCACGTCAATAGCATAGGAATAAGCATAAGCATAAACATAAACATAAAAGCCATATCGCTAAGACATACAAGATCACAAAAGAACCAGGTATCAATACCAGTATCAGAATCAGAATCAGAATCGGAATCAGAACAAGCCAGAATCATAGAAGCCATGGATCACATCAAAGGAGAATGTTTTAACCACCTCACAAACCCTCCTCCTCACCACTGCGACCTCCAAGGGAAGACCGCATGCCAACATTCCCACCAGCAGCAAGTCCAACACCCGAAGAAACCCGTCTGGGCGTATTGTTTCCACTACCAGAAGCAGAACGAGAAGCTGAAGCGGAAGCAGAGCGCGACCCCTTCGAAGCGCGCTTAACGATGGGATTGTGCCAGCCCGAATCATCATTATCGATAATATCATAGAACCGACCTCGAACTAGAGATGCCTCGCCCCCAGGAGTTTCGGCGGGGAGGTAGATGCGTGGAGCGTAGAGTTCTTCTGCCTTGACTGGGTCGCTGGGGCAGAGCATTTTTGCTAGGAAGCGGCGGCGAGTTTGGGGGATAGTCTGGTTTCTTGTTACTTTTGGTTTCAAATTTGATTCCCCTGGTTGGAACAGCGAGGAGATGAGAAGAAAAGGGTATCTGTGATGGATATCAAATTGAAGGCGGTGATTGAAGTACCTCTCTCGCAGCAAGTGCATATGTAACAAGTAACTCCCGATCCAAAAGAACAGACAAGGCGGCATGCTTCTCATCACGAAGATGCGAACGCGAGCGCAGATCCCGTTCGAACTCTGTTGGTGTTTGAACCGAGTTGTCGGGGCCGATATGCTGCACAGTGTTTGTTTGGTCGTAGGACAGGGACATGGGGTCTGGGGCATTGAAGGAGAATGAGTCTGATTGAGTTCGTTAGCTAGTTCGTTCAGTTGAATGGAGCTGTGCTCGACCGGGTCTGTTATTTTGCGAGAGAAGGGAACAGGATCTAGCATAAACAAACCGGCACGGGAACCAAAAGCAGTTTGAAGAAGATAGTTGAAAAGAAAGGACATACCCTCGTCGAGTTCTTCGTCTCCATATCTCATGATGTCGATCCCATCGTCTCGGGGATCAAGCTGCATGCCACCATCAGACTCGGATTCAGATTCCGAGGTGACGAACGTGTTGGTGTCAGGCATGATGATAGTGATGGTGTTGAGAGAGATTGAATGAAGAAGAATCAGAATGCCAGTGAGAATCAGAAGAAGGGCACTCAGCGCGTCCTCTGTGAGGTAGCTTGAGGCACGATAGATGCTGAGGTCAATTGAATGAAGAGAGCATGTATCTTCAAGACAATGCAGGGGGGTCTATGCCAGATTGAAGTCTTGGACAGGTGATTCCAGTAGAGTCAATGGACATCAGATTGGATTATGATCCCCAGATGATCTATAGCACTAGTCAGTTCATGCGAAAGCGATATTAGTAGAGGCAGTGACTATGGTCCATCTCACAGGGTTTGGGAGCAGCAGGATATTGTTATATAACCTCTCTAACCTCGTTTATCGAGAAGGATGGACAGGGCGGTCAGGATGGCGACGAGGCAGAATGCTGTTCAGGTGCTCAGCAAAATGTGGGTCTGCCACAGCAACATTATTTGCTCTGTTTGCATCATATCTGATTGGTCCATCTTCAATGCCAAGAGATAAAAAGGCTTGGCAATACACCCCAAAACTTCCCTCCTATTCTTTTAAAACATTGCCTTTTCCACAAAGTAATTTATCAACCAATACACTTGGTCCTTTCATTTTCAATTCACCACTAACGTTATCGGCGTTCCTTAGTCACCTCCCCTCCACCTAGCGTTACCTGGAGGGCGACAACCCACTTCCTAGCTACGATGTTGTGAGTTTACATTCCTAATTCATTTCTAGTTCATTAATAATATCACTAGTGATTTAATGATTGCGTGTAGAGATAGTGTGATAATAATACTAAGAAGATCCGTCCGATGTAAAGGGGTAAACAAAAATTGTTTTCGGATTCCTTCCATAATCATTAACGCACTAGGAAGTATTGTATGTTTAACTTACCAAGACTTCCAATACAATTTACGAAGGCTGACTATACTCCTAAAACCCCTGGCACCTTAGGATTAACGTTTTGCTGTGGCCCGAAGCTCCGGCTGTGGCCGTCCCACTTGGTGCTGAGCAGGTCACCTATACTCTTCGCTCTTGGCGGCGTTGACCAGTTGTCTAGATGTGGGAAGCGGTGAATAGTGGCAGTGTTGGCAGTGCCCTAATTGGGCTAGTGCAATATAGGGCTCCGTCTTTCTAGTTCTTAACCACTTTGACGGCGGTCTTGGAATATTTTAGGCTAATGGTTTTACGATCTAAATAGGGTTCAGATCCCCTGATGATCTATGTAAGCTGTATCTACGTCGGGAGGCTACAGTAGTGAAAAGGGCTGAATGATTGGATTCATCGATAGATCCAGGAAGTAAATGTAATGTAACGAATGCCCAGACAGAACCCCCGACAACGCCAAAACACAATGCCGCTAAAACGACTGACAGATTAGAATGAAGCAAAAAGAAAAGGAAAAGGAAGTAGAGAGAGTAGCCTATGTAGCCGCACAATCGTGCATAAACGAGTTCTTGGGCCAGTGGTAGCCAGCAGCGTCCCTGCAAGAGAAAAAGCATTAGTAAATACCCTGAAGACACAAATCCTACAGGGACAGAAACATACCAAGTTGTAAAGTTCTGGTTGGCATACGCATTGGGATGATCTTTAATATATTGCGTCGTCTCCCATCCAGGGGGGTCACAGGTAACACTCTCGTCATCGGGGTCCTGATAAATACGGACATAGTCGAAGCGCAGGAAGGCAGGCATATACTCGCGAATGGACTTGTTTTGGGGTGCGAAGTTGTCCGCCATACCCATGTTCATGACTAGCGCCATAGGTTCCAGTGGGATCATGCGTTGGCCGACGTTACCGTTTGGTCCGATGGCGCGGCCGTCGAGCGTCCACGTCTTCTCGGCGCCGACAAACCATGTCACGTTTCCTTCTGCACCAGGTGTATATTCGAAGGAATAGGTCTGGTATTCGGTGCCGTTGTACCAGCGCGTGTTCAGGTTTGTTAGGCCGGACATGGCTTGTTGGTAGACGCCACCGCGGTAGGAGTTGATTTCAGTTACGCGTGGGTCGTAAACGGCGGCGAAGTCTGTGGATTTGGTGTGAGCGACTTGGTACATGAGATGGGGGGTTATCTATCTACTTACCATAGTCTGGGAGATACCACAGATCAAATGGTGCAGTCTGCAAACTCTGCGAGGCACTACCAACGAAAGGGCCACTGTCGCCATACAGTGGTGCAGTACTGCCTTCGATAACATCAATTTCAGGAGCACTGCGAGCGCGGCCAGGGGAAGGATGATCAGATCCAGGGCAAGCACATCCAGGCAAACGCATGCCAGGCAACCAATTCAGACCATCAGGCGAGCTCTGGTTGGGAGTGATGCCGGCGTCGCAGCCATCATGGTAGCTGTATGGCCATAGACCATCAGTGGTAGCGGCGTAACCAGGACGCGCCAAGTTACCCATTGCCCAGAAACCAGGCCAGAAACCCTGGATATGGCCATCACCGGGGAGGGACATGCTAGCTTCCAGACGGCCTCCCTTGAAGCAGAGCTTGTTCCAGCTCTGAACCATTCCGGATCTGTATTGGAGGTCGTGGTTCTCAAAGTGGTCGAATCGGAGCTGCAGTGTTCCCTCCGCTGTTGTCACGGCATCTGGGTCATACCATTCCTTGTCAGCGGTCACTCCATACCACAGGTCAACTGCTTGGAAGAAGGGGTCGTCATCTTCGAAGAAGGTTCGGCCAGGCATATTGAATTCGTCGGAGAACTACATCGATGTCAGTCAGTTGCTTTTGTGCAGGATTGTACGACCACTCACCACTAGCTTCATCTCCTTGCCATTGATGTTCTTTTTGGTGAGTGCCTCTTTTGGTGTGTCTGGATCGATCAAACCCTGTCGGATATTACCCAACAGTTCCCTCTCCCCAACGTCCAGGCAGAGTGTGTCACCGGGATGGCATACACTTTTCGGTTTCAAAATGCCTTCCAGCCAAGTTCTGTATTCACAGGTCAGCGTGAGAGCAATCAACGCTTTCACAAACTTACATGACAGGATATCCAATGAACAGCACCAAGATACCTAACGTCAACACAGCCAATCCACCCATATTCAAGATACCCCGACGATTACACATATCACAGTCCCGATCCTGATCCATAGGATCGGGGTTATGCATGTAATCATCCTTCTCAACATCCTCAGGGAACAACAAAAGCCCATCAGTAGGCATGATATTGAATTTCTCGGAGACAGTCTGCGTATTGACATCATGCTCATCACTCTCAGACCTGGAAGGTGCCCTGGAATCCTGGAACGGATCCAGAGGGAACGTACTCTCGCGACTGAGCGAGCTAACACTCGACCGAGCCGCAGACCAGCGATCAGGAGACCGCGGCCGGTCAGTCTCACTCGTGACTCCCTGCGTCGGACGCAGCTTCGGGGGCAACAGGAACTCCGATGACTCGGGTGCATTTGATACTCCGTACGGAGAGGCTCCTTGGGCGCCTATCACGGGAGGTTCGGGGCCCTGTGGCGTCAGAGGACGCGGAAATGTTCGCGATGTCAGAGGCGCGTAGCCCTCATCCGTATCAATGAAGGGGTCCTGTCGGCCCGAGTTGAGTCGGATGTGAGGCATAGCCCTTTCCTCTGAAATATCAGAGCCGTGGTCTGACATCGGATGATCTGTTCCAAATTCCAAATCCCTGCTTGGGTGATCTTTTATACGGTCCTGATTCTCTGCACCGAGATAATACTCTCTTCTTCCGTCAGTCTCCACCGCACGAGCAGGCCTATTGCATCAGTCGTTGGTGGGTTCCGTGATTAGGTGGTGAGGTCGAGACGTGTTGTTTGTTATTTTCCTTCCGGTTTGTCTGTCGACGACGCTCTTGTATATCTGAACCCCGGTAAAGACTTAAGACCTGAGATGTGGACTGCACAGTTGAGAAGTGCGAGGTTCGCCGAAAGAACGGACAGGACAAATCGGATGGCATCCAATGTCCCTGGGCGACGTGATGAAGAGACAAACAGAGAGCAGCGGAGGAAAGATGCCAGAGCCACGGAAGAAAAGAAGTGCCTAGATGCTCCGAGGTTATTGTTTGGATGCACGAAGAGACTGGAATGACAGAGATCCAAGGGGTGTAACCTGCGGTATGTCTATGCCTCTCGGTGTTTGGGACTGTAGATCATGTATAGTTTGTTCTGTGTTCAGCTGGATAGCCTGCTGAACTGTTATACTGTCTTAATTTTGTTTGATTCATCCATGCAGATGTATTGGTCGTGCTTTTGGTGCCAGATATCATCTAGTCTTCAACCGCCCTACGGTAGGGCCAGGGTGTTGAGGGCGCGACATTCCCGTTGCCCAGGGCAAGGAATGGTCGACCATGAATGCTGGCCGGAATCCTAGGATCAGCATTGTCACTTGTAAAGCATCAAGTACAAAAATATTAAGGAAAGGGCAGTAAAGCCGGAAGTTGAGTGTATACTTAGAGAGTTGTCAAAGCCAAGAGCGAACACGCGGGTAAGCCATCCGCCGAGGGTTACGCTAACTTACCACTCAAGCCAACCTCAACAAATATAACCACCGACAGATACCCTCAACTAGCCAATATCGGTGGGATTCACCTCTAATTCACTCACAGCCAGCAAATAAAGATCTTCGGCCATTCCCGTACACGCGTCCCGAGAAATCTCAAACCCCAACGTCCAAGGCTTAAGAATGCATCCCGGACAAGCTGTCAAGGGCAAGTCCCCTCCATTCCGTTCCAGCAAGTGTCAAGTACTGTGTAGCAAGTAATATCCACAGCTCCTTACACAAAACACTGCCTGCATACATGATAAAAACCACATATCCTCATTGTATTCTCGTAGGGATAACTGCCTAGCAGGAACAGGGTATGAAAAGCAAAACATGCTAAAGCATTTCATTTCCACATCAAGGATCAAATCACAAACTCCCATTCCATTTCGATTGCCATCTGAATTCGTATCCATCCCCTCATCGCGTCGCAGTGCCGCTGCAGTAATGCATAATCTACGACTCAACAGCCTTAGCCCGCAATCCGACAATCTTCTTCTCAGGCGCGTGAAGGGCCAGAATCCAGTACTCAATGCGAGTAGTCGTAATCTCAATACGGTAAACCTTCAACTCCACAGCTTCCTGCGTGGCATCGGGGTTATTCTCCGCAGCAGCGGCCCGCACTGCGCCGAGCACCTCGGGGTATTGATCTTTGGGGTCGAAGGAGGTGAGCGGGAGGGATTCGATAGAGCGGGAGAGGTCGTTGGATTCGGATATTAGGCTGGCGAGTTCGGCTAGAAGGGGAGCGGGGAGAGGTTAGTTAGCTTGCTTGTGGTTATGGAATGGGGGTAGATGGTGCATTTGAGAGTGAGCGTGGGCGTGAGCATGAGAGTTTAGGTGTAGGTAGCTGGGTATGGCCATGCGGGGAAGTGATGTAAACGTACCAATACTCGGCCAGGTATCATCCTTTGCGGCATCCCACTTCAGCACCACGGGGTCAAAGGGCTCATCTGTGTCGGAGACGTAGTAGGCGTTGACGTTCTTGAGGGGCTTGGGGATGGAGAGGGAGCTGTCGACTATCTTGGTGCGCAGGATGTCCGAGGATTCTTGCGTGGTTTGGGCCTGGCCGTCGCTGGAGTCTGCATTGGCCTTGTTCAGGAACGCCATATAGGCGTCGTCGGAGGACATGGTTGAGAAGGTTGAGAAGGAGGTAAATCGGGAGGGAAGAAGTCGTAGTGTTCGGTTTGAAGGGAGGTGGTTTGTTTGGTACAGTTGAGCTCTGGGTCGAGAAGAAGGATGGAGGAGACGACTTTGAGTTGCGATTTGGAGAGGGCGATTATTTGCGCGAGTTGGGGAAACGTGTGGGATGACGCAATGGATCTTGGACCGCATGGCGTTTTCACCTGTCAGACTTGGATTTGATTGTGGACAGGGAGAACAGAGATAGATTGGGTTTTGGCGTTAAATGTATGTAGAAATTAACCGGGTAATGGACAATTATATGTATTTCGGCTGCTTACAATATGCTTGAACCAGAAATATATATCCTCCCGCACCGTGAATATATATTCATTAACATAACACGATGGAAGAAAACAATTTGACGGAATTTTCAAAATACAAATATAATTTTCAATAGTCTGCCTGTTATCCTGACATATAATCTTAATGTAAACTTTGATCCATCTACGAGTATGTCTACACCAACAAATTGTGAAGGTATTCGCTTTTTTATTGAATAGGAAACGTTGAACTATCACCAACCATAGCCTGGAACATCTTAAACAGTCTCGATAAGGTCCTTCTTGAGGGTACCCATGAAGGCCTTCTTCTCCTCGAAGGTCTGGAAAGCACCGTGACCGAACTTGGAGGAGGTATCGATCCACTTGAGGTCGACCTTCTCGGTAGCCCTGCGGCTGGTCTGGGGGTAGAGAGTCTTGCGCAGAGTCATGACACGCTTCTTAACACCGGGAACGGAGCCCTTGACCATGACGAAGTCGTTCTTGACCTCACCGTAGTGAACAAAGCCACCCATGCTGAAAAACAGTTAGTCAAATCGATCAACGGAAAAAGAAATGCAAGGAAAACATACGGGGTGATCTGCTTCTTGGAGATGTCGAACTCGGTGGAGGCGTTGCCCTCGTCGGAGCCCTTGCCAATGCGGAAGACCTTGTGGTTGCAAGAGGTACGGTGGTGGTAACCACTCTGACCAGCACGGGCGACAGTCCACTGGACGTGGTTAGGGTGCCAGGCACCAATACAGGCGACCTTACGCAGACCCTTGTGGGTCTTACGGGGCAGCTTGGTGGTACCCCAACGGGAGGTGACACCGGTGAAACCGTGACCCTTGGTGACGGCGATGACATCAATCATCTCATCCTTCTCGAAGATGGAGTCGATGTCGATGGTCTTCTCGAAGAGGTTGCGGGCGAAGTCAACCTTGTCGGAAACGGAACCACCGTTAACCTGGATCTCCATGAGGTGGGCCTTCTTCTGCTTGATGGGGGTCTGGCGGATCTGGGTGTGGGCGAGGACACGGACGACAGTGCAGTACTTCTGGATGCGCTCAAGCTCGCGGGTGATGGAGGCACCGGAGGACTCGGCGTGGGACTTGGCGTACTTGGTGAAGGCCTTCTTCTTGGACTTGTACCAGTTCTTGTAGAAGCGACGCTTGACCTCGTCGCTCAGGTGCTCAGCCCAGACGGTGGTGAGCGAGCGGAGACCACGGGGAGTCTCGATGTAGCCAACGACACCAACGGCAACGAGCTAAAAAGGAGTACCTGGTTAGTTTGTCGTTCAACCAATTTTTTTCTTCACAGGAAAAACCTACAGGAGGGGTCTCGATGACGGTGACGGCCTCGACGATCTCCTTCTTGTGCATCTTGGCACCGGGACGGTCAAGGTCACGGACAACGGTGGTCATACCGGCCTTGTAGCCCATGGAGGCAGTAAGGTGGACGGGCTTCTTGGGGTCATCCTTGGGGAAGCTGTCGCAAAAGTCTCAGCACACAAATCCACACAAAATCTCTCGAACTCCAGAAATGACTGACCTCTTCACCTTACCACGGTGACGGGCAGCGCGCTTGCGCGGGAGGTAGGCAAGGGAGCCTGAATAGAGAGTTAGTTATCGCACACAGAATTGAGGCCGAATTTTCGAGATTTCGACATCGAGGAAAAAGTTGATTACGAACCGTGCCGGGGCGCTTCGTACTTGCGGTGACTCCTGAAAGACGAAAGCAGGTCAGAAATTGCATTCACAGTCGATATTATGAGGGATAGACTCACATCTTGACCCTGGTGTCGTTAGTCGTCGAGGTGGTGGGAGTGACGATCTGAAAGTGTCGAAGTTGATTTTGCACGCTTGGTGTGTGGGCTAACCTAAGCGAGACTCTTGGCGCGAGTACGGCTTATCTGGGCTTAGTGTTACCGCCTGAGGCACCCCACAATCACTTGAAATTATCTAAGCAGCGAATCCAGCCCTGGATCACGTGCCACTCCCACATTTTCCCCTGGATTTGATGGGTCTCTGTTGAGTGCCAAGGCAAATGGTGTGAACTGCTTGTACATAGTGGACCAAAGTTATCTTACACGGCAATTGCGACTACAGTATGAATTTTGAATTTGGCCGTCTTACATTTTCTTGCTCTATCGGAATCAATACATGTAAGATAGGTTCATTTAAATCTGCTGAATCCAAGAGTATCGAAAAAAAGATTTGCCAAGATGCCTCACACACCATAAGTAATCACAAAGAAAGGAGACTAAGAAATCATAAGAGAAGAGAACGAACAGACAAGCCTACAGCGCACGCGCTCGAAGCTAGTCATCGTAACTCGCACATTCATACCGTACATCACACACTAGGAATAAGAAGGACATTGAGGAGAAAGAGAGCGAGGGGGGAATTGGTTTGGGTGGACAATATCGTATGTGGCCTGGATAAAAAAGACTTTTAAGCTGTCTCGACCTTGGAGGGTGTGCCTGGGCGGGCAGTGCCGTTAGCCGGGTTGCCAGCAGCGCTGCCATTTGGGCTGCCCTTGGATGCAGTGGCCTTCTTCTCTTCCTCCACGTCGTCGTCGTAGTCCTCATCGACGTCCATCTTGCGCGCCGGTGGCTCGTGAGCGGGAGGGGCCTCGGGACGAGAGGGCTCTTCCTTGACCGGGGTGTTGGCGGAAGGAGGAACGGAGGGAGGTCCGTTGGACACGGGGGGAGCGGAGCCCTCAGTCATTGGGGGAAGACTGGGGCCACTAGAAGCGTGGGGTGGCATGTCTTGAATTGAAGGCAGAGTAGGAGGGTGGTGCGCAGCTTCCGAAGGGTGATAGTTCTCGTTGGCGCGACGGGCATCGTCGCGACGGGCCTCCGAAGAGCTGCGTCGTTGCATCTCACCAGGAGAAGGCATACGAGCGGGTGGGCTGGCGCGGCGGGTGTTCTGGTCATCCAGACGGGCACGGCTCTCCTCGTTAGCGAGCTTCTTCACAGGGCCGTCCGCTTCCCACTCGCGACCGCGCTTCATCGCAGATGTAGGGCGATCTTCGCGATCACGAGCGGCAGCGTCAGCTGCGGTGGCTGCAGAGGCAGGAGCCGGGGCACCAGAGGCGATGCCGGTGGTGTTAGGACCCGGAGCGGAGGGGGGAAGGGTAGGTCCGGGGTGGTACTGCCGGCCGGGGTAGGTCGATGCCGGCGAAGCATCGCGGATAGGACGAATTTCAGTCGGAGGAGTGAATGGACGTCCTTGGTAGGGAGGTGGAGGAGCAGCATTACCATTGGGACCAGGGGGACCAGGAGGCCCGGGAGGACCAGCAGGGGCAGGAGGCAGACCTCCGCGGCCAGCACCAAAGGCATTTCCGCCGCTGGGGGCACGTTCATGGCTCGGGCCAGATGGATTTCCGATTTGAGGAAGAGTGTGTTGCGCCGGGTAGGCATTGGGGTCGCCCATGTTTGGCGAGCGGGGTGCACCGCGAGGATCGGGGAATGCGCGACCAGGCTCCTGACGAGGACTCTGCGCGGGAGCGCCAGGGATCCGAGCATCACGAGGGTCGAGGCCGTTGGCAGTGGGAGCTTGGGCCTGGGATCCCAGCTCGTTGATTCCACGGTTCCAGTCGGGAATCTGTCGGGGAGGAGCAGGAGCCTGGGGCGGGGGACCGATCGGGGCCGGGGGAGGAGCTGCGGCACCCCACTGAGGCGCGGGAGGCTGGCCAACACCAGGTGCCTGGTAAGCCTGGGGATGGACGTCCTGGGGCTGAGGAGCAGGAGCGTTGTTCTGCTGAGCCGAGCCCGACAATTGGCTCTGGAGCAATTGCAAGCGAGCCTTGATGTGGACATTGGACGGGTCAAGATCCGCGGCGCGTCCGTAGGCGTCAAGAGCATCGGCGATCTGATTGTTGCAAGATTCGTACAATGTGCCCAGATCGTACCAAACCTCGGAGATGTAGGGGTTCAGGCGGATGGCACGGGAGTAGGCATCGAGGGCGTCACGGTATTGGTTGATCTGGTAGTAGAGGACACCGATCGAGCACCAGAAGGTAGGGTTGCGACCGTCGCGATAGACTGCCTGTTGGTAGGCCTCGTATGCCTTGGGGTATTTCTGCATCGACATGTAGCAGCGACCAAGAAGGTACCAACTTTGAGCATCATTGTTATCTAGCAAGAGGATCAATTAGTATCAAAAATTTACGATGATTTGATATGTGCTCACCAGCATTGACAGACTTCTCCAGGAATTGGATGGCCTTCTCCTGGCTTTGGAAGGCGCTGCTCTGCTGGTGGTAGAGCCATCCAAGCTGCTGGAGAACCTTGGCGTGGTTAGGATCGCGATCCAGAACGCGTTGGTAAGCGGCTTGAGCTGAGTCGAACTGAAGCCTGAGTCAGTACAATGAAGTATGAAGATGTGAGTACAATAACTTACGTCCTTCTGTTGCTCGTGAACGTGACCAATCTGGAACCAGATATCTTCCTCAGTCAGGGGGCGCGGAGGGTCGCCAACAATGTATTTAAAGCACTGTATAGAAATTAGTCGCAATCCGAACTATGCAGTAAACCTTTACATACCTCCAGACTTTCCCTGAACTTCTGCTGTTGCTTGTATATTATGCCGAGACGGAAGTAGATCTCATTCGCCTTCTCGAATTCGGGAGACATGCGCATAACCTGCGAGAAGGCCTCTTCGGCATGGTCGAGAGAACCATATCGATCGTACAAGATACCGATTCCATACCATAGCTTGGGTTCCTAAGAAAGAGTTAACATCACTAAGCCACAGCGGATAAAGGAACCGCATACCTTAGGATCCCGCAGGTGGTAAAGAGCTTGCTGGTAAGAGGTGTATGCCTCTTGCAGATTGTCCATCATAAGGTGGCAGTGGCCCAAACTACCCCAAGTTTCTCCACTGCTCGGGTCCAGCTTCAAGATGTTTTGCAGGTACTCGATCGCTTTAGGGAACTGCTCCTTGGTTCGGAGGATACACGAGATGGCGTTCATGGCAGGGACGGACCACTGGTTATGGCGCAGAGCCTGTTCATAAGCGTTCATCGCACCCTCCAGATCACCCATCAATTCGGTCAAGCTGCCTACAAACATTCATTGTCAGCTTTACTTATGTGGATGCGGGGAAAAAACCTACCTATTTGTAGCCAAACTTGTTCATTGAGACTGGCGATCTTCTGAGCGGTGGTGAGAGGACCAGGCTTCTGGGCCTGAACTGGAATTGCTGTCATGTGGCCATTGGCCTGGGCATGCGCTGCGAGATGCGCATGGTGTGGAGCAACGCCCGCGGTAGGCGAAGGTTGAGTGTGAGACATGGTTCCTGATGATGGAGCCAAGGTGTTGATTGTTCAGTTCGTACCGTGTCGCGACCGAACTCTCGGAAGGGTTTGCGACACGATGATGCAATCCACGGTCGACACCAGAAGCACGAGGACTGCGCGTACTAGATGCTTAGGCGCAATGTCCAAACCCCTTGGAAAGAAAAAGCGTCGCAATAATGATTCAATGTTCCTCACACGACACTTTCCAGCAGTGAAGGGTGCCGGATCGGAAAAATAGATAGGTAGCCCGGTGAAAGAGTGTGGGCGCGAATGGCGGGAAAGGGGAAAGGTTACAACAAGCTTAATGCAAGCTGTAGATAAAAGAAGAATGAAGAAAGATGTGGGGAACGGGGAATTGAAGGAGGATGAAAGCCTAGGGGGGGAAGAGAGGGAAGAGTCGAGGGGCTGGCAGGAAAGGTGAATTTCGCCAAGAGCCGCTAGTGGTTGCGCAGCTCCCGGCCGTCACCACTGATTAGCTAACACCAGCTGACTCCCAGGAACGGCTTAGTGCGGTGGAGTCAGATCTGGAGGCGGTTATTTCTTTTATTTTATTTTATTTACAACGTTCGTCAACTATATAAAATAAATGTCATGGTTGTAATGAAAAATACAGTAGTTATATACTGCATTTATTTTCCTAATATCTAGTCATCTATCATACACAGAACATGTTCAATGACAATCTGTGTCCCAGTGGGTCTTCGGGGTGGGCTCCCCCCGTGGTTGCGCTCTAAGGTACGTTAGTGCGTTAGTGCGTTAGTGCGACTGTTCTCCGTGCCACTCCGATTTTAGCCTAGTCCACAGGGCCTAAACTCACCCGGCATGACTGGCCCGTGCTGCGGCATTGGGCTCGATCCTTGCCCCCTTTTGCTGGGTAGATCCTCTTTCTCTTCTTTATTCTTTATTCTTTTTCCTTCTATGTCTCTCGTATATCGGCATTGGGCCACATATCGTTTCCCGATCTACGTCAACTGCAGCACAGACTGACCAAACTCGGAAACGTGCATGAAGCTGTTGAGTGACCCTGTTGTCCCCCCCTTGTCTTTTTTTCCTTTTTCTTTTTGCTTCCCACCATTTCTCCGGATACAATCCAAGTAGCCCACATCCCCCTTGTGTAAAGTACCCTGCAGGGTTCCTTGACTTGCATACCGCGAGACCCCCTAGTGCATTTTGCCCCTTCCGTCATGGCGCTTCCCGTTACTTACCCAAAGGGGCTTAGTTCCCTCCGCAGTCTATTTTTTTTCGACAGCCGCTACATCTCTAGCCACAGATCAGCCACAGGGCACATTTTTCCGGCCCTGAAGTGGATCGAGTGGAGGAGCAGTTTGAACTGAGAATTCTAACGCACCTCCATAGTGGTGTCGTCATGTGGAGAAGGCTTCAACTGAGCTTCTTTCTTCCTTGACTTGGGGTACTGGCAAAAAGTAGATCAAGTCTGTACATACTCACGTCTTCTCGGTACCTGGATGCCAAATATGGAGTACTTCACTATATGTACAGTACTGTACAGAGTAGAAATTACCCACTACAGCACCCCTGGGCTATATGGCTCCTTATAAAGCCGGCTCCGGCTCCACTTTGGGTACGCCTCATTTTCCATGTCAGACAGGGTTTGCTAGCCGAGCCGCCGTTGTCTCTGCCGTTCCCCTTGTGAAACAGAGGGGTTCCTCGGTCTTATATATGTATACAAAAGTAGCTCCCACAACCCTGGGTGACACAGCTGGTCCTATAACCTGCCGAATCCTGTCACTCGTGTGTGTCAGTTGTCGCTCTACCCCCACCCCCTCTCCTGAGTCCTATGTCTCGTCCCCTAGTACTGCATATTGGATCCCATGTGTACCCCCTCCATCCCTACCATGTCTGAAGTTCCCGCCGATCAAGCAAATCAAAATTAAAAAAACGGAGCTCGCGGAAGTGACAAGTAAAACCGGCAACACGGCAACGCCCCCAGAAACAGAGATCAGCCGCGCGCATACCACATCCACAGTGGAGCCCATTATTCACCCACATGTGTCCCGTTAATGTACAGTAAATAGTAAAAGCCCCTTGCGACGGGTTTTCGCAGACACCATGCTCCGACGTGGGTATGACCGTGCGACACGATTCATCGAGAATGCAGGCTCCATAGGTGATCCGCCACGATCGCCTATTGGATTTTAAGTTTCCCCGAGGCCAGCGTGGCTTTGACGGAGGATAAATAGAAGGCCAGATGTCCATCGCACCTACAGATCTCAAAAAAGCAACCAAAATCATAAATTTACAGTGCGCTAGTGTCTGCAGGGATTGTACACTGGGATCACAACAAAACTCGAACTCCTCGAGTATGCTGGATAGTTAGCATGGGGAGATTGGGCAGTCTTATTTCCAACTAGTCCTGCACCTGTTCACAGAGCTGGGTCTGGTCTTTGTGATACTGCTGGTAACCATTTCTTTCTTGTGACTCATGTGCTGATACATACAGTAGGCACAATCTAGATGTTTGTATTTATTTACATATTCTAAATATCCTAAGTCTTAACAGGGTCAATTGTGGCTCCCCAATTACCTAGGCCTATTGTTACTTCGGTGCGTACATTTGTTCTCGTGTCAGCACATTCAGCCCATCACATCGCGATCACTAGGGCCACAACTGGGTGGCTGCAAGCCTCCGCCACAAAATGAGCATAACCGGATTTTGTGGCCGCTAGGGTTGCAGGCGTATATATTCGCCATGTTTATTTCCCTGGAGGTACCCTTGTTTGCCCTTTTTTTTTTTTTTTTTCTTTTTTTACTCCTTTCTGTTTTTCCTTACCTCTTTTCTTTTTTAAAACCCCTGGAGACCATACAGGTATGCTACAGAAGCCATTGTTATACGTCATCCACGCGATCCTCCAGGCGGCCGCAGAGGTTAAGCAAAGGAAATCACGCTTCGTCTCGAATAGATACCTGGGCACTGCGACAACCTAGGAAACGACGCAGCAGATCGGCTGGTCAAGGACGTGGCGAGCCTGGGCAAAACACGCCCCCTCCGCCCTGTGCTGACAAGGAAGAGGGCGCTTATCGGAGACACCATTCACGTTCGGTGGGAGCGGGAATAGAAAGCATCGACTAAAGGCGGTTACCCGCGAAAAATCGATAGCATTCTACCAGCAGCCTACACTAAGAAGCTGTGTAGGAATTTCCTTAGGGGTGATGTACCTACTGACTCAGCTATGCACAGCCATAATTGGTTATCCACCTATGCCAAGACCTTCGGCTTCCGCGACGATGATCAGTGCGTGTGCGGCGCGCAGGAAATAGTCCCCCACGTGCTGGTAGACTGCCTAAATTTGAAGGAAGTTCGACATAAGTTAAAAAGTGAAGCTAGTGACGCGTTTAACAGCGTGTCGAGTCTGCTGGAGGCTCAACTGAAGGTAAGAGAGGTAAACCAGACACTGTCGCGCGGGCTAGGACGGTCAGGGCCTTGCTAGACTTCGCTGAGGCGTCACAACGATTCAAAAGTAGCGCACCATGAGGGCCGCCTAACAACATGAGCGGCAACTGGGCCACTATAGGTCTTGACGAGGCTCTAAGTTCGTTTTCAGGAAGTGGGGCATCACACGCACATACACTGATATATATAGTTGCTGTAGCCTGTGTGTCGCTTTGCGAGTTGGATCCCAAGGTCGTGCAGGTGATGTATATAGATCTATAGGAATGTCTGCCTGTCAGCTGCCACTCCGCTAGGCAGAAGGGAGTTGAGCTACTGCACCTATAAGTAGCTGGATTTTCTCTCATAAGATAAAACATTATCACACTTGTACCTCAATCCAGGGTCCAACTTTGCGAGAGGTCGGGGTAAATGAAATCTACTACTACTACTACCACTACTACTACTACTGTCTGTACATGGCTGGCGTTCAAGGTTCTAAAACACTGTCTCAATATGTGACATAGGGTCCGTAGAGCGAAACATAATCTATAGGAGGATTTCCCTGCTACAGATCTGGCACGTATAGCTCCAGTGGAAATAATTATTCCAATGATTAGACCGATGTCATGGGAAGGGTCTTAAACGCTCTTACGCGTAAGCATATAACATTGGTGACACATTCAAACCATACTTTGACGATTCCTTTAGGACGGTTTCGAGGAGCTCAAACATAGCAACGTGCGTATTTTGAATTGAATAACGTACCGTTATGCACGCCTCAATCGGCTCTTGACAAGGAGGTATTCCATCCTGACTGGAAGCCCAGGCCAGAGTGGAAGCGCCATAGAGGCAAGGACTTTGTTGGGAACAAATGTTGCGTTTTCAGGAGCCCGGATGACCGACCCAGACCTTAATCTTGACGAAATGCAACTGAAGGCCTATTGAAGGCTTTTCTTTGACCCGGTGTTCGAGAATGATGAGATTTGTTGGAAGTACAAATGGAAGCCTCCGATTTCCTGTATCACGAACAAACATGCTTTGGAAACACTGAAGCCTATGTGCATAACAACTTTGCGTCGTTGACCGTTGTCAGCTGTAACTTCATCCATAGATTCATCACACTGTGCGTTCAATGTAGTCCTTCTGGATCTGGAAAGAGTTTCCGAACAGTGCATTGATCCGCGAGATTCAAGAGGACCAAATGAAATCGGCTCCTGTCGACCTTGGACTGTTTGTGTGAGAATTCAGGTATCTCTGATCAAAATTCACCCTGACTTGAAAGGATGTGTGTTCCTGTTTTAGCTATTGTACAAAGGTGTACTCGAGGCTGATTTCGCTCTTCATCTCTTCCTGTTGTCATGACAGACGCATGTCATTTCCAGGCTGTCTGTAGAGTGGGATAAGGCATATCCATAAAACCCATGTATCCACTCAATATATCTTCCGTGCTTATATCCCATAGGGAGTCCGGCCATGAACCAGTTCCATATACCGGTGCCCCTTGTGCGACGCCATAACCTTCACCCATGAGGGAAGAGTCCTGAAAAGATGAGGCACTAGGAAAAGTGGATGGCCCAGGGCCGCCATGAGGTACTTCGGAAAGTGATGCAGGACTGTCCTCGGGTTGCACTAAGTGATACTTTTGCTCGAACCATTCAATAATATGTCCCATCCAGACCTCGTAGAAGTGGTTGGAGTGCTGCTTCACTTCTGTATCCACTCTATCCTTACTGAATCTCGCGAGGTGGTGAAGCACTCCCCGCAGCACTTGTCGCATATTGAGAGCTGAGCACAGATCCCCCACATGCTGGCTGCGTGGGGCATATTCTGCACCCATCACAGCAAGTTTGCAGCCCAGAACCAAATTGAAGCCTGTGTGTAGCCATTGCGCATGATTGATTGCTCCATAGCTTTCCGGGGCGAATGTGAAGAAAAAGTCGAAGAACTTCTTCGCTCCGGTGAGACCACGACTGAGAAACTCCACCTGAAAGGGGGATAGGTCCAAGCGTTGATGACCACTTTGAAGATGCGGTGGAAGTCCAGCATCGGAATGAGAGCGAGGTATTGATGAAGCAGGCTGATTAGGTGTTTCCTCCTTATCAAATAAACAAGCCTGGCAAAGGAACAGCTGTAAAGTGTGTAAGCCAAATTGTAAGAGAGCTAGCATTTTGTCGATAAGAAGTTAGCATCACATGCGTATTCTTCTTGAGAGAAGAGTGCCACTCACAATTGTCAGAAAACTCTGTTGACAGTTTCATCTTATATTGATCGATCTCGGTTTGGAATCCATGCATATCGGCCTCTCGCACTGAACTTGCAGTATTGACCACAGCGTCATCGATCCGCTCGAAGATTCGTTGCAATCTGACTAGTTGTATCAAGTATCGATCGCTGGCAGTTTCGGCATTTGATAGCAGTTCAAAAGCTTGTTTCTCGATATATGGCAATCGAGTCATCATGCGATCCTTTTGCAACACTGTCGACCGACTACACGATTCAGCCCTGTCAGCGAGATAAAGATAATGTGGGTCTTATTACTGACCATGAAGATAGGATATAGCATCCAATCAAAGCTCTTCTTTTGTCGTTCACAGATTGTTTGGTACTGTATAAATCTGATGCTACCATGTTCACGGCCATCCGTGAGTAGAATGACTGGGTTTCTGACACTCGGTCGAGTCGTAAATCCCCAACGACACTCCAAGCAAGATGAAGATAGCTAGAGAATCTCATGTTTTCGGACTGGTGTTGTGACCTGCAATAAAAAGCATTTGAGTCAGTATTATCTTCTGTTTTAAAGTGATATGGGGATCAATGACCATGCCAAAGCGATGAGGAGTCCCTGTAGCACGTCCATGGATGGATTATGGGAGAGTATCATCCGGTCAGCCACAGCCGACTGGAAAGCTCCTTCAAATACCTGCTGAGTGGCGGTGTTTTGGCTTAATGAGACCTTGAGAATAGCCAGCAACAAAAATGGCTTCTCTGCTCGTAGCTGATCGAGCGTCGTTTCGGGTGCGATTAAAACGAATGGAAAATATGGCATCAATTTGTGCCGGAAGGTGTTGAGTATAGTGGCCGCATCATCATAACTCACAACTCCACGGTCGATAACATCCTGGGACTTGTCCTGGTTGGGGTGAGCTTTTGGCTCAGGATTAGGTATGCCACAAACACCGGGTATAGTTTGGTGTTGATTAGCTACCCGTGACAAGAGTTGATCGACCTTTGCTTCAAGAGCCTCGACTCGTCTGTTATTTCAAGCTTTCATCAGCACTAGCTTGAATACCGCTAGTCATGGAATTCGGAGCCTTACGTCCCTTTCTTCACGGGGTTGTAGCGTGCCCGAGCGGGCCGGAAATAGCACTCTTTGTCCAGGCGTTGGCATCTAGATCTTACATTAGCCTTTTGTCTATGCATCCTCAAAAGAGCTCGTCGACCGTATTCATAGTGCCACTACTTACCGATCGCATGCCGAAGAATCGGGGGCTCGGACACATCGGATTTTACCGCGAGCACAGTTTTGGCACGTTTTAATATTTCCCACCGTAGGAGACGCCATTTTCCGATTTAAGTAAGGCTCGTTTTGTACCTATAAGGCGTAAGAGCAAGGGAGAGGGCAGGCGAAGAGGATAAGGACAAGGATACGGACACGGACACGGACAAGGACATGGACAAGGACACTCCGAGTCTTGGCATCAACCGGCAGGCAACGACTTATATCGGACCCACTTTAGCGCTATAACCCTACCTTCGAGCTGATGGCAGCGTTGATGGTTGGTTTAATTCAACATCGAAGGATTTGGGTGTCAGATTACAGCAACTCTTGAATCTAAAAAAAGGCCACACAGCCTCATATGGGCTTCAATGAGTAGATAGGCAACGTGGAACACCTTGGCAGCACTTTGTAGATCTGGAGATAAATAGTGGCAGTTTATCATGGTTCTACTCAAGAAATTAACTCACTCACGACCTCTACAATCTTGCTTTTCTTTGAAAAACTACACGTCTTTCCACAACCTCTATACCAGACATCCACTATGGCCAACACCGATGAGTGTACCTTGCAAACATGTCCGTTAAGCGCTGCTTATATCGAATATCGGCCTAATATGCCCGGGAATATGGTTTACCTTGCGATTTTCGCAGTCTTGATGGTTGGACAGGTCGGTGCGGGCATCAAGTATCGAACTTGGAGTTTCATGGTCCCAATGGCTGCTGGCCTTATATTAGAGGTGATAGGATATTTGGGCCGAGTGTTCCTACACAACAATCCATTCAATTTCGATGCTTTCTTGATGTAAGTTACTACTTTCATCACACTGTTGGAATGGCCCTAACTGTTAACGATGTAGGTATTTGATATGTCTCACAATTGCACCAGCATTTTTCACAGCTGGCATATATCTTTGCCTGGGTCGTGTCATTACTGTTTACGGGGAGGAATTCTCACGCTTGAAGCCGAGAACTTACACCTACATCTTCGTGGCCTGTGATTTGATCTCTCTTGTGTTGCAAGCAGCTGGTGGTGCTGTCACCTCTATCGCCGATGAAAGATCCCTTCGGGATACTGGTGTCAACATCATGATCGCCGGGTTAGCCTTCCAAGTCGTTTCCTTGGTGGCATTCTCTGTTCTTGCAATTGAATATGGAGTCCGGGCTGTACGAGCACGACGAATGCATTCTCAGAAGCGACGAGCAAGCTGGAAGAGGAGATCATTCTTGCTAGGTAAGTACATCACGTCCCGACTCTATATCATGAATGACCCACTTACTGGATATTAATATTAGGCTTGGCAACCGCAGTTTTGACTATAGTGATTCGGTCTGCTTTTCGGGTAGCTGAGCTCCAGAGGGGTTTCGACAGTAGTCTTGCCAATGACGAGGTAGCGTTGATGATTCTCGAAGGCGCCATGGTTTCAATTGCGTGTATTTGCTTGACCGGCTTGTATCCTGCTCTGCTTGTGGGCAAAAATTGGAAGACACCCCGAGCGCTTACACTGGTCTCGGATTCGGAAACAGAATTGAATTGAAACATGGATGTCATGGTTTGAAAATGAAGGGAGGTTTGAGGTATAGAAAATGCTACAAAGGGACCGAGAATCCCTATCAGAGATTATCGCGATTTGTGGCTCGTTTCTGGCTGTGCGTGAAGACACTACCATTTTCGTCAACCAGTCTGCAAAGTTGTTTCTACTCAGAGAGACGAAAATTGGAGTTTTTGTTAGAGGTATAGAAGCTGAACACCGTACAAGTTTCTCTCCACTCGCTCTCTCGCTCTCTAGAAGCCACGTTCAAGACACTTTGATGCGACATCTTTCAACTTAAGTTTCCTGGATTCCCGATAGAGAAAGTCATACCACCTAGTCCGTATCCACTAGCAATTGCAAACTATGCGTGTTTCTATTGGGTTGTTCACGTTCACCATACCGGATGCCATAAAAAAGGATTTCGACGATTTTTCCGATACTACAGGCTAGCAATTGAAAGTAACCCCATTCAAGTATACAGTTCACCTCTGATATTTAGGCCTATGTTGAGCCTCACGAGAAGATTTCATCAAAGGGAGAGACCGGATTCGGTTTTGAATCAGACATTAGTGGACAAAGTCTGGAGTCCATGTCTTGAAATCCTCGAGGAGCATAGCCGTTCGGTCATCTCGTTAAACTGGGCGCAAGATGGAAGCCGACTCGGATCAGCGTCAGGCGACAAAACCGTCAAGATCTGATGAGGGGAATCCTACGACTGTCATCCTCGGTTTGTCTTGCTCGATCCGCCTGAGCTCATGAGGAGTGCTGAGGTTGGATGGCTTATTGGTCCTGGGGCTAGTGCTGACCAGGGGATTCCTTGGGGTTGTATTAGTTGGATTATACGGATGGGAGGCTTGGGGGATTTGCGAATAGGGAAGGGTCGCAGAATATTCTTGACCTGCGAAGATGAGGGTCGCACATCTTACAGTTCCCCACATTCACTCTCTATTTGTTGATTCCTTTGAGCTTAACTAATCACAATACTCCCTAGGGTTTCGCTGTTATTGAAATCTGATCCCCCACAATCCATGAAGACCAGCCCTGATCTTCATGGTTTGTTCTGCTTTGGTCTGGTTGAAATCTGGAACCCAGAGCTCGTGGCCTTGCAGTACAACATTACAGTTTGACCTGTCTACCATTTATCCTAGAGTTAAATACGTCTCTCCTGCCCACAATTTGTCTTTTAACCCAGATAACATTTTGATTCTATTTCTCCTTACAACTTTGCATCCCACCCTTGAATCATATTAGGATGGCGTGGATACCATACACTAGCTCCATGGGGAACTACTCTCTGTTCGGCGAAGCTTGTCAGGCCACTCAAGATCTGAACTACGATCACCAATTTTTCGGGTATCCACCGGCTCTTTCCCTCGAGAATACACTCCCGTTCTTTAAGGGGAATATCTTGGGTGACCCGTTTGTCCGAAGCCCTCAGCATGAACGACGTGCTCCTACTGGTCTAGGGGGACTTAAACTTCGTCGCCTCCCTTCCAGCACAGCTAGTCATCCATCGATCAAGTCCAACGAACCCATTCTCTCGGTGGAAGATACCACCACCGAGCCAAGTGCCATTTGGCTTCACTCGCTGTCATCCACGCCCTCTACAGATAACAAAGGACAATACTTCCAGACGGCATGAACATGGAATCCCCTTATGCGCCCGCTTGGAACGAGGTAAGCGGTGGCCAAATTCTACGGCTGCAAATATCCAAGTGCTTACAAACCGACTTCCTCGAAGAAGTCGGGGGTGAAATGCTTACGACGGGCACCCCTGTTAAACAGCTTTTCAAAGACTCCGATGTGAATGCACAAAAGATTGCCTCTAGAAAGAAATCCCCTCGCCCGATACGTCAGTAAACACCTAGGACATTACCCTCCAGGATTGCTGGGCTCGCATCTACACTCCCCCGTCAGAGACAGACAGCGGGTCTGTGGTTGTGTTCATTCACGGTGGAGGCTGGATTATGGGAAACCGAATATCGAAGATGCGGCATGCCGACGGATTAGCAAGTCAAGTGGTATGAAAGTTGTTAGCATCGGATATCGACTGGCGATCCATGAACCATCTAGATCGATACTTAGAAAGCATGTTATTTTACTGGAACGATCTACAATAGTAAAAGAATACTCCCAGACCACAGCAGCAATCGCTTGGCTGCAAAGCCAGACAAGTATTTAAGGAAGTACATTGAATTCTACAGGTGGCCATTTGTATCATATCGTACTTCGTTTATTAACTACCATGTCAGAAACGCACAGAATGCCCAGTTTCACGTACAAAAGCAAAAAAATAAAAATAAAAAATAAAAAATAAATAAATGTAACATCGATCCCCCGTTTCGATAACCAATAGTTCTAAAGTCAGATCCGTCACAAATTGCCTCACGACTCCTTCACGTGGACCACGACCTTGCCTCTCGCTCTACCCATTTTCAGCCTCTCAAACGCTTTCGGCGCGGCATTGAAGTCGAAAGTCGAGTCAATGACTGCACGTATCTTTCCTTCTTCCATCCACGCCGCGAGCTGGTCGAAGTCGGCGCTATTAGCCTTTGCCATGACAAAAATGTATTTTCTTTTTCCGCCTCCAAGAAAGCCAGGGAGCATCAAATTGCCGATGAGCTGTTTCATGGCGCTCAGACTCATTCCCATACCGACTTGGATGAACTTGCCGCCCGGTACAATGAATGCGTGCGACACTCTGTACAAGTTGGACGGGGATCCTACATTGTCGAGGATCAGATCGAAAATTTGCCCCTTTCCATTTAATTGATCGATTATTCCGGCCGATTGGTAGTCCAAAACCTCATCCGCGCCTAGACTCTTGCACAGTCCAACATTGGCTGCGGAGCAAGATGTCGTGACGTGACATCCAAGCGCCTTCGCAATTTGTATCGACACTACACCGGTGCCTCCAGATCCACCATTGATGAATACTTTGTCGCCTGCTTTAACATGTGGTTTTAAGCCTTGGTATGTTGTCATCCCAACGGTAGCGATGGAGACCATGTCGTCGGGTTTGAACCCATCCGGTACCAACGCAAGCGCATCTTTTGAGACAGGGACAAATTGGGCAAGAGCTCCATGCCCAAAAACCCCATTGCATGAGCCGTATACGATATCGCCAATGCGAAAGGAATCCACCTGACTACCGATCTCAACAACGCGGCCACAGACATCTAAGCCAGGCGTAACAGGTGACCGGAATATCATCTTTGTAAGAAGACCAACTTCAAGGATCTTGTAGTCAATGGGATTGAGCGCCGTGCTGTAGACCTCAACAAGTACCTCGTTGGCTGTGATTTTCGGTTTGGGAATTCCTGAATCAGGCAGATAAAGGTTCTTCTCGATTGGGCCGCCTGAAGACCGAAACTGCCATGCTTTCATTGTCGCCATTGTGGGTTACGAGGAATTTCGAAAAGAGTGCAATAGAAGCAAGATAGGAAATCAGAACGGGGAGGTTTGGTTGCCTTGGTATTTCTCAGATCTATCGTCGCGACATATATACCCACAGTAACTTAGCACCACTCGGAACGTCGGGGCGATCGCCCCCCGCCGATCCCGAGATTGGTCATCTCATACAATAGGAGGTATGATGAACCGGCTGTTCCGCGGTTTGGTGATGTTGTCCGTATATAGAAGTCGCTAGAATAAGATGCCTATATTTATAAGCAGATTCATAAGAACCGGAGATGCCAAAGAGGCGGAGAATCCGCGAGATGTAGAGGTGTCAGATGTATTGAGTTTACAACAATACATAATCTAAATAACCAGTCTTATCTTAATTAACTTACTTTGAATGTTCAATCAAACCTCACCAATTTGACTTTGTACTTTCCTACCTCATCTTTTTATCTTTTTAGGGCAGCAGCTCGCACCTCGCGCGTGTTCCAGTGCGGAAGACAATACTATCTGTATTAAGAGGGATTTTCGGATAAACTCCCAATATGCGGAAATGCAAAATTCATTGACGAAGTTTGCTTCTCCTAGTTCGAAAGGTAAATTACGCCTTTGCTCTCATCGCCCAACGTCCGATGACCGTGCTGGGAAATGTGAGAGACGTAGATGTGGATCGTTATAGGTTCGGCAATCCAGTCGAATATAACTCGGGAGATTTACGGGACGGCCATGTGGGACTAGGACGGCTTCGCGCTTGTTTGTACTCAGTTCATACTCCCAATTACATATCTACCGCGCGCTCCCAATATTAAAATTCCAGTGAGCTTACTCTTACCATAGAAACGCAAGTAAAGGGGGCTGTGCCTCACGATTACAGTTTTCCCTCGCAAGTCCTGACCAAGGGGACGCAGTGTATTTGATACATCGGCAAATTTTCGAATATCATTTCTGTCCGCTGCAGGCAACGGGGAAGTAAATTGAAATGGAATCAAAACAGGGCAGGCGTTGGAAGGCCGTCCACATGTACTGGGTGCGTGAAGGACAGTATTTATATTGATCGCAGCTGGTTCTGCGTGGCAGCAGCAGTGGCTGCCACTGAGATAGTGATATTAGAGCCCATGTGCTTGGCACATCGGAGGCCGAACCGCAGTGAAGAAAAAGCGCGACGGTTCTTCATTTTTTCTGGCTCAATTTGTTCACTTAGCAACCATGTAATATCGGGTTTTGGACGGGTTTAAGCGGATTCTGGCTCTGCTTACTCGGAGGCAAACTGGAATTCGCTTGGCAAGCTGCACTCCTCAGCCTAGCCACATCTTTAAATTTGCGGGGTACCCTATTTGGCTAGATTATATGTCGATCGGTAGGTTGCAAAACCAGCACACGGTGAATGACTCGGTCCATCGGCCGTTCGGTCTGATTCCGGCCCGTGGTGCCACTGTTAGATGGGCGAAGTGGGGAGATACTGTTAGTCCTCGACGATTATCCTCACACCAACAAATGCAGTGACTCGGGCGAACTGCCAAAAGAGTAATGTCCGCAAGGAATATAAAGCGGAAATTATTTCCTGAAACCTACGGCATACTCTCGCACTGTCACTCCTTCTCGACATTCGCCTGCATTCGGCCTTTCAGCCAAGATGTCCATCACAGACCTCGTTATAGTCGTCGCCGGAGCCTCCAAAGGAATTGGCAAAGCCATCGCACTGCGTGCTGCAAAGGACGGTGCGTCCGTGGTGATCAACTATTTGACTGATTCTTCGGCGGCAGAGGCTCTTGTGACACAAATTGGCAATGAACGTGCACTTGCAGTGCAGGCGGATATTTCCAAGTCATCCGAAATTATTCGTCTGGTCAAGGAAACTGTGGCACGATTCGGCAGGATTGACGTGCTTATTCCAAACGCCGCCTTCGTACCCGTACGCGGCTTGCGAGATATCACAGATGAAGACTTCGATCGGGCGTTTGCCGTGAACGTTAAGGGACCGTGTTTTCTTGCGAAGGTGGATAGATCTTTTTGCCCTTTACAGAGGAGTAGATTCTGATTACTTTTTAACAGGAAGCTGTCCCGTACATGAAACCGGGCAGCACTATCATCTTCATCTCTACCGACCTTGCAGACTCTGGTTCCGCGCCTCCAGAGCTTCTACTTTATGTGTCCACGAAAGCTGCTTTGAATCAGATGACACGAATAATGGCCAAGGATCTTGCCACGCAGGGCATTCGGGTCAATGCTATTTCTCCTGGGGCAACCAGGACCGAGCTCTTCAACAAGACCAATAGTGTGGACACCATACAAAAGATTGCAAGTCACAACCCTTTCAAGCGAATTGCAGACCCAGATGAGATTGCTGGAGCGGTGAGCCTGTTGTGGAAGGATGAGAGCAGGTGGATTACTGGGCAGGTGGTGAAGGTGAATGGAGGTTCGCCATGATAAACCCACCCACCCATTGTCAGACTTGAGCTTTTCGGGTCACTGGGTGAAAAGTCCACAATATTAGTTTGGGTTTATTGCTAGATTTGAGAAAATAGATCCTGAGAATCACTGTTAACCAATGTTGTGAGGCCTAGGAACGATACTCCTATTATTTTGGTCCTCTTCGTACGTTGTCCGTTACCGATAATCCATAATTCATCAACCTATGTGTTATTATCAGCCAACCAGAGCCGAGGAATCTCAACCAACGGCAGTAAATCAGCAGCAGTTCCCTGGGTTAGCGTATCAGCACGGCAAGCAATCAAGCATTTCTTCCAACGACTCGGGACAGCTGAACATCCATAAAGTAACCGCTTGTTTGGTCCATACTGCAATAATTTGGGAACGACGCGGCGGATCAATTGACCACCAAAGTTGTGGACTTGTGAGGCAGACCAGAAGGGGGGGGGCAGGGGGAGCGCATCGGTGGTCGGTACTCGGCGCTCCGAAATCCCGACATGCGGCACTATCAAGCTAGCCAGGTGTGGGGCCTGTAATGATATGATCTTCAAGAACATGTCTCGGCGTCACGGAAATATGCTCAGGTGAGGGTACAGCCGATAGGGTGTAATCGGCGCGGAGTCTGCTTATACGCTCATTATTTCAAGTCTTTGCAGTTGGTGATCGCTGATATTGCCATTTTATCTCCGCCCGGACTTAAGGGCCAGATTGCTCAGTCTCTGTACTCAACGGATATTCTCGTTTCTAGCTCCTATAAATACTCCACTACCACCTGCATTTGTACCTTATAATAATCGCGTGTCTGTTTCTGCAAAGTACAACATGGCCTTTCCGTACAAGAAAATCATCATCCTGGGGGCCACGTCCGGTGAGTGGAGGTTTTTATTGCAGAAACCGGTGCTTAGCTCTCTGGACAGCAAGCTCATCAGACACTCTAATAGCTCTAATAGCTAACTTATTCTGAAGGGATTGGTCACACGCTGGCAGAACGTTTAATCCAGAACGGCAGCTTTGTTATCGCGGTTGGTCGTCGCAAGGAAAATCTTGATCTGTTTGTGAAGAAGCATGGCCCGGCGAGGGCCGCGGGTATCCAGTTTGATGTATGCAATCTGGATGAAGTCCAGCAGTTCGTGGCCGAGTAAGTCAATTTGATCTGTGGACCTTTGAGTAGCACCATGGGTTGTTTTGCATTAGATGCTGACCAGAGGAAATTCGAACCTGCCAGTGTCACCGCTTCTCACCCGGACTTGGACTGCGTCTTCCTGAACTCTGGAATTCAGCGACGATCTATCTTCAGCGAGCCTGAAACGATCGACATCGATCGCATTCAGGAGGAACTTACGGTGAGCAGACAAATTGCCCTAACTCTCTGCCTCTGTCTACCACGGACTGACATAAATTCGGGTTGCCTAGGTCAATTACACCTCCTACCTTGCTCTAACGAAGGGATTTCTCCCTTTCTTTCAAGCAAAATCGGATATTCCTACATCGTTTATCTTGTAAGTGCGCGCGCGAGACTAAGGAAGAGAACCATTCTCGCGCAGCATATCTTATACTTGTTTCACCACTGACAGATTGGCGCCTCATCTTGCAGTACATCATCAAACCTCGCCCTGGTCCCGATACTTCGGTGCTCTAACTATTGTGCCAGCAAGGCAGCCCTTCACCACTGGATTCTCTGTTTACGGGAACAGCTGAAGGAAACTAGGGTCAAAGTGATTGAGATATTTCCTCCTTTGGTGGAAAGTAAGGCCTCCTCCATACCTTTCTTCTTTACTATCATAGCTATTATTTTCCCTTTACACTACCCATCGCTGAGACTGCATTTTATAGCCGAACTTCATGACGCTAACCACCAACCCGACATGACCAAAAACCGACCGGAGGGGATTCCTGTGGACGAGTTCGCAGACGAGGTAAGCAAGCCCCGCAGGTTTTCTTTCGCCTAAATTCAAGCGAGACTCCTATTTTACCTGGGAATTTTGATTTCCATGCTATCGGTATATTGTTGACTGATTCAATCCTATTCGTTGCGTATAGACCATGCAGAAGCTCATCGCCGGCGACGACCAGATTCCAGTCGGCTTTTCGAGAATTGCATTCAATGGCTGGGAGCAGCAGCGGCAACAGGCATTTAGAAGGGTTGTGGAGATGATGAGGAATAGCGGTAATTGATGATATACAGTTGCACTAGTATGTGAGTCTTTCTTGACTCTGTTTTACTAAGCAAAGGTACTACTCCGTGTTATCTTTAAAATCACAATGTAAGACTTCATATTCTTTGAGATTTACAGATACAATCAATCTTACTAAAGCACTTTCTGCGCTATGCCTAACCCGGGTGGGATTTGCTTTATGTCGCGGAGGGCAGATTAAAAGTGGAATTAACCAAGCTAGCGCCTATGTATCGCAACTGGCCGCTGTCCACAACGCCATTCAGTGCCTTCATTATCTCCTCCCTTGGATCTGTGGCACGTCAACGCAGGTCCCTAGCCGACGGACACTATTCAACTGCGGTAAGGAATGCCTCCAAGACGGTCCCACTCGACTGACCCAGTCTTTTCCGTCGTTATAAATTGTTGCTCGAAAACAGTCATGATATACTCATGCATAAAAGTCACCAAGATATCCGCTGCGAGCAGTGGCATGCCTCGGGCCTCGACATATATGTAATGACATTAATAGATGCCCGGGATCAAAGAGTACCGAACACGGTTTTTGATCTCTTGATAGGCACCACCATACTATATGGCAATTAATCCGTTAGAGACCACCAGAAAAGATATCTTAACTAGCAAGAAACAGACTTACTCTCTCGCTCATGTACTGATCCAACACAGGGACGCCACGAGAGGCGAAATCGTGAAAGAAGAAGGTGAAGGTCACTGCACCGAAGGTAAGGCCACCGCAAGTCAAAGCATATCCAGTTCGCCAGATTGTGTAGGCTCCATAATTGATGTTAGTAGCGAGTGAGAAGAGGCCACCGCCGTAGGGCTTTCCTTGGTTCTTAGGGTCCTGTTTGAACGTCTTGCGCTGGAATTCCGATATCGCTTCAACTAGCAGGCCAAGAGAGTACGCCCCAACTCCGACAGCAATCAAAGGAACTGACAGTGTATCAAGCAGGCTGTTCGATTTGGGAACGGACGTAGCCGAGGAGGTCAACGTCCAGAGCGACAGGAGGGTGTTCACAGTGTTGAAAACTGTATTGAAACAGGCAACAGCGATGCCAGAGCCCACGTCCATAGCCTGTTCGGAGACAAAGACAATGTGCACTACCTGCTTAAGGCTGCTACCCAGTGCTAGGAGACTGACCAACACATAATAGGGTTGTAGGCCGGAGATCGCTGCAGGGTAAAGTAGCTGCGATGAATGCACAGGATGGCCGCCGAGATTCTCAATCAGACGTGTACCCCAGCTCCGATAAAACAAGTTGTATTGCCACAGCACATCTGCCATACGAAGACACACAAACAAGCCTTTGCCTACCCGAGAAGGCTTCTTGACTCGGGAGACATTATCGCGTAGCTCTTTCGGTGCCATGGTGAGGCTAGTCAGCTCCAAGCATGAATGGTAGATCAAAAACCAAAATGGTTCGAGGAGATGCAAGAAGCAAATATAAGTATGTAAGAGGCGTCTTAAGTAGAAAGCGATTCCCGTTGGCCACTAACTCGCCATTGAAGCCCGTGGGCTCGGGGCCAAATGTGGCCGAGGGCCGATGTTTAGTAATACTGGGATTGGGAGCTTGGGCACTTGGTTACCATAATATGAACCCGCTAATTTACACAATTACAGAGAGCCTGGAACCCATCAATACCTTCCTAGCATGAAGTCGAACTACCAACAAGTATCTCTCATTCACGAAACAATTTCACTCAGGTTCGTCCACGGAGAAAACTGCTGGCGGAACGCAACTAGCGCGAATGAGGACGGGCAAATTCTTGTACGTATGCATGACGTGTGTCGAGGAGAAAAAGTTGATTAGACTCAGTTTCATATCACAACTGTATGATTTCCCACTTCTGAGCGAGGCGCAGAATTTCATGTATGAACTCAAGGCTGCAACTACTGAAGCCAATATACAAACGGCTAGAGGTGGAACGGCAGCTACAGTAGAGAAAGCATTCGCAAAGTAAATTAAGATTTCAACAATCTTCACCAGTCATAACGACTTAGAGTCCCCTTATTCCGGCATCCATCCATCACGACTAGGTACGAAACCCTCAATGCCTGAACCATATCCCTCCCAACCACGGAATTCAGTAACATATTTAATGGCTGCTTTCAAATATATATCCTCTTTCCGTCCAAATGTCTCCTCAAACACCTTTGGAGCTCGCACGACTTTGAAAAAGTGCACATCGAGTGCCCACTTGCTATTCAGCGCGGTATTAATAACCCAGTCCCAACCTCGCCCATCTAGCGTAACTTCCTCCAAAACCTCAATTCCGAAATTCGGTCGTAGCTGCGACACATACGTCAAGATCACAAAAAGTACGTACTGCTTTAAGACAGTCGCCAGATGCTTGGGCGGGAGATAAGTCCATAGGACACGAAGTGCGTGCGCAACCGTCAATATATGAGCGTTATAAAAGTCGAAAGATCTTTCCATGTCGCCGTTACTGAGTGCAATAAGAACTGCTAGATCGCAGCACTCCTCAAATTGGCGTATAGGGTCAACCACTTGCCAAGCATTCCAGTGCTCCCGTACGACGTCAAGGTGTTGCCGCTGCGTAAGGATATCAAGGTTAAGTATCCCAGGCTCCGAGAGAACTGAGTCAAAGCGCGAGTCCTTCCGGACACGCTCGATCACTTCAGACAGCGAGGTGGTTTTGTACGTTGAGTTGTCCACGGATGGGTGGTCAAGTAGGGTATGCAGTGGGTTATATTCAGTGCACCCTTGACTGAGGGCTTGGGTTGCTACCTGCGGGCTGGCGAATTCGTATGCATATGCTAAATGAATAAAGGGGTGGCCAACTTTATATCATTTATCGTCAGCTGTCCGGTCATATCCTGCGGTAGCCACGGTGCGCTGCCGGTAGTAGAGAAACTTACGGCCTCCAGTAAACCCATTGATCAGAGGCTCAGCGCCCGAATACAAGTATTCTTCCAGAACCTTTGTCCAGGCGCCCTCATGTTCCTTGACTTGGCAGTCAAAGAAATCAACATAGGCAACAGTGTACCTGCCGGCATCCCACGTTAGCTGGGGCGAACAGAGGCTGTAGTAGGAGCATTCGCTTCGCTGGGTATCCGCTTACTCTTTCTGAGCAAGAAAATTCCTCCAATTATCCCTAGAAATTGCGTCGCCACGGATGAAGCCTCGGCCAATAGGCACCAACTGAGTAATTTCATGTTCGTAACTGCGGACTAACTGATCTTTGTCCGCACCGAGGGCATACGCGGAACCTAGGAACTGTTGTTGAATTTATAAGTATGGTGCTCATTGATATAAGTCAATAAAAGGGTATTTATGGAGTAAGGAACTGCGCATACATGTGGCAGATGGCTATGGAGAATCAATTTGGGATCTCGGAGCGGAGCCACGGTATCATGGCCTTTTGCAAGCAATTCTCCGAGCTTTTCAGTTCGGGAATCGGAGAAATTGATTACGTCGTAAACGGGCACAGGACTCATAGTCCGAATGTTGGAGGCCTTAGGGAGACGAATGGTTGACTTGGTAGGAATGCTGATTGAAGACATTTTAAGTTTCCTTTCTTCGAGGGGATCGATGTGGAAGAGCCAGGTGAAAGAGGGATGCTACTACTGAAATTTGAGAATTGCTTGCAAACTTGATTTATATATCTCAAGAACAGTCTGGTGGAAGCAAGTTGCACACTGCTCTGATACTTGCTTTCTAGAGGCAAATGCATTATTACCGGTGATATAATCCCCCTACTGCAAAGCAAAGCGTCGGAATCAGCGGCTTTTGGAACCCTGTTAGGACAACCAATGATCAGTACTATCATCCGAAGGAGTACTCAGCCTAGCTACACCTTTAAGTTTGCGGGTTACGCTATTCAGCTAGATTTTACGTCGATCAGTCGGTTGCAAAATCAGCGCAAGATGAATTACTCGGCACATCGGCCGTTCGGTCTCTGAATCTATGGACTGCCTCCGGCCCTTGGTGGCAAAACTGTTAGCTGGCAAGGGTGGGGAGATATTGATAGCCTCGAAATTTACCCTCACTCGGAGATACCGCCAAAAGAATGACGTCCGCATGAGATATAAAGCGGAGAGGATCCTGCTTGTTTTGTCTACACACTGTAACGGTTCAGGAACGATGCCGTAGATCCATTGGCCACCGAATTTGCGGGCTTGTGAGAGGGGCTTCGGTCAGTTGGGACTCGGCGCTCCGAAAGCCCGACATGCGGCATTATCAAGTTAGCCACGGAGGCTTGAAACAGGTGCGGGTCTGTGTTGAAGCGGGCAGATCGAGCTGGGGACACAAACTTACGCTACAACACAAAGAGATTGGGACCCTCTTTGCGCCTCGAGCATTATCCTTAGGAGTTTCCTGTAAGATTCAAGCGTGTAAACGTATATATGCATATACATAGTACATGTCGCCTGCAGATCGCTCAGTGAATTGATTTTACAAACTAGACCAAAACACGAATCCGTACCCAGGCTAGTGGGTGGTAGTATATGACCAGCTCAATGATGGGTCGGGCAAATGATTTTCTCACATACTCTTGTATGATGTGCAGGATGCGATCATAATTTAGACTTGATCCACTCAAGGCTAAAGATTAATATGCTTACATATAGAGTTTCATTGGCCAAAAGGACATCAGGCCCCATAAAAGCCCCACCCTTGAAAACCCAACTTATATCCGGTCAGATACCAAATCTGCAAATGACCGCATCTACGGTTTTCACTTCCAGCATAGATGATTTTGGGAGATAAGGCGGGACGCGTAATCTACAAGTTCGACCTAGAAATTGAAAATTTCTTCTGTAATTTTTGATTGTTTGCGTACGCTCTGATTTCATTCCGCGTTCTCTGAAAGAAGGAAGACCATCCATCATCTTTGATCAAATATTCACATCATAACCCTCAGTAAGGTGTCACCAATCACTGCTGCACTCGGTGGATTTTGACCCGTTATCAACTTTCCCCCTTTGCCGCTCACGACCACTTTCACACCGAATAACCCATCAGCACTCTCATACTGTGCGCCACGGTTTCGTAGCTCTGATTCCAGAAGGAACGGCATATCTTTGGTGAATTGCATAAATTCTTCCTCTGCATCGGAAAGGCCAGTCACCACCTGGTTGGAAACAAGATACGTTCCATCGGACAGCTTGACATTCACGAGAGCAGCTGGGCCATGGCACACGGCTGAGACAACTTTGCGGGACTCATAGAACTCCCGAATCAAAGACTGAGAGACAAAGTCGGTTGCGAGGTCAAACATCGCTTTTTATTATTTGTTAGGGCCTCATTTTATGCAGAACATCGTGAATATACGCAGGGGATAATTACTCACGGCCATGACCACCCACGTAAAAGATCCCAGAAAACTCAGCCGATCTTCCCAGCAATGAAGACAACTTTTCCGTTCTTTTCCAGACATTGTCATTCTCTCTTAAGAATGCCTGGCATTCGAGGTCATCTTTAGTGACTTCAATGGAGTAAGGATCCAACGGCGCCTCCCCGCCAGCTGGAGACGCAACGACGATGTCGAAATGCGGGGCCAGCTTGTTGTAAGGATGAACAAGCTCCGGCAGATACCAGCCAGTAGGGGTTCCTCGACTAGGCAAAATTGCTTGGGACGAGAGGACGAAGAGAAACTTAGGTCTTTGAGACATTTTGATAGAAAGAAGAACTTTGGTAGGGGAGGAAAGGATGGAATGTCGAATGCAGCAGACTGGGGCTATGGCAAGAAAATTAAGAGTATTTACCCGTCCACCGGCATTTGCTCTTAAATAGTCTGAATACGAAACAATTGTCGATCCTGACTCAAGTCCTGCAAGGGCCGACTCATGCGTGATTTCATGGAAACATGATTATCCTCCGGCACCGAGAATTTGGACGGCCTTTTGATAAATCCGTTGCAAATACCGAATGTTTAAATAAAAGAAAAAAGGATTTTAAAATTGAGTATACTTTCTAGATTTTTTTCTTCTTTTTTTGATTTGCTTATCTGCACACTGTGGGGCTATTCGGACTTAACAATAAATCCTTAAAATGAAGTAATTCTACGAACCATCATATTGTTGGTAAGCTCGATGTAACCGACCCCTGAAGGAAGTTTCTAGCAAATTGGCAATATCTTAGAATTCAAATATATAAGTAGGAATGCCTGAATTCGGGTCTTGTTAAAGTCCTCGTACCAAAAACCAAAGTCTTATCTTCCTTTCTTGTCGTCCGCCTCGCCTTTGAACCATCTTCGATACGCGTTCCTCAAGAAACTATCTGGCACTATGACATACACCATTACCGTCCTCTTCCCCAACGAGCCTGATGCCAAATATGATACGGAATACTACGTGGCGCACCATATGCCCCTCATTCAACATCATTGGAAGAGGTTCGGGGTGCAAAGTTGGTCTGTAACCACCTTCGGCCCTGCCCCGGATGGAACACACCCTTTTTATGCATTTGGAAGCGTTGTTATTTGGGATAGCAAGCAAGGTGTCGATAAAGCCTTCGGCAGCCCTGAGGCGGCTGAAATCATGAGTGATGTTCCAAACTTCAGCAACAAGCAGCCAGTATTCTTGTTTGGCGCACGAATTGAGGCAGCAAAATAGATGCCTCAAGGAGTCGTACGCCTCTATTTAGCAGAGGTATGTACCTACTCCTTTGCTTCTCAGCCAGCGTATCTAACTTGCCAACGCATTAGGTCTGATGTAAGGAATGGGGATTGTTGCATGGGGATCTCATATACAATGCTTTTAACCACGCCTATACGGAGAATCCAATAAGCTATTGACAGCTACTCCCGCCTGTTGAGTAATAAGGCCTCAAAGACTATTCCCTTTCGTTATTCACTTTCAAACACGGTACCTAATGTCTGACGTATAATGTTTATCAAGCTGGATCCAAAAATGGCTCTTTGCGTAGCTTTGCTAACCCTGGGCCTTTCACTAAAGAGCCTCGTCCATCGTTATTTAAAAATGTTCTAATTTAGTAGAATTATCAATTAATTCAAGAATGCTCTTGGCTCCTCATGCATAGGCTGAAGGACTGAAGCGGTTCCAAGGCATATAGCTGCATCGTTGCGCAAACTGTGACGTGGGCATTAACGCTAAACACAAAACTATCGAGCTTAGACATACTAACTCGGACTACGGCTCCCGTATCATCTTGCGAGGAGCGGTCGAAATAAAATTATCTCACTGTCCTTGTCACGAGGACAGGCTTGCAGACCTTTCGACGATGAATGGTAAACCACGGAGAGCAGCAATAGAACTGTAATCAATTGCTAAAGTAATGCTGAATGGAGATCTCAGTCAATCCCATGCATGGAGATCACAAGTTGATACTCCGGTATACTGTAGTATTCCAGGCCGAGGCACCCATCCCCCATGGCATTTGTGATTAGATTAACTTGTCTGTCTGCCAACCGAGGCTTACTATTGATGTCCTGGTCCTTAACCCGCCAAGGCTGTTTCTCGAGAGGTTAAATATATGAACCAGTTTCGCGACTATTCTACCAAATAACATACCATAGAGTTCCTGATGTCCTACGGGCACGCAATGTAATTGTGGCATGTCGCTATATTCGTGATCACGACTTGGGCACTCTTGGGTTTGAATGATTATTACTTAGCCAGAATAAAGCAGGTAGAGTCTGTTTTACTTGTTACTTCAGCTTGGACAGGTTTAGCCCGTCTTTTGCACTATGCGATACCGGCATTTGTTCAGAGTTCACCTCTACTTCTTCTTCGTGGGAATGGCTTAGGCAAGTGGCCACCAAAGTGGGCGCGGCAACAGCAACAAGGGTTGTTATGCTTCGGACAATCATGACCTTTACATGCGACTGAATGAGGCGTTTTCGGTCGCAGTGCATGATAACCGAATGCTAGGCATCGCCGCCGCAGCCACTTAACAGGGATGGCAGCATCATATTCAAACAATCCTGGGCTACAACGAACATTCATGACCCGTACTCACCGCTCATAACACTATCTACCAGAATGCATATAGCGTCCATGACCAAGACGGTGACGGCCAGCGCAGCTTTTCAGTTGTTCAAACAGGGAAAACTGAGCCTCGATGACCCAGTTAAAAAAATACCTCCTAGGACTCAAAAGCGCCCAAGCTCTCAAAGGCTTTACAGACGCTAGCGGACCAATCTATCGAGCTCCAAAGAGAAAACTGACTCCGGAATCTCATGATACGCGTCTAGTTTGACCCTACGAACTCCTCAATGGAAACACCAACTGTTGGCCACAATGGAGTCAGAACGTGACCTTCTTCACTTAGACGGGTTGGGCACGTTCCGACATCCAAGGTCCATTCGGGTATGATCCAGGCGAGAGCTCTAGCTATAGCTACGGCACTAGCATCGACTGGCTCTGCTGGGCCGTAAAAGCAGCCTTCTCCATGCCGCTAGACAAGTATGTAGACGAAAATATACTCAAGCCTCTCAGCCTACGGAACACGGGTCTTCTCCCTACCGATATTGCAGTGCACATGCGAGCTGCCAATGGGACGATTACGGCGACACCCTACTCAGTTCCTGCTGCCAAACCGGGGGGACTTTGTCGCTTCAGGCGGGAATTTCCTGGCATCCACACTTTACGATTATAGGAAAATTCGAAATCAGATTACCCGTCCGACACTCGTGCTTTCTTTCCAGCGCCCCACCCCGATTACGCTAAAGAAATGTCGAGAGTTAAAGGCACGAATTAGATTTCGAAAATATCAAGAACATTACAGTAAAACCATTCTAACTAGAACCACCAAAAATATAGCGCACAAAGCGAGACGCTACTGTACTTTATTGCGAAGCGTTACATGCAATGTAGTTTCATGCAGATGTATCGTCGAGATTAGCGTGGCAGATCCACATTGGACGGTAGATTGACATCACATAATTTTAGCAAATTGGCTGAGAGACACTACGCCGTGCATGCTTAGGCTGTGTTCATAGACCGAAGAGTTACAGGCACCGATGAAAGACACAAGGGAGAGCTTCCCAAAAGAAAGAAAGAAAGAAAGAAAGAAATATTGTCGACTTGGGCATTGATGACAGAAAACTGGTCAAGACGCGCTGGGAAATGATCCAAGCATGTGAAAATCAGGAGAAAACCAATATCCTCTGAACAACAAGCTGCTTCAGGTACCCGAGTAAGTTTAGAACCTAGGTGTTGAAATCAAGTCGTCGAGTGAGCTTGAATCTACGGGCACTTTACAGTCATCTCATAACCTATATGTAGAGCCAAAGATGGAAACTTTAATGGATCGGTGACCCTTCTTACCACAGACTGCACGAACTTCCTCGTCAGAGAAAAGGAAGTGTAAATATCTGTCACTTTTTACTGTCGGCTTACCAATGTATCCTGTATGCTCGAACATTTGCGCCCTGTTGTCTGATACAACGCATGGAGAGCCCCAAGATGATGCGAACAAAACGCAACATGGCTTCGAATGAATACCAGAAGCAAAGCAAGCCATCGATTGGCTAACGGAGGGCTTCAGATGTGCACTTGTTAGTTCATTTTAACACAAAGCAAATTTTCGTGGAACCTGATACATCGCGTATGCTATCGCGGGGATATAAAGGTAAAAGCATGACGAATGGTATGATTTGATCGGAAAAGAGTTCGACCCGGTTGTGCAGAACGGCGAGGCACAAGCTGACACAGCCTTGTGTGGTTTCCGGAGGAATGCGGGGGAAGGCAACTTGGGATTAGTTTTATATAAAAATAGCCGACGTAGGCAAGAAGAGCCAAGGTATTAGGTAGACGATTTAGGAAAAAGGGTCGGACGGTGGCCAAGTCTAGCGGTGACCCTGACAGATGTGTCTGCCTGTTTGCAGGGAGCTTCGGGAGCATCGTACAAGGATATTCTGATATGTTCGAAGATAACTTGGAAGTTTGACGATCGGACAGCTCGATCAGCTGTGCGGCTTGAGCGATCACACGAAAACCCTCTTGATAAGGTCTTGTCCAGGTCTTCGAGTACATGAGTTGGCTGGAGCCCCTCCTTTATTGAACTGGGGTTGTGATAAGGAAGTCGAAGTTGTAAGGATGTGATTAATCTATACCTGTTATGCGCTTCGAGCCGAAAATCTCGACCGGTCGAATAAGAGTCTGAAACTGAGGCACATGATTCTGGGCATGGAAGACACATCAAACAAGAAGGGGGAGAAAGCAGAAGTGGCAGGGAGGAGCGAAGTACGCCGAGCATGGAACGCGCAATGGGCAACTTCTGACCGCACAGCCAAGCGGAGATACGGGTTTTGTGTACAGTGCCCAGGAGCAGGCCAAGAGGAGAGCCAGAAAGAAAGAGCTGGTTCGGATGTCGGGGCCGCTGATTCGTCATAATTTGACTCATCTCAGCGGAATGAAAGGATGAGCCAAGAAGTTCCCCAAGAGTGGAATGATGAAGGTTCTTGACCAAATGGGCTAATGCAGCTCTGGGGAAGATTTACCTAAGAAATATTGAACAAAGCAGGGCGTTTGTGGGAAACTGATTTCTCAAAATGAATGCCAATGCCGCCAACCTCTCGGCGTCTGGGCGCCCTCGGCTCCTGGACGGATATCGTGCCGCGCATTTCTAGTGGAGAGGCAAACACATGAAAGACAAGGAGTAGAGGGAATCCAACAGGTTTAAAAACAGTCATTGTCAGCACAACTACACTCAACATATACTTATAAGTATACATACACGACACACTGCACAAATCACGTGCGTCACAGCGTTACCGCCAAGACTACAGGCTTCGTCTCATGGCGGATCATCATGTCGTGCAGCCAATTAGAGGCCGTTTATTCATCCCCGGCGGCAGCTTGGCGGCTTGGCAGTTGGTAACCTCCTGTAATCGACTGCAGTCGTCGAATTGCTCAGCTCTACCCACGTCTCACCGTAGGACAACTTCCCTTGTCCGACACCAAAATGTCGAGGACTCGGTGCTAGAGCTATGGCGAAGGGGAACGATCAACAGGATGCCCAAATGTTTTGGGTACTCTCTACATGGCTCGAGTCAATGCCAAGGGCTCGGCATCTGGGCGCCTTGGCGAGAGGACTGCAAACAGATGGAAATGCGCCTTCCGCTGTCTGGCCTGGCCTTTCCTGGCTTTTCCGCTCTGGTCTCATGAGATCCTCCGCAGTCTCTTATAAGTCGCTCCTTCCGCCCTTCCTCCCTCCTCCCCCTGTTCCCCGACTTCACGGAGTGCGCCTACCCCCCTATGCCAGAAAGATTATGCACCTTGGCCAGGAAAACATGCGGTGATCTCTCCTTCCAATAGTCGCCATCTGTGCGCCTCATACCGTCCTCGTCTTCACCTCCTGTCTCGCACTTACTCTCCGGTTCGTCATGGGGCTGCCGGAGATGTCCCATAGTCCCGCCTACTATCAGGATCTGGGACCCCTCGGACCAACACACACTCGCAACTCGATCGTCAACCCTTCCACAGCCGCTCGTCAATCCCAAGAGCGATCCTCGGTGCTCGGTAACCTTGTCGGCGGGTCCCGTCCTTCCTCTCCCTTGTCAAGCCTCGAGGTCAGTCCCCGCACATCTGGCTCAAGGGGATACCGTGTATATCAGACCCAAGCCCTGGGAGGATCGCCCTGGCCGGGGTCAGATCATCGGGAAGTGGGATCCCTCCCGGCCCGAGCCTCTATCTCGAGTGGTGCACCCAGAGAAGAGCGGACCCGGAGTAGCTGGGCAGACCAGCCGTCATTGATGTCGGGGGAACATTCCAACCCCAGCATAACTCGCACCCGCAAGCGAGACATTCCAGATGATGAAATAGTCACCAACGAGGGCCAAGATGCTCTCTTGATGCTGGTAAGTGTTAAATAATAGCTGTCCATGATTATATACTAATATAATGCACAGTTCCGACTCACAGTTGTCCCTTTATACGCCTTCGGAGGTGCCCTATACACCATCTTCGCCCTCTTCTTCGCCCTCCTTGTCTCACCTTTCCGTCTCTGCTCATTCTCACCATACCTCCGTTCAAGAACATTCGGCTCACAATTATGTGACCTGCTCTCTCCCGCCCTTCATATCCACGAACGGCTTGTGTGTATGCAGCCACCACCTGCAGCAAACCGATCACCATCAACACAATGGATCCAGTCCGAGCCAGACTCCGATCAGCCATCAATCGTATCCGAACCTAGCGAGGTCTACTCTGTCGGCACATCAGTCGTCGTCCTAGTCCTATCGCCATTCTTCGGCATTGCAATACTCCTATTCGCATGGACAGCCGCATTTTTCTGGGTATTCGCCATGGTCCTCGGAAACCCAGACGGCACCGAACGCAAAGACGACGGCCGTGCTGCCGTCCTCGGAGTCTGCAAATGGTGGCGGACATGGCTTTGCAAAGCCCGCAAATTATAATGATCAACGGCGATCTCGCCAACAGATGGCAGGCCGACCAGAAACACCGATGCGTCTCACCTCCCTGCCCTGATATATCATCTCGGACCGCATGATACCCACATTGTGGTACATGGCGCCGGCAACACGTGGAACGACCTCATTACATTACCTTTTTACCCTTCTCATGCCGATATTACTTCCGTCCCGACGGCCATGATTATACATTTTGCATCGTCGATGCACACGGCGTTTGGGATTGGCTTTATTTTTTTACCATGGGCGTCTGGCGGGCGCACAATCACCCCTCGAATTTTCGAATGTATCCTTTTTACCTTCTGCCTTGCAGATCATTAGGGTAGGGCTGCCGATCCCCGGTCAGACGAGACATTTTACTTGTCTGGTTGGGGATGCATTCGCCTACCTTGGAACTGTACTTGTATGTGTGAAACTAGTCTGGAGAGGAGATTGTATGAACGCACTGCTTTCAACTGCCAATTTGATACCCGGGTTTGCTGTTTGGATTTTTGATGTCTCGTAGTGACTACCGTAAGGAAAGTCCAATTAGAGGATGAGCCTTGCAAATGCTTCTTAGTCTGGCTTTCAGGGCTGATGGTTGCAGAATGACAGGGATCTATCCCGCTATGTAGACAGGGTCCCTGGGGTTTCTGACACGGGGCTACAACTTCGAATGGCGGAGAGCTCTGCTTCTTGAAAGCCCAAGGCGTGAACACCTCCAACTAACTTTCTCGCTATCCCAAGCCATCTTCCCAGGCAACATGGCCCAACATACGTTCTGATCCCTGGCGCAAATCGGGAACTAAGTCCCGTCTCACGCTTCTCGCACGGCTAGGGTATACAAGTAAGCCTAAACCGGGAGTTCACCTCAAAAGTTCTGGCTAAACATAAAATCAAACCGTAATAGTCACTTCGGCAGTCTGATATTATTGACTTCTATTCATGCTATGTACATGACTATTTACATAGAAATGCCCTGCTTAGCAATGCATATCACATCCTAAGAGGAAAACTGCCTATACCCCTGAATAATAGCCTCCCACCCACCAGGGTGATTATACTCGCTAGGATTCGACTCGCCATCCAGAATCATGACATCCGCCTTCCTCGTGTTAATAGAATACCAAACTAAATTCTCAGGACTATTAGCCACACGCATCATATTCGTCTGACAAGATCCATCACACTGAGTTCCGTAATCACCATTCCACTCCCCGTTAAAGAAAGCCCACGCGGCACTGTTATACAGCAAGACATCTTTGCCACCGTTAACATTCGTCGCAAGCGACGTACGACACTTCTGATCATTCGCACCGCACCACGAGAAATCAGGATCACCAAACGAAGACTCAGCCGTCCAAGGCGCCGGCGCCGTCTGCGTTGCACCCTCACCCTGCATATAGGGACTCTCAGTCTGGAGCATGCCCGCGTAGACATTCTGCGCGGAGTTGAAATTGTAGTTGTACAACCAGTGATGTTCAGATCCCGTTCCAGTGAGCCAAGTCCCCTTAACTGCGTCGACGAGGATGCCACGTCCGGTAGAGATGATCGTCTTCGATGATCCACCGTCTAGATTGTGGTCTGCGGTCCAGCCCCAGAAATTCTCAATATAGGCAGACGACGACTTGGTGAGATGCATCACCATAAACGCCGCCATGCACTGCGACGTGTCTTGGTTATCGCAGTTATCCTTGATACTCGTCTCGGCGGTGCCGCCTACAGTCACGATCGTATTCCACAATGCTACATCACCGGGTTTTGTACCGGCGGCATTGACTTCGAGAATGATCGCGCCGGGGAGGATCTCACCCACGCTGAAACGCATGTTCTGTATCTCGATGACGCCCTCGTCGTTGGCTTGTCCGACCTGGACTACTGGCTTCGGGTTCGAGGCGTCCTTGAATGCATTGCCTGCTCCGGAAATCACGGCCCATGCCTCGCCCATGATGCGCGAGCCCACGGGGATCTTCAGCGTGTTCTTGACAGTGTACACTCCATATGGGAAGTATGTGATCTTGCAGTTGGCTGCGTTATCCGCTAAGATGGCATTGAGTGACTCCACGTCGTCTGTTGAGCCGTCGCCTTTGACAGGGTGGCCGCTCACGTTTTTGACATTCACGACCTGGTCCGAGCCATACTCGGCGTAGGTAGGCTGGATGCGGGTGAAGTATTTGCCATTAGACAAGAGCGCGGCCGGTCTAGAGGTTGTGAGGCTCTTGCCTGACACGTACTGACCAGGGGTGATGTTACCCCACACCCACGTGTCGACCTTGTCGGTAGCGGCAAGCTTCACGTTGTTGTTGCTGTCGACCGCAATAGGATTGGTGGTATCGTGAACGAGGTTTTGAATGATCAGCTGGCTGTTGCGGTTGCCGCTGTCGTTAGACGAGTCATGGAACTTCACCACGGTGCCCGAGTTGGTTGATTTGGAATCTAGCAGGACCATACTTCCAAGACCGTTGCTGCTCATGTCAACGCCAAGCCCGACAGTATCGAATGTCACGCCCTGGAGAAGAGCGGTATGGCCACCGGAAGCCTCGAAGGCAGTCGTACACTTTCTGAAGTAGATGTTCTTGAAGTTGACCTGCTGGTTGGAGTTCTTGATTCCGACGGCGCCACCAGTAATGTCGACATCCGTCACGGCGATCGTTGATCCAGCGTTGATGTGGATACCAGTGTGTCCGGTCGAGCTGGTAGGCATATTGATTTTGACATTGGTCAAGCCAGACCCCTGAGCCACACCCCATTGCAATGCAGTGATCTTGGTATCAGCTCTGATAGCTGTGGTGTCAATAACCACGTTTCGCAGGAGAGTCATGAAACTCGTCTCAGGCGGGCCATTCTTGCTGTCGTATCCATTGACCACCGTATCACCGTTGAAGTCGGCTGCCGCCTTGAGCACTGGTGGATTCAGCGGATCACCGGTGATCACAGTTCCGACACGCAAATTCAAAGTGCTCCTAAGCTGGTACGTTCCACCGGGGAGAAAGACTTCCGCCGGGTACCTAGCGACACCCTTACTCTCGCGGCTGCCATTCGACCCATCGTTGTTGATCGCATTCTGAATGCTGCTGGTTTGGTCACCAGATCCGTCGGCCGAGGCGGAATAGTCCTTGACATTGCGCCACACGGGGTAATTGGCGTTGGCAACTTCGGGGGCATATCCCCGGGCATTGCCAGTGTGATCCTGATCCAGAAGCCAGTAGGTCGTAGGAGAGGAAGCGGTGGGCCCGCTGCAGGCTCTCGCGCGGATCTCTCTGTATAGATCTGTCAGCGTAGTTGGTAATAGTTCAGGCATAGAACTTACCCGCCAGAAGATGAAGGAATAGCAACTGCCGAGGCTGGAGAAAGCGCACTCGCCACGGCGGTCCACCAAAGAAGATCACGCATACTCAAGGAAAGTAACAACCAATATTCACACAACTGAAGTATGTACCAAAAGAGTGTATGTAAAAGGAAAAGGAAGGGAGTGTATGTGAATTAGAAGCCAGACAAGGGCCTCCATATAAATACCCACGCAGACAAGTTTAAAACAAGCCATTGCTACACTCGCACTCGATAGCCCGTTATGCACTTTCCCATTTTCCCATTTTCCCATTGTGGTTAGATGTCAGACAGCTGAAGGGGATCGACAGCAACGTGGGGCAAGACGTGAATGGAGCACGACTCAAGGACTGTGGGGGCCGAAACCCGATCGGGGAACTGGTATTCGACTTGAATCATCGTTCTCGAATCAGAGATTGACCAGGGTGATTGGTGTGATTGAAGGTGCGTGAGATAAATTAGAGAACCCTGGCCATCCTACATACCCCTGAATGGATACCGATGTCACCCTGGGCCGGATGGCTGAGCAATTGTTTGCGTCTCCACTTGGGAATTTGCCTATACTGTGCCAGTGTCCGACCCTTACTTTTCTTTTGGTAGTGTCCAGCGTTGAGCATGAGACCAAGAATTGTAAAGGTCGGGGAAGAAATGAGGTCTCGCTGTCGTAAAATGGTGCCTGAGGCCCCAGTATCAACCAACATTGAGAATGCGTCTTTATTTACCAGGCCATGAAGTCATGTCCTTGCAGACCTTGAAGAAATTAGCCTATATGATTGCTGGGTGTATACTATGCATGACATACCAATGTTTTTCTGGCCCGAATCAACCTGCCGCCATATCAAGTCCAATATATCCATTGCATTGATCATGTTGTAATTGTACATTTTTCGATGGAAGCGTATAAGCAATGATTGAACAATCGTCCGATCCGCCCCAAAGGCATAGCGCCCGGCGATAAAGAGAGCGGTGTTCACTCCTAGGACAGGCGAAAGGCCTGATGGAGGCTCAAGCTGTTGAACAAGATGGATGATCATCTTCACTGGCTGCTGTACTTCCATAGCCTCGGAATCAAGGCTCATAATCTGTGTGCGGATGTGGATCAATGCGGTATATTCGAGCAATAGGTTGCAATAAGCGAATTCAAGGGCTTGCTTTTCGTCCAATGTCTCCTGGAGGCCTGGGGAGAAGCATGGCCGAGTACTCTTATCTCGTTCTATCATTTCCAAAAGCCGGCTCTCAAGATTGGCTGCTTGAAGCTCGAAGTCTGGATCAGAAAGTGGGACAAAGTTATAAGATTCGTACTCTCTCTGTCGTCGCTTCCACGCAACAGCGCTTATCTGGTGAAATATCTCAAATATTTCGGGATAACAACCGGCATAATCATCAAAGAAGATCCGGCTCGGCTGTGATGAAGTTTCGGAAGACTCATAACTTAAGTCCCCTGCTGGAAACCCGTCCGGAGTCAAGCTTGCAACCATCTCAAGTAATGAGTAACGTCTTCGTAGAAAAGAAATTGATGTATTTAAATGGGTCGAGTCAGACTGCGCAGCATAAATAGCAGACATGATAGCTCTTGCCCCCTGAAGATGTGTCCTCCAGGAATTGTATTCCTCGTTTTCATGGCATAAAGTACCCAAGCACAGGATCAAACAGGTTGCAAAGATGGATTCCAGCCGGCTATACCCTGAAACAATCTCTTGACGAAGCTGACCTATACTTTTATTTCTCAGACTCGCCGCGTGCCATTTTAAGCTACCGCGCGAGCTCTCAGAATCTGTCTGACTTGCTTTGTGAGCAGATGAGAAAGCAAAGATTGCATGACGGAGCGCAGGGTCTTCAAACGCCATAGGAAGAAGAACACGGCATGTCTCGTTCTGCATCTGCTTGTGACAGGACATCGTCCCGGATGCCGTAGAGACAAAGTAATGCCAAAGCTGCTGTAATTCGGCATTGAGGTCAGGTGGAAGTCCAGAGAGGGACCGAGTTAAGGAAAGGTGAGAACGTGGCTGTTCCGAAGTCTGCGAGGCCACGCTCGCAGGTGTCGCCATCACCTCCGCTGAATACACGAAAGCTCCGTCTGTGGGACCTGGTTAGAACAAGAAACAGAGACAGGCGCAGAAGTTTGGCATACTGATCATTTGCACTGGACAAATGCCAAAGCGAGATAGACCGAAGGCTCGTCCTCCCCATTTGAGATTGAGGCGGTAAACACAGCTCTCTCCGGCGCTACGGCATCGGCCGCAATCTGGTCGTGCCTCATCGCACTTTTGCCTTCGACGTTTGCAGCGCTCACAGCCCGCCCGCGAGCGTAATTGTGTAGAAGGGTTCTCCATTGATGTGGGATAACATTGAGCCGCCAACCCCGCAAGACGTATGTTCCCGTGTTGCTGCCTCAGGCTGACGGATATATTCTGTGTGTTGGGACTATACATCTGAATCAGGATCAAAACTGCCTTCTCTTTGTTTTTGTGCTTATTCATCACTCATATTCTCCAGCTAGTAACTTCTCGTAGGGTCTACGTTCCACAAATCTCGCTTTCCTGGGTGGTGCTGGGTGGATTTGTACGCAAACTCTTCTTCGAGCCAGACACCGCAGTACCAGTCAATCCATTCCTCAAAACTTTCATGCTTGGTGTATACTTTATGCAATCGTAGAAGTGGGGGTATGTATTGATCTAGCATCAATTCATGCTTATTGAAGCACTCCTTATCTGGACCTCCATTGAAATAAACGTGCCCAATATCGGATAAAAACGACATGCGAAGGGTCAGCTGCATGTAGGATTAGACACCGTATTCGGTCAGCCACTATGGGTTTCACCGCTTGTCGAACCCACTCTAAGCTGGCAGCGTTTTAAGGAATATTAGGACACTGCCATTAACCCACCTTGACGTGAGTATATCGTCATACTATTTTCATTCCTACCCGTCTTTCCCACTAATGGAAAAGAGAAGATTTGTGTGATTGAAGTATGTTCATTGATGCGATATTTGTACGATGTAAAGTCACTCTTATAGCACACACATTTGGCATCATTCCAACCGGAATTCAGCACACCATAAGATCATGAGAGCCCGGCTGCAAGTTTCAAGAATTCCAGTTTCTCCTTATCCCTCTCCTTCCTTGACTCTTCCTGGTTCTTCTTCTCTTGCTCCAGCTTTGCCTGGAGCTTCGCGATCTCCCGTTCCAGAGCACGAATCTTCTCCTGGCCTCGAACTTCCGCTGACCACATACCCCACAATTTCTGATTCCTGATACACCAAATCAAGATATCGCGCGTGGCCATTGTGTCTTCAAAGGCACTGTGACCTTGTTTCCCGGCCTGGATATCATAACCAGCCAGCTCCTTGGTGAGAGTTTTCAAGCTCCATGTGCGCGGCAGGGCCTGGCCCGGAAGTAAATCATTGAAGACAGCCTCGCTGGTGAGGATAGAAGTGTCGACGATTTTGGGGTGGATGATGCCCAAGACGTCGAGATCGTTGTTCAGGGAATGGCCGATCAGCACTGTTACAGGATCCACGAACCTCCATAACAACTCTCGCACCAACTGCCAGCCATGGATTGCTTGTCCATTCCGGACCGCCTTGTTCATGGCACTACAAGTCACACCGCTGTATCGAGAGTCCCAGTGGACAACCTTGGCGGTTGGTTGCACATAGTGGTCCAAGAGCACTTCGCCCGAGAGAAAGTCGACAGCAGTCACATAAGCGAGTTCCCGACGCCCGTTGGCGACTTGTACCATCTCACAATCGAGAACAACCGCTTTTCTCTCTGTTCCTTTGCCCGAGAGAGCTACAGGGGTGTGACGGAAAAGTGAGTTCGGGATAGATGGACGTTTCCTCTTATCTTCTGCGACGATCCCGACGGTATAACCTTGTGCCTGAAGGCGAGCCTTTCCATGGCAATGTAACAGTAGATATCGCAGGCTCAAAGCTCGTTCTTCCGCCCCAAGAATCGCATGATGACTTATCCTTTGGAGAGCGAGGGGCTGCAAGGCGAGGGTTTCAAGCTGTAATTTCAAATCCTGCAGCTCGGAGGTGAGGTTTGGTTCCGCGGCGACCATCGACCCCGTAGCCAAATCCACAGGCGACCGTGGTTCTGGGGATACCGGGAGGGCCACTGTGCAAAGAACTGGCTCCAAGATTGGCTCAGCAGATAGGGGGTTAGGGGTCTGTTTTGAGGCCCGCTTTCGGCTTGATCTCGGTGGGGGTGATATGACGGACGAAGACCTCGAAGGGTCGTCCATCTTTTGACGAGGCTGTTGATGCTTCTGGGCGTGTTGAAGCAAGCTCCAAACGTTCGTGAAATCCTTTTGACACGGGTTGCAAAAGATCTTGTGAACCTTTGCCTCAAAATGGATCTTCACAGCTTTGAGACTTTTGAAGTCATCCCTCTGGCATCCAGGGCAGAAAAATACAGTGCCATCAGCCATGTGAGCGCCCACTGAGGAAAACCGGAAAAAAGATCAAGCCTCTGTGACCAAAGCGAATAAGATGCATAGACTGCCCTAAGGCGTGGCAGGTGAGGATTTGCGGGTATCTGCAAGGGCGCGTTTCGGTACGCGTCGGGCTGAAGGGCTGAAATCAACAATTGAGCCTACTTCTCGGCTTGCTTCAAAAAGGACAAATGAGAATGGAAATGGATGATAGATTTTAGCATTTCATGGTCAGATAAGATTCGGATCGATTTTGCCCACTTCCACCTGATACAGTGCCGCCTAAATTATTTTCACCTCCAGATCAATACGAGTACTGAATATTGTTCAGTTGTATACGCATGACTTCCAATTTTATTTGATTTTTCAAGTCTAATTTACTCCTGTAGTTTCGTCGCCACTGATGTCTATCGTCCCTTTTTCGTCTGCCCATTTTCTGAACCAAGAGTAAATATAGGGGTTCCGCCAGTCATTTCACAGGTTCACAACCTAGGTATTAGAGAGATGAAAACTAAGGCTAAGGAAACTAAGCACGGTACCAAAATCAAGAATTTAAAGAGCTCTAACTTCGCTTGCAGGTTTATTTAGGTCATGATACTAATTAGGCGTACAGTTCAACTACTGTATTTCCTGAATATTTCATGGATGACATTGTAGTAGCCACAATCTTGGCCGGATCTTGACGTCCAAGTATAAGCATATCCTAATGTTATATCTTGCTTAAAACATGAAGCTGAGAAAGCGATTAACTCAGACCAAGAGCTTCCAAACGGAATGCCTAAGACATCTTATGTTTAAGACAAGATAGTACATTTTGCCTGTAATATGTGTTCAGAAACATCAAATCACTTCTTCTCTGGAGAAATACGTCTTAGTAGGATATCAAGGAAAGTGCAGTAGACCTTCAGCATTTCTCTATTGGATTCTGGTCAAGTTTGTCCCCATAGATAGTCACCCTCACTGTACCCTTGCACGAATCACATGTCACTAGAGAACTACAGGGACCACCCCACCACAACTTCGATCAATCTCGACTCATCAAGTGCATCAAGAAAGGAAAAGTTCCTCAGGTATGTTTCATTACTGCATCCACGGCGCATAGCATTCTGGAAGATATTGACATCATTGAGTATTTTTAAGTCTCTGTAATGCTCTCCAAAGTCAACATTTCATGCTTGTTCCTTTTAACCACAGCTATTGCAAACACATTCGCAATGTCGACAACTCGATATAACATACCAATTCCCGAATCGCTTACGATTTTGGAAACCCGCCAAGAGCTCAACGATATGGCAAGGAAATACTCACTAGGATCTCTGGCTGAAAGGAATGGGGAATACTGTCTCCTGGACCACGATGCTACTGTGTTAGCGATTGCCTCGGACTCCTTATGCGAGGAACTCGACGCTACAATACAAGAAGCGATCCGGTACCATGAAACTCAGACAGAGGCCTGATCCTAGCGAGCAAATACGCTATATGCCAAACCCAGAAGGGGCAGGTACTGTTCCAATACTCTAACATATTGACTCTGATATCTGTATGAGAGCTTGTAACTTGCGCCTTTGGTAGCAGGTGGTATGCTTCGAGCTGGTGAGCACCTGTTCTGTTGGTGTTCTGTTGGCCTGAGTGACTTTGGACCGAGAATGGTAGACTGCTGTATAATTCATGTTTGATCGACCCTTAAGGCAATATCCCTATATATCAGTATATAGCATAATATTCCTCAGGCAGCCGCCCCTGAGCGTGTCGTCATAGCCCCCGCCATGCCATAACGATGATTGGTCAAACGTAAAGTCACATGACCAAATTCTGTGCTTGAGACCCACTTGTCCCACGGCCAGGGAGTATCAAAGACCGTGGGGATGTTGTTCTGGTCACTGCTACACTGTATCCCCACAGTAGAGCCAAAGTGCAACGCAATCCGTATGTGAGTTGATCTTGTCTTAGAGATCAACACCCCATTCGATTTTCGATTCCACATATCTCTGTTTCCCCGCATGTGATGTCAGAGGGCCAAGCTCGGTCCAACAACACCCATGGCGGAACAACAACCTCAAAGCGCGACGTCGAAGGAGAATGAGTGGATGCAAGATGGAACCGACGTCCAAGGTGAAGTTCTCATAGACTGTTTCTGAAGGTATGCTAACTCAGTGAAGACGATGGCCGCATTGAGATTGACCTGGACTCCAAAGTCGGCCGCGAGATCTCAAAATTGATTCCATTTCTGGAGTCCGAGAAAGATGTGGAGCAACCACAAGTGCTTGTCGGCCCTGGTGGATGTAATCTGCATCTCAACATCGTCATTCAAGTTGTTGGGAGCCGCGGCGATGTGCAGCCTTTCATCGCACTAGGCAACGAGCTCCAACAACATGGGCATCGTGTACGAATAGCCACTCATAACGTCTTTGAGAAGTTTGTGTGCGACTCGGGTTTGGAGTTCTATCCTATAGGCGGAGATCCCTCGGAGCTGATGGCGTACATGGTCAAGAACCCGGGCTTGATACCCCAGATGAACTCCTTACGGGCTGGCGACATCCAGCGCAAGCGGGTTATGGTGGCTGAAATGCTCCAGGGGTGCTGGGAGTCCTGTATAGAGGATGACCCAGTGGCCAAAACACCCTTTGTGGCTGATGCGATTATCGCGAACCCCCCGAGCTTTGCTCACATCCATTGTGCTCAAGCGCTGGGGATTCCTTTACACATGATGTTTACAATGCCATGGACCAGTACGCGATCATTTCCACATCCTTTGGCCAACTTGAAATACTCAACCACGGAGCCGAAAATGGCCAATTATTTGTCTTACGGCATTGTCGAATGGCTGACATGGCAAGGGTAATGTCCCCTAATACCCTATTAAATCTCATACGCTGACCGCAACATCTAGCCTCGGCGATGTTATCAACGAATGGAGAGTGTCTATTGATCTCGAACCTGTACCCGCTACAGAAGGTCCACGGCTGGCGGAGACTTTGAAAATACCTTTTACCTATTGCTGGTCACCCACATTGATGCCAAAACCAGCGGACTGGCCGGGTCATCTAGACGTCTGCGGATTCTTCTTCCGATCTCCTCCCGACTTCTCACCACCCTCTGATCTCCATTCATTCCTTCAAAACGGGCCTCCGCCAATATACATCGGTTTCGGCAGTATCGTCATCGAAGATCCCCCCTGCAATGACGGCAACACTTATCAAAGCCATCAAGTTCTGGGGTGGTCGTGCTCTCATATCTCGGGGCTGGAGTAATCTGGGAGATGCCGAGTCAGACGATCAAATTTTCTATCTTGGAGACTGCCCTCATGAATGGTTGTTCCAACATGTCGCCGCAGTGGTACATCACGGGGGAGCAGGAACGACCGCATGTGGTCTACGCTTTGGGAAGCCGACTACTATTGTGCCGTTCTTTGGAGAGTGAGTCGCCCAAGGCAACCGATTAAGATAACCTGCTAATATGCTACAGTCAACTATTCTGGGGGAATATGGTCGCATCCTGCGGTATTGGACCTAAGCCAATTCCACACCGCACATTGACTGCGGATAATCTAGCAGAGGCTATTCGCTTCTGTCTCGAACCTAACACGCTCACTGCCGCCGAGGAACTCGCTATCCGAATGAGTGAGGAATCTGGAGTGAGTGCGGCAGTCGCATCTTTCCATCGAAATCTGCCTATAGACCAGATGCAATGTCGCTTCTTTGGATCTGAGCCGGCTGCATGGAAATTGAAACAAGAAAATTCCAAGTCTGCCATTTATTTGTCTAAGATGGCCGCGGGAATCTTAGTTGAAAACACACGCATTGATCCAAAGGATTTAAGCTCGTGAGTATTTTATCCTCGGTTTTCTCTTGTTTGGCAAGCATATTGGAACCTGAACTAACAAAATGACGAACCAGGCATGAAAGTCGCCCCATATTTATCCAAACACGGCGATGGGATCCCATCACAGGCGGCACATCTTCCTTGCTAGGCATGTACAAAGACATTCTCACAGCATCGAGTGATGTAGTCGTACAACCATACAAAGAGTTCAAACGCGCCCAATCAGGCGAAGGGGAGCTTCGAGTTATCGAACCTACGAATCGGTCCTCCAGCGATGCATCCTCGACAGGTGGGATCTCCCGCGCATCCACCAATGAGAAACGGGACGCGCAATGGAAGGTAACAAGCACAGCAGTGGGAAGCTCCGCCAAAAGCGTGGGGAAGATCATCGGGTATTACTACAAGGGCGTGCTGGTCGATATACCCATGGCAGTTAACGAGGGCCTAAGAGCAGTGCCCCGAATGTATGGAGAGGAAGTCAAAAGCTATGACAACATCAAGGACTTCAGATCTGGAGCCGCCGCTGCTAGAGAGAACTTCACGGACGGAATGACAGGGGTCAGTGAGATCCTCAAGCAGCCCTACAAAGGGGCCCAAGAGGACGGTTTCAGAGGGATGGTGAAGGGATTCGTCAAAGGTCCTCTCAGTGTGGGCACGAAGGCATCTTCAGGTATGTAATTCACCGCTCCTCCTGCGATCTTGCTATAGGGATGATACTAACGGACCTGCAGCGGCGCTGGGGCTCGTAGCCTATCCAGGGCAGGGATTGGTCAAGAGTCTGCATACGGCCATGCACGGCAAGACTCGGAAATTGATAGCTAAAGCGCGCCTGAAGGAAGGCCAATATCTGGCAATCCAATCGCCCAAGGCCTGGTCAAATTGCCCGGCTGTTCTCGAGGCATTTGAAGCCCAGCAGCGACAGCCTGGGACTGAGATCTCGGGATTTGAGCGGATCCAAGACTAGACGAGTAAATAACAATATAATTGAAGAATAGAACCGGTACATTGAACAAAGAATATCTGTTACATCCGAATTGCTGATCCCTGCCCCGCATTATTTGTCTGCCTGATAGGACAATCTTCGGCAAAATGCCCGTTCCAAAGTAGCACAGTATCTCTCTCTTAACATCCTCCTTCGCATTTGTCGAGAGCGCACATATCATCAAGAAACAACATCGAAATGGCCTCTCAATCTCAGACAACGAAATGTTTTCCGGGGCCCGCGGCGGGGTACACCCAGTCATTCTGGCGGACTCAGCCAGATCCCCTTGATAGCCACCAAAGCACCCCAGAATTGCCAACAGAAACCGATATTCTGATTATCGGAGGTGGCTACGTTGGAGCATCGGCTGCCTACCATCTTCTATCAGACCAGAAAGAATCAGCCCCGCGGGTGGTGCTTGTGGAAGCCCGCGAGCTGTGCTCCGGCGCCACCGGGAGAAATGGTGAGTAGACCCCATCCGTGTATAGTTGATCAGACTGACGGTGTCCCATACATAGGAGGTCATCTAAGACCTGATATATACTCAGCGACTGCCACGTATACAGAGCGATACGGACTCGAAGCAGCAGCCGAGATTGTGCGATTCGAACTTGCGCACATGAAAGAGATAGAAGATTTGGTTCGTAAAGAAAATATCGCCTGTGAACTTACTTTCACGCGCAGTCTGGATATGTATCTTGATGAAGACCAGCTTAAGAAAGCGAAAATCTTCTATGATTCTTTGATTAGTCAGGGGCTGGACTTTATGGATGATGTGAAGTATCTTTCTGAGTCGGAGGCTCAAAAGGTAAGTTCAAGTTTCCACGCTATACGATAGCCGATCCAATTGTCTCTAACAATGTATACCAAAAAAGGAGGCTTATGTGCGCGATGCCAAAGGTGGCTTCAGCTTTCCCACGGGCCACCTCTGGCCCTACAAGCTCATAACAGGTCTAATCCGCATCGCCGTTGCAAATGGTCTGAACCTGCAAACAAATACACCAGTATCAGAGATCAGCCAATCCCAAAACCCAGATGGTTCATGGTCAGTAAGCACAAACCGAGGCACAATTCATGCTCGGAAGATCATCCTCGCAACCAACGCATTCACCAGCGCCCTAGCCCCAGAATACTCCAAGGCAATTGTACCCTGCAAAGGAGTCTGTACTCAAATTGCTGCCGCCCCGAATGCACCCCATCAAGAATTACCCGGTACATATGCCATTCGATTGGGGCCTGGTGCATACATTTACCAAATCTCTCGGAAAGACGGGTCCCTCATTGTCGGTGGGGCATCGCATACGTTCAAACATGATTTGAGCGAGTGGTACAATAACCCCGATGATGGGACGCTAATCCGGAATATGGAGCATTACTTCGATGGGTATATGCAGCGGACGTTCTTTGGTTGGGAGGATAGCGGGGCGGAAGTTAAGCATATTTGGAGTGGTGGTATGTATTCTTTTGAATCTGCGAGACTTTCTTGTATCGATTTGACAAGTGCTAATTGCTGTGTATAGTTATGGGATATAGCGCGGACTCTTTGCCGCATGTTGGTAATGTTCCTGGTAAAACTGGGCAATTCATTGCGGCGGGTTTCAATGGCCATGGTATGCCTGTGGCATACCTTTCTGGTAAGGCTGTTGCCAATATGGCGCGGGATTCGGTGTCTTTTAGGGAAACTGGATTGCCGCGCTTGTTCGAGACTTCGCTGGAACGATTGAAGCCGATTTACAATGACATTCTAGATTAAGAGTCCCTTTTTATTAGTAGCATATTGTAACATCTGCGCTCCACTAGAAATTCAATTGAATGTTTGCTGTAATGCCCGTACTTTGTTGAATTGAGTAGCTTCATTTATTTTCGATGCCATCGGCATTTTGGCGTCATCTGAACAGATAGCCCAAGCTCCCTGTTTCAAACCAAGCCCGGTCATGCTTCCACCCATGAACGATCAGATCTCTACCTACCTTCACGACCTCTTCGATCTGTTCCGGAGTACCCCATCCAGGAACCCTGCTTCCCCAACAAACAAGATGTACACCAATGTGGATAGCAGTCCGGAATGCCGTGTCGTCACTGATAGACCCGTATCCATCCAGGAAGCCTTCAATGACCCACAAACCAGCATCCACATTCTTGAAGAGCTTGGTTTCGTACAGCTCGGCAATCATCTGCGCCAAATCCAACGCTCGTCTTCCAACTTGCACCAGCTCCCAATCAACGATGAAAACTTCCGTTTCGGCTTGCTCAGTGAGAGGAACCTTTGGAAGGAGAATACTAGAAGCTAGTGTTAGCATGCACACTGCATCAAACCCGGCGAACGAGCATCTGCCTGAACGTACTTCCCAGTCCAGAAATCGCCATGGATAATTCCATAGTCATTACTACCATCCACCTTCTTCAGCTCATCAGCCGCCATATCACGGACTTTCTCAAATACATCACGACTCTCTCCCAAAATTTCCGGGAAATTGGGAATGGTGTCAATGAGCATGGTGTAGTTGATATAAAACTTCAAGTCTCTCATGACCGTATTCTCAGCGACTGTCTTCTCAGTCTTCAACTGAGCATTCTCGTTTCCCCAAGAGTGAAATGAACGAAGCCAGAATCCCATCGCACGACCCAGTGTTCGTGCGGCGGAATCCGTGATGCCATCAGAAACGTCAGAGATAAGGAAGGTTTTCAGATCTACTGAATTAGGTAGATCCTCAAGAACCTGCGTGTTGGTCTCTTTATCAAAATTTAACAGCCGAGGCGTTTTGACGGTGATATTGTCTTGGGAGTAGGGTGGCAGGTCATGAAGGGCCTGGAGAATAGCTTCTTCAAAATACTAACTCAAAATTATTAAATCGTAACATAGAGAAAACTTCCCTAACAATAGCTTACGCATCGGTCAACAACAATTTTGAAGTCTGGGTTTGAAGCTGAGTGGCCTCTAGTGTTCTTAATGATGATGGACTCGGTCGGTGAAACGGTGCCTCGGTACACGTAATTGGCCGTGCCACCAGATAAGCGCGTGAGGGAAGTGCATGCGAAGGGAGTTTGCGAGAGCTGCTGCGTGATTTGATCACGGATCTCTTGCTCTGTAGGCATCTTGAGTGTGAAGAGTTGAAAGTTGCGAGGATCTAAGTTGCATTCCCCGGGTTTTGTTTCTTTGCGCTAGTCCCGATCCGGTCCCCGAATCCACATTGGAGTATGTTGAAATTACTCGATGAATGACGCTACGGAAGCATGTACGTCAAGGCCAACGAGGTGGTTTAGGTCTGATCTCTCTCTCATGAGAGAGATCCTATTTAATGAGAAGCATTTCTCCTGAACTATACTCTACATGGTAGGTCAATGCTGATCATGAGCTTCATGCTTGGCGAAGTAGGCATTTCATGCCTGGAGATGCCTGGAGATGCCATGAATCTCAACACACCCCCTCAGTATTGAAGCTTGCCATGTCTTCAAAACGCCTTTCCCAATGCTAGCGCGTCGCGAAATGCTTCGAATGCAGGCCTTCCTAATGGTTTGGTGAGACCATCAGCAATGTTGTAGACGCCAGCGACGTGAGAGAGTCGTATTTTGCCTTCCTCAACTCTCTCACGGATCCAATGGTAGTGGGTCTCAATGTGGCGGCTTCTCGAGTGATGCTTTGAGGTCTTAGCCATGGAGATCGCGGATTGACTGTCGCTGTAGAGATGAATCGGGTCTGATGCATCTATGGCTCGTAGGTCAACGAGCAAGCGATGAAGCCATACGCCCTGGCTTCCTGCGTCCGAGAGAGCGTAATACTCTGCTTCGGCTGATGACTTCGTGACGCAGGATTGCTGCTTCGAAGCCCATGAAATTGGCCCGCCAGCGAGGTAGAATACCCATCCTGTACGGCTTCTCATGGTGTTAGGATCCGATGCAAAGGACGCGTCCACGCACCCCCAGAACCCGTATCCGTCCTCACAGCCAGTATTACCACCCGTTTTCGGTTGTCCGTAGGTTATCGCAAGGTTGCTGGTTCGCTTAGCGTATCGGACGGCTTGGTAGACGGCGGAGAAGTGAGGATCGTGAGGTTTGAGGTTATGCTTCGTGAGCATCCCAAGCGCTAGGGAGAGGTCAGGACGTGAGACCGTGCTAGCGTAGATTAGACTACCAGTGAGAGACTGGTAGGTCTTCACGCTCTGCTGGTCGGCCGGCTCTTCGGCCTTCCTAAGCTCGATGCTAGGGCTGAATGGGATGAGAGGTTTTGGAGAGGAGGAGGTCGGTAGAACCTCAGGAAATCTGTCAATATAGGCTTTTTGGTCTACTTTCATGATTCCAGCTTCCTGGTCGCGTTGAATCCTAAGGCTAAGGTAGTGAGAGACCTCACCTAGGTCTAAAATAGACCATTTCTTAGCGATAGCTTCTTTGACTCTCTGAAGCGTTGTGGGAGACGTCGCTGCGAGCAACATGTCATCCACGTAGACGAAGATGACGGTAATTCCACCCCCTTGCTCGTGGCGTACGTATAGACACGGGTCAGCGGAGGATGCAATGAAGCTTTTGGAAATGAGGAAGCTGCTAAGGGTCTTATACCAATTGGCTGCTGACTGGCGCAAGCCGTATAGACTCTTAAGAAGGCGACAGACTTTACCGCGAGGTTCGACGCCATGAAAGTCGAGACCGTCGGGTTGGAAGCCGTCGGGGTATTGCATATACGTTTCCTCTTCCAAAATTGCATTGAGATAGGCTAAATTGACGTCTAAATGCGTCGTATGAAGCTTCTTCAATGTGATGACTGCAAGGAGTACTCGGAGGGTCTCGTAGCGGCCGGTGGCAGCGTACGCGTCCTCGTAATCAATGCCTTCTCTCTGGGTATTACCTCGGGCCACCCACCGTGCTTTGAACTTGGCAGGTCTGCCATTAGCATCGGTCTTAAGCTTATAGACCCATCGACCCGAGAGGATCTTAGCCCCTGGAGGTGGAGACGCTGGTTGCCATACCTGGAGAGTCTCAAATTGAGAGATCTCCGACTTCATAGCTTGTTCCCACCATGGCCAGAACGGTGAAGCCTTAGCTTCCCGAAGAGAGGTTGGAGACTCGAGCCATTGGGGAGACTCGATGTCCTGGATAGGCGGAAGCGCTAGGAGAGAGCTCTCCGTAGAGAGCACCTTCGCTTCCGCAAGAAGCACTGTGGTCTGGTCTTCACAGCATTGAATCTTAGCTTTTTCAGCTCTGGAAGCTGTTGAAAATAGCTGAATTGGGTCTCTGGAATCGGCGTCAGACATGCTATCTGATACGTCCGATGCGTCTGAGACCTCGGATTGATCTGAATTCTCGTCCAATACGTAGAATTCGTCATTCTTGGGATCGTCGGAGTCCTCTGGATCAGGTCCATGGAGGTTGACGGTCTCGGCATTAGCTGGAGAGGCTTGCTGAGCATTAGCTGTCGGGGTGTCAGGGTCATTGTATAGATCCCAATCGGGTCCTTCATCAATGATTGCATCTCTCACGACATGCATTGTGCCTCCTTTCTTATTAGGAAATGGTCTATAGACGCGATATTGGGCACCGCTATAGCCTGTATATCCAGTGAGGTAGCCGAGTTCTGCTCTCGGAGCTAGGTGGCGTCCCTCGTCGCTTTGATGAATAGCTTCACGTGGGAAGACTTTCCAGACCTTGCTACCAATAACGCGTAGAAATGATAGGTCTGGCTTCCTACCGTAGCGAAGCTCGAAGGGAGTAGTGGGAGGTCTTCCTTGCATCTTACGGCCATTGTAGACTGTCATATTTCTCACGATAATGACGGTCTTCATGATCTCAGCCCATAAGAAGGTAGGAAGCTTGCTATCAGCTAAAATGCATCGCATTCTCTCACTAACAACACGCATGAGACGCTCCGCTTTGCCATTCTGCTCGTGAGCGTACGGAGCAATGAAATGCCAGTGGATTCCTCTCATTTTAGCCCAATATTGAAGCTTTTGGAAGGTGAATTCTCTGCCATTATCAGTCTGAATAGCTCCAATTTCATCTCTTGGTTTGGGAGTAATGAGGTCCTTGACCTGACATTCCCTGTCCTTTTCGTAGGTGCTAAGAAGCTCCTTGATAGCTATCTCAGCTTCCGATTTGGTCCTGAGGAAACGGATCTCGGCCTATCCATCGAAGTCATCGATCATGAGAAGCCAATATCTAGCTCCAATTTCGATAGCGGGCGTAAGCTTGCCGCCGCCGCCAATGTCAACGTAGACGAGGTCTCCTGCTCTCTTAGAGCGGTGGAGAATTGGCCGCCTGCTAGGTTTGTGAGGTGCTCGTCCGATAGCACAGTCTCCGCAAGGCTGTTTAGAGACTGCTAGACCTTCAATGTCGATGCCATCCACAATTCTCGCCGTTTTCTGCACCCCCTGGGTGCCAATGTGGCCCATCCGTCGATGCCAGGTGTGGACATTGACCCTAGACTTATTCAGACGGGGTTGAGGTGCTTCGGCATCCGTGGTCAGGATAGCTGTAGAGCTTCGGACGTTGTGTAAGCTTGCTGTCTCCATTTTTGGAGGAGATCCGACGGAAGAGACATTCAAGATCCACTGCTTATCGACCTTACGCCCTGTAGCAAGAGTGCTACCATCCTTACGCTTCAAAAGCAACTGATTTGGACGGTAGATAGCTGTGACGCCTTTCTTTGCTAGCCTTGCACCGCTAATTAGGTTGACGCTGGCTGTTGGCGTCCAGGTGACGTCGGTAAGAACGATATTGGAGTCTGGTCTTCTTCTAGATCCGGAAAGCTTCATGCAGACATCTCCACGTAGACCTTCTTCAATCGTGGTGCCGGAGACTGTCTGTATACGGATGGAGACTGTCCTTGCCGTACCAGGCATGAAATTGCTAGGTGAAGCCGTAAAATGGACGTCGGCGCCTATGTCGCAGACCCATTGATCTGATGGCGTATCGATCGCTGTAGAGAGTATATTTTAAGGTAGGAGAATTTCGACTGTATTTGCAGTATATGCCTCCATTTTTTCAGCCGAAAAACCATCTCCTTTCATCTCTTTTCCTAACTTCCTTTCACGGCGGAGGTTCCAGCAATTCGCCTTCACGTGGCCCTTTTTATTGCAATGATCGCACTGAGGTTTTGAACCTGAAGCTGCTAGTGCTGCCGTCGCTGCCGAGCGTACGGCGTACGCTCCTCAGGTCTTAGTCTCACGGTCTAGTGATCTCTCGAAGTCTTCGAGCTCAGCTATAAGCTCGTCGAATTGGTAGATCCTATCGGAGTCGGATGATCTGCTCACTCGCGATGCGAGGCTGGTCTTCCACGCGTCCCATTTTGGACTGTCTAACTTTCTAAGGAAGAAGAGGCATTTAACGCGCTCGCTATCAGTGCTTCCGATGAATGTCTTCGTCCATGCGGTCTGAAAGCGGAATTTGTATTAATCGAGAGACGTGCAGTTACTCTCGAGAATCTCATCGAGTTCATCAACACCATTAGCTGCTATAGATGCATCGGTAGGCGCGTACGCGCTCTCAATTACTCTCCACATTGCAGCTGGATCACGAAGCTTTCTATCTTGCAGATACTGTTGGATTTGCTTCGACACATGGCTATTGATAGCTCTTCTCGCGAATGAGACAAATTGAGCTTGCGCCAGGAAGTGGCGATGCTCACGGGGTAAGATCATGACTTCACCGTATACAATTGGAGTGACGGCATTGTCATCGAATAATTGCTCCATATTATCAGCCCAATGACGGTAATTGGACTTGCCCTTCAAGGCTTCAAACTTGGAGTCGTCCCGAAGCTTTCTAACTGCTTCCTTCGCCCTTTTTAGATGCGAAATAGCCTTTTCTTGCTCGGGGGATTCTCTCGGTCTAATTTGACGTGGAGGATAGGTGCCGACGGTATTTTCATCATCATACGGCATATTTCTCTCAGGGGACTGGAGAGGTACAGAATCACGAATCGGCGACAGATTGAATACGTCGCTACGATTGCTCCTATCTACATTGAGTATAGGACGTCGATTCGCATGAGAATTGTCAACGCCAGTGGCCTCTGGCGCTGGGAAATGCAGCGGGTCTTGCTGCCGAGAAGGCTCTTGACGGAAAGTACGGTCGGCGTCTTCATGATCATCGTCACTGTAGTGGACGGATTCAATATCGCTAGGCGGCAGCTCGCTTTGCTCAGGAGCTTGCCGTCTCGGGCGGAGACGTCGAGGGTTCGCATCAGACATCGTTTCGGAGGAAAGGGCTCAAGGGGAGGCAGGATGAAGCTATTCCCGGCTGTTGAGACAAGCCGGGCTCATAACCTGTTGAAATTACTCGATGAATGACGCTACGGAAGCATGTACGTCAAGGCCAACGAGGTGGTTTAGGTCTGATCTCTCTCTCATGAGAGAGAGATCCTATTTAATGAGAAGCATTTCTCCTGAACTATACTCTACATGGTAGGTCAATGCTGATCATGAGCTTCATGCTTGGCGAAGTAGGCATTTCATGCCTGGAGATGCCTGGAGATGCCATGAATCTCAACAGAGTATAAAGTTACTGTAGGCGTATTTCCACCTAAAGCTAGGTTATAACTATTTTAAGCCCTTACGCTTCCTATATCAAGTTCAAATGTACTTAGCGCTAAGTAATATTGACAGCGTCGCCAACGACCAGAGAAAAACATGGTTTGAAAGCGATGTACGTTCGGAATCATCAGCATTAAGCCCGCAAGGCGGGATATGGCATAACCGGAGTAGTATGCAAACGATCCAGAAAATATAATAAAATTCACTTGCAAAAGAGGTTTTTAGAAGGAGCAGGTCTAAAATGTAGAAACTGATAGCGTACCGTGGAAGTCCTGTTTTGGAAGTCTCATGAAGTCTTGGACCTCTTGCAAGGGTGAGTATGAGACACTGATTGAGCAACGGAATGTAGTTGGAGCATCTGCACGATCTTGTCGTGTCCTTGAGAATGAGCAGCCTGTAGAGCAGTGATGAAGAGTCCATCCTCACTCTGGACATCGACATAGGCTCCGTGCTCTAGCAAAACCTTCACGATCTTGTCCTGTCCCCTTAAACAAGCAGTCCGTAGCGTATTCCCGTAGAATTCATCCTGAGTATTTACATCGGCTCCGTGCTCCAGCAAGACTTGCACGATCTTATCGTGTCCTTCAAAACAAGCAACCTGCAGCGCATTCGCGTAGCCTCCACTCGGAGCATTGACATCGGCTCCGTGCTCTAGCAAAACCTGCACGATCTTATCGTGTCCTTTAAAACAAGCAACCTGTAGCGCATTCCAGCCTCCACCTAGAGCATTGACATCGGCTCCGTGCTCTAGCAACACCTGCACGGTATTGTCGTGTCCTTTAGAACAAGCAGCCTGTAGCGCATTGCCGTAGGGTCCACCCTGAACATTGACATAGGCTCCGAGATCCAACAACCCTTGCACGATCTTGCTGTGTCCATTTAATGACGCCCAAATCACCGGATATGACCCCTCACCATCCGCTATATGTATAACACTTTCATCTTGAGCACATAAACTGCGGACCACTTGTTCATGCCCGTTAAAGGCTGCCAGATGAATTGCATCTATTGAAGGCATTTCCTCATATCTCTCGATCGCATTCCAAAATATTGAAAACCAAAGCGGAAATCGGTTCGCAATCGTGTTGTACACTCGATGCAGTAAGTTAGTCAGTTGGTATGCAGTCGAACTCATGTGTCGCACATGATCGGGCCAATGTACTGCTGAATATTCCAAGAAATTTCGGACATTAGAGCCTGATTTGCCTCCGCAGTTTTCCAAATCCTCCATCAAAAGATATCGCAAACAGATTTCAGCCATTCGATCTTCCGCATCACTCAAGCTGCTCCAGGATGCAAAATTGAGGTTGTTCGAACATTGTTTTATGAGGAACTCTCTAGCTGTCTGATGGATGAGATAAATTTTGGAGTGATTGGTAAAGACAAACAGGCCACATAATTGCCGAAGCTTCTCGTCTAGACCAATTGGATCTAGCCCAGCCTGTATTGTCGTTCGCGGTCCTAAGCAGGTGGCAATGCCTAGGGCCATGGCCATCTCTCGTATTGTTAGAGGACGCCGTGCCGCCACGATGATCTCTAAGATCTTTTTGACTGTATCTGTTTGATCGAATGGGACTCGACAGAGGATCTTTTCATATGCTGCATTCACAGAAGGCGGTATTAGTGTAATCGAACTCTCTGTAAGCCGAAGGCTGCGCTTAAAGGTGGTGCGGATATCATCAATAGCAAGGTGTAGCCAGAGATATGTACGGTTTTCCATTTGAAGAAGCTGCTGTTGAACTCGCTGATGAACATCCGGTGAAAGTGGAACTGTTTCGGCTAGTTCTCTCATTCGAATCTTCACTACTAGATCAATCTCCTCACCGATTTGGTCATTTTCTTCCTCCCCCTTGATATGGATATGAGGGAAAGAATCGGTGATTGCTCGAAAATGATCCTGTATATGATCGTAGGGACGACTAGTGACCAGGAATTTTAAACAGGTGTCCTTTGTTAATGACTGGTAGTGAAAGGCTTGGAGCTTCTTAATCAATTGGCCCTGATCCACTTCACGGCATTCATCAAGTGCATCGAATATGCAAATCGTCTTGTGTGAAACGTCAGCTAATGCGGCTGTTGTGAAGATCCGCCAAAGCTCATCGACCTCTTGTTGAAGTCTCTCCCCATTTTTCTCCCAGGACGGAATAGCATAATGCAACAGATAAGGCCTCTGGCTAAAGAGCTGATGTAGTATTGAACATAGAGCTGTAGCAAGATGGTTCTGTTCGTCGTTATCTTTGAAGAAAAAGAAACACATTGTTGCTGGACTAGAATCTTGCACATCATCGATAATCGATCTAGCCAGTACAGACTTCCCGCAGCCTGGATCGGCTGAAACCCATAGAAGATCATTGTATTTACTCTCCCACCAACGAATATATTCGGGGTTCTGTAGGGCCCATTGACAGGTTCCTTTCACTCTTGTTGGATTGATGTTCTTTTGCTCCTCATACTTTGATATCTTGAAAGCTTGGTGACACCGTCGTTGCCGATCTGTCCAATGTTGATTGTATGCTCGGTCTAGGCGTTTATTTGTGCCTTTGATTTCGTCCTTCAATTCATCAATACCTACATAACCATATGAGTAAGCCGCTCTTGATAAAAGTCTAAGGTAATATTGATTTTACTTACTACATGCATCCACCACTAAGCTCTCTTGCGAAACGTGGGCCACTGGTATATATCCTAGCAGCTCTTTAGCATACGATGCCGCTGCTAGAGCTGCATATCCTTGCCACTGTTTGTTCTTATGTGAATCGGCGTAATCACAAACCCCGCGAATAACAATGCAAGGAAAGTCCTGCATCAACCCAGCTGCCTCCATCTCAAAGCACAATGCTCTAGTGCCTAGCCTCAGCTTCTCCCGGGTCCGTGCATGTTTAATAACAGAATTTCCAGACGCAATGATGCCGTAATGTGGTTGTGGATCGCTGCTCTCGCGCTTAATCCTTATCTCTTCCCATTCTGCCGGACAACCATCACAGCTATCAACAGTCATTAGGTGATCGTGTTCCGGCTTAAACAGTCGATCCTGTCCTAAATTAGGTCGGCCAAAGTTCTTTCGGGTTCGTGTGGTTCTTCTAGTCGCGTTGGCGAGATATTCCGGAAAGCGGGGATCATCTCTTAACTCAGCGGCTCTCATCGAGCTAACTGCCGTTAAAAGTGACCTAGGAGGACTGTTCAGAGACCCAGTTCGATAGAATTCACCATCTAAGCCGACTTTCCCCATGTCATACTGGACCACTCCACCGACAGTGCGTTCCGGGCAGCTAATTACAACATCGCCAAGTCGTATGTCATGAGTAGTCGACGGAATCCCGCCTCCAACACCAACCATCAATCCGATGCGGAGTGATGTTGAGAATGTGCGGACCATATTATTTGCGACCGTGGTGGCCGCGTTGTTGCCATATTGTCCTGCAGGGAGGCAGGCGATCACAACATAATGTTTCCCGATTCGGCCCAATGTGTAGGTATTTGAGTCGGACCTATCTTGAGAATCAAGAGGGCCAAAATCTTCATCTAGCATTTCCAACGCTGCGGCTTTTTCGATTGGCAGGGCACATATCCATCCGATTTGGAATGTTTCTCGTGGCGGACAGGCCATGTCAAAAAATCAATTCACCCAAGAATGAATCTTGGAGAGAGGGGGAGACAGTAGGAGAGATTGATGCGTTTTAAACTACATCTGGGAAGGAATCCCATGGCATGGTAGGCAAAACAAAAGCCTTCTCAGCCCCAAGGCTCAGCCTCGCGCTAGACACGAAGTGCAGCAGCTGGGCGGCAAGAGACAAAATACTATTGGTCGTAACAGTCAATATTAAGTAGACTCAGAATATTTTGGACGTAATAGAGTTCCTCCACTGTGGTTTCACCAAGAGGTATCGTGCAAGATTCGGGTATATTTTCGCTTCGATATTATGTACATACTGAAGGATGAATGAAGCCTGGGACCCTGTAAAACGAATAGGCCAGCGAGCCAGGTCAAGCAACTGTTGCAGCTGGCTGCTCAGTATTCACATTTTCAGCAGCTGCCTTCTCAGCCAACTCCTTGACTGATCTCTTCTCCTTCTCAACGCCATTCCGTCGTTGAGCAGTGTCACACAGCTCAAGGTTCCCACATTCACAATCTCCCTCTCTGAGCCACCGATAGGTAATGCTCCATCGATTTTCACGCGGTCTAATGGTTCCATCTGGAAGGGTATCCGTCTTTCGCTTTTTGATGCCATGCGTCCAATGCAGCCTGGAGTCCCCGCTCATCTGCATCATGCTCCGCGGGGTCAAATCAACCTCGAGCCGCTGCTCACCCCTGCGGAACAACATCATAGCCGGCGCACCCAGAGATAGCGCGTAGAGCTGATCATATGGCTTGTGTGCATCTACATGTGGAGGGATGCCGGCACCTGGTGGATAATACTGCAGACAGACCTGGTCTGGTGGTCGGTCCTCGGTAGTCGGGATGAGTGGTTGGAGCCATTCCGGGAACTCTTTGTAGGGAATTTCAGGGTCTATTCCAAATGTTTTATAGTCGAAAGTGTAGCCGTAGTGGAGGGATATACGACCAGGGCGATCGGGCCAGTTCAGCTCATTGAGGAAGATGGAGATGAGACGTTGTTCGTGCTCGGCATCGACAAAGTCATCTTCCCAAATGATGCCATGGGGCTCAATTGGCAGTTCTTTGAAATTGCTCCGCACCTTTTCCATCTTATATAGATGATGTTGAGAGATGGTTTACACACGTGATGCTATTCAAACTCTGATCCGAGGGCTGTATTAATTACTAGTATCAATACATGTATTTTTGAATATTCCCGCCTAGGAACGGGCCGTGAGGTGTTTCGAACAGTATTGTAATATAGCCTAAATCACAATAGCAGCCAAAGACAACGCACTTATCTTTCCTTCAGTTATCTGCCAAGGAGGTGTTTGGGAGCTGCGACACGGTTCTTCATGGTGCGACAGGTTGTAAGGTTAATGCGAGGGTGTGCGCACAGGTCATTGCACCCAATTACAGTGCTTCCCAAAAACCAGATCTATGCTGACTTAACTTCCATTTCAAGCAGTATCTCCCAGAATAAAGTAGAGGCCTCAACAGCTTTGTGCCACCCCTTTACCAGATTTGACATCATACATTTGTCAATTATGCTCAGTTTTGGTCTCGTTCAGATACCCCTAGGGCATATGTCCGCAGGTCTAGTTCTTTGAAAAGATAAAGTCTGGATGGAGCGCGCAAATTATCATGCCTTAGGACGGGAAAATAAAGCGTATAGTGACCCTTATTTAATCCTACTTGTGAGGTTGGACGCGCCAAAATTGATGCGGTCTTACTGAAGGGGCAAGTGGACATTGGGCGCGAACAATCTCGGAGCAGTCACCAAAGATAAGGTATTCCAAGTAAAACATACAGCTTAAATCAGCGAGGAATTACTGCAGGGATACAGACATATGATGTATTCACCTAGGTATCTCCGAGCAAGGAGAAGGTCAAATAATTGTCAAACAAACATTGGATTCATATTCACCCGACGGATCTACATTTTAGTAACAAGAATGAGCAGAGTGCAAGCAGCCAAAGAACAGAAATTTGAACAAAAATGAGATAGCAAAAAAGGTCAAAATTCTTCTACTCACGCGTCCCCAGAAAAACAAATATACGCCAAGCCATTCAATTCAGCTTTAGGTTCAATGATCGGCGCAGATCCCCCTTCTCCTAGACAATCCACATTCTGTCATCGCGCGTCTACGTTCCACCTGAGGCCCCTGTGATGAAATACGCGGGGCTTGGTCCTACACAGTCCCATTCCAAATCTCCCATGTCGCAATGGCTGTCACCCCATCCACCACCCACGCTTGAAGCACGTCTCGTTGACAGGCCTGACAACCATGTCTAGCCATATCAAGTTCGCAGAGCCCATCCAGAAGAAAGGTGGCGACGGGCCTTCAAGGAGGGATACTAGGGAAAAGGGGTCGACACAAAGAGCACCTTCTCCCGGAAGTGAAATCGTCTATCCGACAGGATGGAGACTCGTGCTTACTACCATAGGGTATATTTGCTCGGCGAAGTGCCATAAGGCTGTGGGTGACGAATGCTTACATTTTGTGATAGGCTCTTGATTGGATTTTTTCTCTCCAATCTGGATGTGACGATTGTAAGCTCGTCTCTCACCAGCATGACAGATGACTTGAAAGGCTTTGAGAAAAGAAGCTGGATCGTCACCGGGTACCTGGCCACCTACACAGGTATGACTCTAAATTTACTTTTGAGTTTGTCGCTATGCAGTTTGGGGTGTCTTTTGATACATTTAGTTCCATATGGTTTCCCACTATCTGTTTAACCTTACCTTCATGCTGATTCCAGAATGCTTTTAGGGTCCATGGCAATATGGACAAAAGTGAGTGATATAATTGGGAGAAAGCACACTACAATTGCTTCGCTTGTTATTCTGCTCGCATTTTCAATTGGATGCGGATGCGCCCACACCATCAACCAACTGTGAGATTTAACAGCACTCTTTGGCGTGGACTTGTTCGAGGCTAACCATGTTGATACAGTATAATTCTTCGAGCACTCCAGGGGATAGGAGGTGCTGGTGCGTACGCACTGGCACTATTATGCATCTACGAGATAGCTCCTAAAACGAAGCTTCCGACATACAGTGGTCTCATGTCATTTTGCCTCGCTCTTGCATCTTTGATAGGCCCAATAATCGGAGGCGCCTTTGCGCAAGTCTCGGCCTGGAGATGGGCTTTCCTTATCAAGTATGTAGATGCCCGTTGTCTGTTCTGCATGTGCTGATCAATTATAAGTGCTCCATTATGCGGTATTGCGATTATTGTTATCTTTATTGCTATGCCTACAAACTTCGGTCTCGATCAGCATACTCCGTCATTTAGAACGCGAGCATCGTATCATTCATTTGCAAATCTTGATCTCGTGGGGTCAGTCCTGCTGATGGCAGGCTCGTTCTTGATTGTCGCTGTTTTGAACGAGACGAATCTGGCATTTTCATGGTCCTCGGGGGGTGCAATTGCGCTCCTCGTGCTAACGGGAGTTTCCTGGATTGCTTTCTTTGCTTGGGAGTGGTATATTTCAGGAATTCCAGGGAAAGATCCCATATTCCCCAAACGCTGGCTATTCGACCGTCCGTGGATGGGTATACTGATGTGAGAACCGGAACCAACTCCAATATATGAAGGTATTGTGCTGAACTGACTGAATGTAGCTCTTCATTTGTCATTGGTGTACCTTTCAATGTTGTCATCGTGTATGTTCCGCAGCAAGCAGAAATCCTGCTAGACAAATCGCCGTTAGACTCTGGTATCTACTTGATTGGATACTCGGCTGTGGCGGCATTTGCGGCGGCAATTGTGAACGTCGCCAGCTCTAGAGGACGTATCCCATTTGTTTACACGCTGCTCGTGGGCTGTGTAGTACACACTGTTGGCATGGGACTTCTCTCAACCATTACGACATCACAGGGCTTTCATGCCACGGATATTGTTTACGAGGCAATTGCAGGCGCTGGCATGGGGGTAATAATGGGAGTTTTGGTGCTATCAACACCATACGTAGTCGAAGACAGAGATCTTGGTAAGTCCTTCCCCTTCTACGTGATGAGTTATATTGGTTGACTGACATCCTCTTGTCATAAATAGCGATTGCTACTGGGGCTGTTGTGCAGTTCCGGTTCCTCGGAGGTGCTATCGGCCTTGCCATTGCATCCAATATCTTGAACGGCCGACTGGCACATCATTTGCACGATGTTCTGACATCCCACGAACTGCATCTGTTCCTCGAGAACGTGAAATCTATAGAACATCTATCACCACATCTACAGGAACAGGTGAAAGATATTTTCGCTGGGAGTTACAGTACGCAGATGCGTGTCATGATCGGATTTGCGGCTGCTCAGATATTGGCAATTTTCCTAATAATCAAGCGAGGTCGGCAGCTTGCAGCTGGAAAGACACACCCGGGCATTAGTTCGGGGTAATAAAAGACCACGGGCTTTACGTTGCATGTTGAAATGAGGGTCTAAAATGGCTTGTAAAGTCACAGCCTTAGCCCCAATTCAATTACCAGGCGTTATGGTGCAGTTTCTTATACTATGATTGGAAACCAGTGAGGTAAATTACAGTGCATTACGGAAGGACCAATCTCATTGAATTATGACCAGTTAGCATAATGTGACTGTAGATGTTGTGGGGCGATGATAACAATGTACGCCATCTAGAGCTATCGATCGCTAGTTCCCAGCGCCTATCGATGGATATACATACAAATAGCCCGCTAAAGTGGCTCAGACCCCCTGACAAATCCTAAAAAAAAAGGATAAAAAAAAAGCATAAGATCGGGTGGGAATAAAATCTATAGATAAGTCTAGGTTATTACTCATAGAAAATATTTTGATGACAAAGTTGTAGCAGAAATTCTGGATAGTAAAAGCTTGAAGCTAACCTAAGTCATGAATGCTGGTCACCCTAGTCTACAGTACGTGATTGCACTTCAGTCACAAGTTTTTATCTTTACTTTCTGCTCTATCTTGACAAACATATGAATAAATGATTTTGCCATAAGCTCGAGATATCTCTTACATCACACCTGGGGTCTGTCGGTCCTCACAGTACCCTTTACCTTCACAGTCTCAGTCTCTTCCTCCCCCTTTTTGCTTTTTCCAGGCTCGTTGATATATGGATTCATAGTGTTCGCATTCGAAAGACCCTCCTGCTTGAACGACATGGTAGTTGGACCGCCCGCGGAGCCCACGCCTCGAGGCTATCGAAAGTTAGATGTGTGTTTACTAGCGGCAGTGCATTGTCCACTCTAGAAGATTGACGTGACCAAGAGGAGTCTGGGATAAGCAGTTGATAAAATAATGTACCTTGTCATCATCGAATGAACGAGAGCCTTGTCCCTTTCCCTTGTGATGTGGCTCATTGCCCTCATTTCCCTCTGCACCATCGGTATACTCTTGATTGGCCCCCCGTGCTCCTCGTTGTTCTTCGCGAACTACATTGGTCTTAGGTTTCTGTTTCCCGCCCCTTTGCCAAAAGTAGAACGAGATCGGAAGGCCGAGCCCAAATAAGGCTATTAACCTAGGAAAGAAAATGCGTAAGTAGGAGACCCCCTGAAAGGAGACACGCAGGTACTCTTACCATCGGGGAACAGCTTGCTGCCTTTCCGGTCCACTTGTAGCCATACATCTCCGGCTAGACGTTGGCCGAGTTGGCCGAAGCCCAACAGTTCCGAGCCGGAGAGGTCGTGGCATTGGTGCGTGTAAAACTGACTGGCGGAGAAAGCTCATGGTTGTAACTCGAGACAAAGCCGAGGAATCAATTCAATAATGCAACCACTAGAAGATGATGATTGAGGCTAAACATAAAGAGCTTCCAAGATTGAAACAAATAAAGCAGAGCTGGACAAACACCCAAAACTCCGGTCTGGTTCATTGTTACGGTTCATTGTTACATCATCTCGGTCCTCGAGCTACCTGGGTTCCAGATTCAAAGATGTCACATTCTTCAAAAACCAAGTATCAATCAAGATATGACACTAACTCGATCGACTGGACTTGAAATCTTGATACGGTTCTGCGATTAAGTGAAAAAAGAATTTGTTTTATTGCTGATCATTCGACCGAAGTGGGCGACATTTCCGGAAGAAAAGCCGCCAGCATCAGGTTCGGGTGGCAACATCAAATATTATCGAGTATTAGATACTCTGAATGTCTGATGTGCATAATTCAAAATAAGGAGAGCAAAATATGCGATTGTCTTGCTTGTTGGGCGTAGAGATAGGTGGCATCGCAATGACGTACTTGCTAGCGCTCCATTAATTGACGGCTTCAGACTGCCAGCTCCTTCATATAGATAAACTACTTTTGATATTGTAGTACAAAGATTGGCATGTCTGTTCTTCAATGCAGTTTAAATTTGCATAATTGTTGTCTATTAGAGAATATCTGTTCAGTCAATGGTGACATCCAGAACAATAAAACATCGGCAAAGAAACCGCATTGATCATTTCCAACTCAAGTGATCCCTAATACTAATAAAATTATTATGTCTCGGGTTATATATCCCCGAAATTGACTCGTCATTGAGAATCCGCCACAGGGGCTGAATCAGTGTTAGGTTAACCTCGAGGACACATGGCTCTTCAGAGCTAGAGGAAGAATCTCCAGACTCCAAGAATTGATGCAGTTGCTCGTCGGTAGACAGCACGAGCACTAATCCGTCTACCAGATTCGTTTATGTGAATGGCGGAGACAACAGAGCAGGCGTGATCGGGGTCCGATCTTCGTACGCGTCAAAGTTAACATCCCTGTACATGTTCATGTTTCACCACTGGCTGATAGCAAATCTACCATCAATGAACTCATAGCTTTTTATGCGAGTTTTATCTGATTGAATGGCTATCCATTTCGAGGTAGAGACCGTCAATTTGCAATATAGCATCCAAATCCTGGAAGCGATTTCTCTGTGTTCCCAATATATGCCCAGGGAGGATTACAGTCCCCAGTATCACGATTGAAAAGATAAAAGTGCCCTACAGTAATTTCAGTAATATTTCTAGGATGGATATTAGTCCGCCGGGGATACTTCTGCTCACCATTAACGCATTGACAGTAAGTTCCATCAACACCACAGTCAGGGTCGGCACTACATCCACATGAGTACACCACAGCATAAACAGTGAAATAAATACATTTACAGTAGTACTTACAATGGGTAGCATCCACTGTTCCCACTAGCAATGCTGTTACCGTGGCTGACGCTGGCGTTGCTAGAAACCGGAATCGCCGAGACAATTGCCAGTCTGATCAAAATGAGGATGGATACCGTCGTATTAATCATGTTGGATTGGATGAATTGCTTAAAGATCTTGAACTCGGGGCTATGGAAATGCCCCGACTTTAAACCAACCTAGGAACAGATGGCATGCATGCATAGTTTCACGGGATATCTACTTCTGTCCGTGAAGGGAAGCTGCTGAGGCCTACATGTGCTTTCTTCCCTAGCCAGAACCCCTTATTGTTACTCACATTTTACTAAATGTCTCAGAGTGCAATTTTGGAATATAACTTCGCCAACTCTGCTGTGTTTTAACGCCGAGAAAGAATGTTTAGTCCGGTTACTAGGGGATGGACTAAAAAGTTTATTCAATAGGTTTTGCGCAGAGCAAAACGTGTAACCTTACATTTGATCACCAAGAAACATCGCATTGGATATGTTACACTCCACCCAGCCCTGAAGATATTTGTTTACTAGATGTCGAGGGTGGCAGGAAGCGGAACCGACGGGCGACAGCGAACCAATCAACGTCCGATCGGGGCGGCTCCGAGGTGGCGACTTTGGGTGCGGCTCCGATGCTTGAGTCAAATTGTGTATAGTTCCAGGGTATTTAAACACTTGTTTTTGTGCAAACATTATAATTATAATCTTTAGTCTATGCTTTCTTTTCCACTTTTTCAAGTATACCGAATTCCATGATGCCCAATCCCACCGTCGTCATTGTGCCAGGCGCCTGGCACCGGCCTGCGCATTTCCAGGGTCTCATCGATGAGCTTGCCAAGGTCCACTACGACGCCGTCGGAGTTTCCCTCCCATGTGTGGACTCCAGTCCTCCTCTGCCAAGCTGGGACAAGGATGCACAAGCTATCCGCCAAGTGATTCTTGAAAAGCTGGACGATGGCAAAGATGTCATCGCACTCGCCCACTCGTTCGGTGGTATTTCCATGTCCGAGGCGGTTAAAGGTCTGGGAAAGAAGGAACGCGAAGCGCAAGGCCTGAAAGGAGGCGTTATCAAGCTCATTTACATGTGCGCCATGGCATTGCCCGAAGGCCAGACCCATCTCGGTCAGATGGTGCCTGCTTCCCCTGAAGAGGAGGAGATCGAGCGGCAGCGTCAAGAAATGCAAGCACAATTCGGAGGAATGGAGGTCACAGCGGTATGACAATCCAATAATATGGTAAATCCAATGATTGACTTTTCATTTTAGGATGGGGCAATCGTCCTCCCCAAAGAACATATTCACCTGGTCTTTTATAACCGCTGCGAGCAGAAAGATATCGACCAAGCAGTGAAGCTGCTAGGCACATTCCCCATGGGACCATTGGCTGTTCCTGTAACGTACACTGCTTACCGTGAAATTCCGAGCACATACATTGTCTGCAACAACGATCGGGCATTGCCCCCGCCAGTGCAGCGAAGGATGATTGCGCAAGGCGAGGGCTGCTTCGATGTGGAAGAGTGCGATGAAGGTCACTCTCCATTTATGAGCAATCCCGCCTTCATTGTAGGTTGTGTTCGCAGGGCGGCTGGGGAGAACATCTAGATAGGTCATTGACCAACCTGCGACAAAGCTTGAGCTATGTAACTGAATGTATAATGATACCTCTCCTCTTTTTAGACATGATTTGATCCTTGAACCAAAGCCTAGTAAGGTATAGACTAGCGTCCACGGGCTTTGCTAGATAGGATTCGAGAAAAGAATACCTAAGTGGAAATGGTGGAAATGAGTTCCATCCTTCCTATATACACTAACACCATAACGAATATCTGTCTCACACGACTAGCTCAAAATACTTCGAGAATTCTGCGTCTTTCCGAAGTAAATCATGTTCCTCGACCGGCAACTGCACAAAGACCTCGAAAAGCCTCTCCTTTCCACACGAGAAGTTTGGCAAAATCATCGCGCAAGCTCCTGCCATGCTTGCATCAAGTCTAACCGCGAGTGGAACCGAGCCAGCTCCAATATCATAATTCTCTGCCTTGCCTGAATACCAGGAGTTCATAAAAACGTCCAAGTCGGAGAAATCTGCCCGGCTGCCCAGTGTTTCCGTTGGGGAGAGTGATCCAATGAGAGAGGTCATATGCCCGACTGTGGACAGGCTAACTGTAGATATAGACTTGCGCATAAGAGTTGCTGCAGTTGCAAACTCCTTGTCCCCGTCTGATACCAGTTCTTGCGCAGTTACAGGACCTACTTGGCACCCAACAACAGCGTTGCCAAAGTAGTTCTTGGTTGTCCTATTCTCTGTGTCTCTGGTACGGACATCGATGGGGTGAATGAAGCGGGATGGCGAGATGACCTTATCCGGGTGAAGTTGAAGCCGGGCACGTGTGATTGACCTCCAGGTGAGGGCAGCGATGTAGTCGTAGGAGGTAACGTAGTCAACTTCGCCCAGGAACGGAGCACAGCGCACTTTGAGTTGTTGAATAATTCGCTCATTGATCTTGTATATCTTTGACTGAAAGGGTGGCAGTGGCGGAGGGAGCTTAAATTCGCTCTTGTCCATGACATGAAACATTGGCAGCCTTTCTAGTAAAGCTTGCCTCGAGACGGATGGGTCCGGTGCTGGAGTATTGTACGGAGCCCTGTTCAGGTCCGGAGTGTATTTGGGAGCCTCCAGGCCATCTCGGTAGGCCTTGGTGCTTTGACAAACAAGAGACAAGAATATATCGATTGACGCCCAGTCCCCAGCAGCATGGTTCATTCGGAAGCCCAGGATTAGACCACCCTGAATAAGACTCAGTTGCAGGGCGCAGACAGTATTTTTGCCGTTTACCTCTTCAGGCAGAAGCTGGATAAAGTCCAGATCATTTAAGGAGAATGAATTCTTGGCCAAGACGGAGAAAGGCTTATGCTCTGTGGATCCAAATCGTCGGACGTTAACTTCCACCTGACTTTGTGGAGATACCACAATGCAAAGCTTTCCAGATTGCTGAAATTCCAAAATTCCTGCCATGAACGGAAATTGACGAGTTGCATTTCTCACCCCTTCCAGGATGGAGGAAATCAACTCGTCTGGATGAGCAGTGGGCTGAAGCTCATAGCAAATGAAAACTTTCACCGTCTTAGTGAAACCCAGTTTGTCGAGGTCCGACAATTCGTATGTCTTTATTTCATCCATGATTCTCGTAATGCAGGGTAGATTTGATGGAGTTGTATAAAACTTGAATGTAATTAACGGGGCTGAAGGTTCGACTCTTACTACTTGTCAGCCCCACTCCACAGAGGAGTAAGTAGTCAAAAAAGGATAGACAAAAGCCCAAAAATGATGAATATAATGATTTGAGAATAGAAGAGGCAGAGAATGGATTAATACAGAAACTTGAACACGACTCGCCCTGTCGGAAACCTAATGGGGTGTAGCTTCGCCGCCATTATATTACCTGATTGAGTTCCCGATCAATTTCATTGCCAAATGGCGTGAATTTGATTAGTTTCCTTCTTTTGATAAGAACCTGATTTGTGGAAACAGATGTACTATATTCGATTGTTTCAAATCTAACGTTAGCTTAACTAACTTAACTTGACTAGTTAGTTAACCCGGAGCAATGATTGATGCCTCATATCTCGGGCAGCGGCGGCACGGAACGGATAATCATCATGCCGTCGTAAGAATACCTTTCTCGGCTTTATTCCCTTGTCTACCCATGTAGATACGGAATGCCAGGAGACCAGAGTGTTTCACAGGCGACTAAACCATCCTTGAAACCACAGCGTCGGCAAAATACTAGTTGTGACCGGTGCAGACGTTCAAAGCGGCGCTGTGTTGTGCCAAGCAGTTCAGAAGGAGTGTCTGGAACGATATGCATAAACTGCGAACGTCTGAGACACCATTGTACATTCGAGTTCGCGAAGCGTCATCCCAGCTCCCCGGCCAATAAAAGACGAACACAGAAAAGTGCGGAGGCCGCGGAAGGACCTGAGCATGATAAATCGAATATTTTTGACGGGCTGCTCGAAGGGCTTCCCGACAGCCCGGAAAACCAATTCAGTGCATCTTCTGTGGCTGATCAGGATATCCTAGCGGCGTGGTTGAACTTCGATCATGAACGAATTCCAGATGACCACTTCGCATCGTTATCAAACAATTACGAGGCATCTACTCCTCTCGCGCCAGCACGATGCGATACTCCAGCTACGACAGAGACTCAACCCAATAACCAAATTTCACATTCATCCAATCGAATGAACACAGATCAATATGCACCTGCTGTTCCGTTATCATTCAGAAGTCCAATCTACCTGTTGAATACCGGAATAGATGCAAAGATACTTGGTGATAGACTCACTCGGATCTACGACGCAATCTCAACAGCCAGTTCATGTAGTTTCCTCGACTATGATTGCAATCTATATGCAACTGGAAATCGTTACCGAATAAGAGAAAGCAAATCTGGAAGCTCAACGGAGTCGCCACCTGCGATATCGACCATTAGTCCACATAATACATCAAACAACAGACTCCCTCAATATGCTTCTTCAAAACCGACAAATGAGGAAATTATCCACGAGATCTCCCTTCTAGGGAGCGTTCGATTCTTGGATCATTTCAGTCACCTTTATGGCAACCGGCTGGACTCCAACGCACGGAGAAAATCTGATGCAGCCTTAAAGGCAGTTCTCCTTGCATTTTCGATGCAATGGTTACCGGCGGCTGATGGAACGGGCAATATTGTCACGCAGTCTTCGGATTCCAGAAAAACAGAATCTGACTCGACTTTAAATGCCTTTACTGATGCTTGGCTTCGAGCCCGAGCACTCCTAGAGGATGCTCGCCATGTGAAGTCATTTCGTGTCATTATCGCAACACTGACCTTTGTCGGCATTGTGTTGCCAACAAAAGTGAAAGAGATGGAGGATGTCGTGCCTTATGATTTCCTTGATTCGGCTCTGCAGAAGCTTTGCTACTTGGATGGACTTGTTACGCAATACCGCGAGCACCTAGGTCCATCTTCTACATATAGTGCTCTTTTAGAAGCAAGTCTGAACCTTATTCGCTGGACTGGCTACATCCGTGACACAGGAGCGGCACTGGCCACGGACCGGCAATGCAGGATTCCCGAGCTTTGGGGCTTTGAAAAAGGTAGGGTGATTGCCCATTTCTATCTACGGAACTGACAATATGAAGTCGCTTTAAACAAGGAGTCTATGTCGGGTTGGTCTGTCTATCAAAACATTCTAGCATTTGATGGCCATGTCCAGGGCATATGTCTGAAGGCCAGTGCAGAGACATTCTGTGTCTGGAGGAAGATAATAAACATCAAGTCTTGTACGAGAAAGTCAACTAATTCTTCGCCTGGGCATCAACAATCGATTGTCGAAGCCATACATTCTAGTGTGGCAGCCATCGACCAGTTGAATGCGTCGTTTCAACCATTCATAGCCCATTCTATCAGCAATTTTCTATATCTTTCCACCTGTCCTAGGATCTCTATTGGTGAGCGAGTTCTTTTTACTTGTCCCCTTAACGACCAGCGCCGACTAACGAGCGGTTTCTCTTCTTGTTTTTAAAGTTTCTCTTGTGATGTTCTGGAACCTGGGTATCTTCTTACTAAACGACGTCTTCAAAAACGCCTCCAAGTACCTCAATGCTTCCGACGAGAAACAACTCACCCCTATAATCCGGAAATACCAACAGGACGCAGCATTATGTGTCACATCAACGGTTGAATGCGTGCTCAACCTCCCCTGGAAGAGGCCTTCAATCTTCAAAATGGCCTAGGTGCAGAAGTTCCGATCACGGCCTATCATGTCACCCCAAGTATAGCTGTGACAGCCCTTCAAAAGGCCATTGAGGGTGTTATCCAACTGCAACTTCGTTCAACTCACGACGCTGATCTCTTTGAGGGAGATTGTCGCATGCCCATGCCTGATGGGACCTGGGATCGACAGATCGATGTCTTAATGAAGGGTCTCATGTCACTTGATGTTACTATTGGTGGATCACAAACTTCAAGCATGGCCCTTCGGCTGTTGATGCAGCGATATGGGGACATTCTATCTGAATGTTGGACTTCCGATTTTGATACATGACTCGTAACTATTATATGTCAATAAATATCATCTCCGTTTTTGTTTGTTAGGTCGGTTATCCTCTCTTGATCAACGTCAGAATGGCTAGGACCGCTGGTAGGTCGTCGCCATCCCTACGGAGCGAGAGAGAAGGGTTCTCAACGGATATATCACCATCCATTCTTCTAATTCGCGTGTCTCAGCCTCAGCACTGCATGCTCCATGCATGTAGAACCTAGGTTGTGAGGTTATGACCGATCTCCACATGCCGATGATCACCTCGGTCGAAACACAGGCGAAACACCCCGCAACTATTGCAACTCAAAAGCTGAAGATCATCAAGATGAGCACAAATTCAACAGGCTTTGGGACTGGGAACCTACACGAGTCCGCCGATTACCCCCTCTCGGCTCCTGCTTATGCGGGGCTACTGCAGGAGGCCATCACATATGCCCCTGAAGACATCTCGGCTGTGACATGTCAATCTCATAGGGAGTTCGGCGCTCGAGCCTGTGCGACAAGATATCGAGATTGGAAAAATTATAAAATTGCGCCCCTGAAACAAAGAAGCTGTCTTATATGCCCCCTTTGTGGTCTTAGTCCCGAAACAACCCCCACGCCATGACATCTGCGACAAAAACGGGCTATGTGGGAAATCTTACTCCATCCGAGGAGGAGAAGCTTCGGGAGTTCTGGAGGATCTTGATTCAATCATGGGATGAAGAAGTACCCAGCCCTGACGGAGCCTCAGCAGGAGACTCCGACAGCACGCCAAAGTCACATCGACGATTCTTCTCCCTGACTCGCTCACCAACGCAGCCTACCGAGGAGGAGACATCGGCTATCCCCGCTAAGCAGTTAGCCACCCTCAAGAATCTGAACGCAAGTCCAGCCGAGACCAAGACAGTTCAGTCGCTTCTCTTGAAGCTTCCAGGCGATAGGCTTCGGTCGGCGCTTTTGACCCTTCTCAAACAAGACCATCCCGACGCTCTTCTTTTGCGCTTCCTTCGTGCGGAGAAATGGAACGTCCCAAGAGCGTGGATCAAGTTAGTCTCGGCTTTGAACTGGCGTGCCAATGAGTACAAAGTGGATGAGGAGGTTCTGCTCAAGGGCGAAGCGTACGCGCTTGAAAAGTCCCGAATGGAAGGAGATTCATCAGAGAAAAAGGATAGTGAGGGCTTTATGTTGCAGGCTACCACTGGGAAAGGTCACTTCCATGGCTGCGACAGAATGGGTCGACCCATTTGTGTTATTCGAGTACGAATTCATGACCCAAGCACCCAGACTCAAAAGGGATTGAACGACTTCATTATTCAGTGCATCGAGACTGTTCGATTACTTCAGGTTCCGCCCGTGGAATCCATGACGATTGTCTTCGATCTCACATCGTTCACGCTTGGAAATTGGGAGTTCCCTCCGATGAAGTTCATCATCGACTGTTTCCAGGAAAACTATCCTGAGTCTCTCGGCGCGATTATCTTCTACAACGCCCCGTGGATCTTCTCCAGCTTTTGGAAAATGATCAACGGTATTCTTGACCCCGTGGTTGCCGCCAAGGTGCACTTCATCACTGGTGCCAAGGCTCTTGAAGAGCTGATTCCTCGGGAGAATATTCTGAAGGAACTGGGCGGAGAGGAGGACTGGGAATATGAATATGTGGAGCCTGTTGCTGGGGAAAATGACAGGCTGAACGATACTGCCGCCCGGGATATCATTCTCGCAGAAAGAAATAACCTTGGTGCTGACCTTTTCAGTCTAACCACCCAATGGATCGCAGATCCCAAGACAGACTTGGAAAGCCGGGACCAGGTAGTTGAGAAATTGCGCAAGAACTACTGGGATCTTGACCCCTACGTCCGAGCCCGGACTGTTCTGGATCGAACAGGGGTGATCAAGGGCGATGGAACTGTCAATTTCTACCCTGCCGCGGAAGGCGAGACCACGGAGAAGCCCACAATAGCGGAGAATTTGAATGAAACGCCAGTTCCGGTAGCTGCATGATTTCGGAGCCCAGAGGCGTCTTTCGGATGGAGTTTTGTCCATACTGCGGGGCTGGCGTTGCTTGTGATACGATATTCCCTACTTCTCTATGGCTTGATATAGTCAGTCCGATGCATGCTATGACATACTTGGTCTTTTTGATTTGCTATTCTTTTGTCTGTCGCATGTAAAGCAACCCTGTTCAATATATGGACCCACCGCTGTTATTTTGTTACGTACTTGCTTGGTCCACGTCGATGTCTTTAGCGTTAAGTATGCCTCTTTTGTTTTATGCATTGACGCTGGTGGCGTCTCAACGGCGGTCCAAACGAACCCTGCAAGTTACACATAATTGGCGGTCCTCTATGTCGTGGGAAAGGTGGCTGCAGGTCTCTGGATTTTATCAGAGCTGGAAACCCCAATGAAGACTTGATTTTCAGCGGATCATTACGATAAAAAGCCCGACGGCCCGCTCCAGTGCACTAAATCTCGCTCCACCCGTAGATGCATTAGTTTCATGTCTCATTGCTCATGACGCTTGGAGTTCCACATAGCCCTACTGTATTTATCCTGCACGGACCGGCTGATTCATGGATAAATTCTGGACCTAGGTAAACTGTACAGTATATGGACTCTAAGCGAAGCTGTTAGCTGCAGAAAGCTGTCGCGTCTTGACCATGCCCAAAAGGGAGAGGAGCGAAGGTCTGGACCCAATCATCGTGACTATTATCAATCCAAAAGCAGGGTTGCAACGTGCCAAGATACCGTAGTCGAGGGATCTATACTGGTGGCTAAAATACAACACAGCTTGTGATACGATATCCTTGTCACCCAGCGTTGGCCGAACTAGTGGACTCGATAAAAATACCCATGGATGTCATTTAAATCATCTGTTTCCCTTCGCTTAGAACTAAGCTAAGGCCTGCTCACAGCAGAACTTTGCAAGTATGGCACCAATTTCGTTTGATATATTGAACATTCCCCTCTACGCTTTTGTAGCTGGATCCGTTGCTTTCATCTTCTTGTTTTTGAAAGCCCTGCGAGAGCTCCAAAGTATGAAACCTTCGGTTTCTAGAGATTGGTACCTTAGAGATGCTAACCTCTAGTCAAGGTTGGAAGTATTCTCGTGATAATGGTTGCCAGCCGCCATTGCATAGTGTCTCGCATGGCCCATTTGGTATTAGTATGATATTGTCAATGGTCAAGGCTGGGCGTGAACACCGCTTTACCGAGCTTATTCGTGGCTGGCACAGGGCTTACGGCACTACATTCAGAGCGAATATGGGGGGACGAAAAGCCATCTTCACAGCTGAGCCCAAAAATATCCAAGCTGTTTTGGCTCATAAATTCAAAGACTTTGAGTTAGGATCTATCCGCAACGAGGCAGCACGTCCATTACTCGGCTCAAACGTCTTCACTACAGACGGCAGCGAGTGGGAGCACTCACGGGCTATGCTCCGTCCCAACTTTTCTCGCACTCGCGTCTCCGACACCGACATATATGAGTCTCACGTTGCCAAGCTCATCAAGCACATTCCCCGGGATGGGTCCACGGTTGATCTGCAGGATCTGTTCTTGAGAATGGTGATTGTACTCCAACTCCCCTCACGTGTATCTCGCTAATAAAAGACAGACCATCGACACTGCAACTGAATTCCTATTCGGAGAATCGACCAACTCTCTCGAAGATCTAAGCTCGTCATCCCCTGGCTCCATATTTGCCAGAGAGTGGGATCTAGCGCAGGAAGGAACTGCAACGCGTTTACGAATTGGTCCTCTGATGAACTTCTACCTCAATCGTAGATTCTGGAAGGCAATAAAGTCATCCCGGGATTACGCCGGGCGGCTGGTCCAGAAAGCAATCGACTATCGAATTGCTGTCAACAATGGTCAAGAGGTTCCTAAAGAGGTCCAACAGCTAATGGATAAGCAGTATGTGTTTTCCTATGAGCTTTCAAAGGAAACACTCGACAAGAAACAGCTCACGGATCAGTTACTGAGCATTCTGCTAGCTGGCCGTGATACAACTGCCAACACATTGAGCATAACCTTCTTCCACATGGCCAAACAACCTGAGATATGGAACAAGATACGACAAGAAGTACTCGCTCTGGAAGGACGACGACCGTCATTCAACGATTTGAAATCAATGACATACATGTCATGGGTTCTAAATGAAAGTAAGACGCAGTTCCATAAGGTCACTCACAGGATACTAAATCATGTTTAGCATTACGCTTGTATCCTATTGTCCCCTTTAATCTTCGAATGGCAAACAAAGACACACACCTCCCTGTCGGCGGCGGCCCAGATGGAAAGTCCCCCGTTCACGTTCCGAAGGGTTACGAAGTTATCTACAACGTATACACTATGCACCGATCGGCTGAACTTTACGGGCCCGATGCTGATGAGTATCGTCCTGAAAGATGGGAAAAGTTGAGACCTGGTTGGGCGTATCTCCCATTTAATGGGGGTCCTCGAATCTGTCTTGGGCAGCAATTTGCTTTGACTGAGGCTGGATACACTATTGTTAGAATTATGCAAGAGTTCGAGGCGATGGAAAGCCGTGATCCGAACCCTTTTGTGCAGGACCTGAAATTGACTATGTCAAGTGCTAATGGGGCAATGGTTGGATTCACGCCTGTCCCGGTTTCCTGATTGCAGGTGGACGAGTTGCTCTCTTTAGTTATTCTTATGTTGATATCTTCGGTGCTCATAGTTGTACAACCTGGTACATGAACCAAATCCATCAACGGAGCTTTATGTCGCGGTCTCCCCTTTACAGACAAGTGATAATTCGAGGTGACAGGGAGTTACCTGGCAAAGGAGACCCGTTGATGCTCTGACCATGTTGGTCAATTGCCTTCAGCGCTGTCTATAAACTAGAAGGTCTAGTAAAAAGGCGTATCCGTTCACGCCCGTACAGTAAGTAGACAACTCTATTGCGCGCCAGATCCAGAGCCTTGGAGTAGATCCTTGAATGCTCGTGGATGTCCTTGATCAGGACTTGAGGTGTATCAGCCCCAGAACCGGTGCCGATAATCTTGCCGATCAATGTTTAGCTCCTGTGACATTCGCTCCAGCATGTCTACGGTGATTTTAACGGTTTATTGGTCATTTGACAACTCAATCCCTTGAAGCATCTTTTGAAAAGTGGTGATTTTATATGGAGAGACCTAGGCAAGGGGTGACATTGAAGTGGTAGTTGTGCTTCTACATGTATGGTCCTTTCGGCTTTGCTGTCCAAGACAGCTTTCCCGATTTTGCGACAAAATAATATGGAGCATGGCTATGAGCTTTGCTAGATTTGCAATTTTCCTCAATATTTTTATCGCCTGCTTGACCCGAGTAATCTGATTCTAGGAGTCCAAGGAAAGGAGGGGGAGAGGCTTTGTTTTGTCTGCTGTTTGCCATCTTCATTGAAGCCCGGCCAAGTCTTTCGGTCAACACAAATCCTTTAAATTGGCCAATCAACTATAACGAAATGCAAGCTTCGCTGTAATGGTGAAATTAAACTGTTCGGCCATGCGAGTTTAGGTTACACCCTGGCCTTCAACCATGATACAGCATCGGGGCCACTCGCGGAAGTGGACCGAACGTGATTACACCTAACTTGTACCGAAGCCTACTGGCTAGAAGAGGTTGGATTCAAACTTTTTTGGTCGGATAGCGAGGTAGTCTGCCTTGCTATATGCTATTAGACTTTGTGGAATCTCACCTGGATGGAATACGAGCTCTCAGCCAGAAAACCCCAGCCGCACAACTCAGCCAACAACTCAAGATGGTTCGTCGTTAGTCGTGCTAGACCTATCGCTTGGATGATTCGGTATAATAAAGCTCAGCTTTGAATCATTTGATGACGCACGGACTAGTTCTCGTATGCCCGACCCTGAGTGGACGGAATAGTCGCTAACCATCACCCTTCTTGTTTCGCAATAATATGCTGGAGTATAGATAAGAAGTAGACCAAGCTCTATTTACAGAATAGAATAGTTCCAACAGAAATACTCACCTATTTCAGGCATGTCTCTTCCTCGGACTCTGCAAAATTTGCAGGCTTTGCCATTGCGGGCCATCGATGACAAGTCACTCTTTCCTCAGGGTCGATTCATTGTATCTGCACCAGCTACAAAGGATGAAAGTATCCCTCTAGTTGTCGGGAAAGGACCTGATGCTGTGACAAAAACGTGGTTCAAAACACCGGTTCGTACCTGTGATATATTGTGCTCGAGACATAACACTGACAGGTTCCACGAGAGATAGCCACTTAATGAGGCTGCTATAGAAGCACTCCAGAGTGTTCAACTTTTCGCTGACACACACGATCAAGGCTGGGTAGATGATCGTGCGCTCGGGAATTGGACATGGTTGGAGATAGCCCTCTATGAAAATGAGTCAACTGATGTCCCTAGGATCAGGGAAGGCGTTGATTTGGTATGGCAGAGTCATAAGAATGATATGGGATCGAGAGAGTATGAATGGGCAAGTATTCCACCTCACGTCTTGTATTGCAGTTACCGGGAGGGTGACCATGCTAATAACCTTGACAGCTTGGCGGTGAAATTCTTGCAGGAAAGCATGACTTACTAGGATTACTAGAAGTAATTCTGTCTTTAGAATTTATATTAGCGTGATCCTCTGCTGACATGGGAACAGGTTGGAAATTGTATTGGAGCTCGGGTGTGTGCCCGTTATACCGGCTGGGAGCTGTACGGTAGAGCTGCATGCCTGGTACTCGAGATGGGAACCCCCACAATCATCGACACGCCTCCTAGCTATGCTCAAGTATTCGAGGATACGATTGCAGTGCAACAAATTTTGAACTGTGTCAACTCCAACAATTCCGCATATGCTCCTAAAATCAAAGCAGCATGGGACCGTGCCGAGACATTTGCTGGTAATGAGAAACGGCCTCTCCGAGTTTTGGCTCTTGGTGAGACTCCTTTGACAATATTAAAAGCCGACTTCTTATAATGACTAATATTTTTCTCAGATGGAGGTGGTGTTCGAGGCTATTCCTCCTTGATGCTATTGAAAGAAGTCATGGACCGAGCAGCCCCTAAACAGAAACCCTGCGAAGTGTTCGATATTATCGGGGGAACTAGTACCGGCGGGTGAGTAACGGCAAAGGACTTCAATTGTCTGGACTCTTCAAGAATATCTGTCATTGACTGAAACAGATTGATTGCTATTATGCTAGGCCGGCTGAAGATGACTGTCCAGGAATGTCTTGACGCATATGATTCAGTAATGAAAGACGTCTTTGGTTCTGGCTGGCTACACACCCATATTGGCAAGCCATTGGATTACCTTACGAAGGGCGAGTTCTACTCCGCTGGGCAATTGGAGAAGGTAATTAAGGATCTGCTTCACAAAAGACTTCCAGCAGGTCAGAGTGCAGAGGACGCCCCGCTACTTGATGAAGCAAATCCGTGCAAAATGTAAGAATATCTCCTCTGCTTTATTCATCATGCTTTACAGGAACAGTTGGGCTAATAATCAAAACCCAGCTTCTTGATGGCAACACGCGAGGAGTCAGGCAGTAACCGCGGACCTGTCTTTCTTCGCTCTTACACAAATGACCTAGCTGCCCCGGATCCCGATCTATCCAAGATCAAGTTATGGGAGGCTGCTCGCGCCACGTCCGCAGCCCCGGGATATTTCCAGCCTATTCAAGTTGGCAGAGTTAAGCTTGTAGACGGCGGTCTACTAGCCAATAACCCCCTTGGATGGTAGGTTATTGAATTTAGAGAAACCATTGGTTACGGCTAACTTTTTGCTCTCTACAGGCTATGGACCGAGATTCTCAGTGTGTATGGTCCAACTCGTGAGACAGATTGTTTCCTCAGTATTGGCACCGGGATGGGTGCCAACGTGGCAGTCGCTCAACCAGGTCTGGACTTTAAAAAGGCGATGCTGAGCTTTTCGGATATTGCAACCAATACGGAGAGCACCAATATCCTTTTCCGGGCACTTGTTGATGCATTTGCGCCTCATGCCCAGACGAAGAAATATTATCGGTTGAACGTCAGCAAGGAACTTCCTGAACCGACAGACTCCAAAGGCATTCTTGGCTGGTTGGCGGGAACTCAAGCGTTGAAGGGTGTACTAAACAACTTCGAAGATCCAGGGTCCCTTGATGACGTGGATGCTATCCCAAAATTGAAGAAGTGGACCACAGAATGGATCAAGGCGCAACAAGATATTATCAAATCTTGCAGCGAGGCACTTGCGAGGAATCTCTAACTTAGCTAACAACTTCTTGAAGGCATTAATTTGAGCTTACACCTATTAGGTCATTGAAATAACAGGGTTTACGGCAATGGAAGAATGAACTGCTTGTTTCTCTTTGGGTTCCATCGATATTTCTAGAAGCATAGTATCAGTCGCTCTCATAACCGGCCTCCTCCAGCGACCACAATAGATCGTAGTCATCATCAGGATTATCCACGTTTGCGGAACTGGGTATCATTTCCATGATTCCCTTGATCTCTTTCAGGTTAGATGATCCTGACTCGTAAGAGGCCATCAATGCATCCACCTGTCTATCAAACTCTTCACTCTCACCCTTCTCGTATCCCCTGATACACAAATACTCTAGACTGTCCGGGAGACAATCAACCAGCATGGGCGTGGCACCTTTTTCCATAGTTCCACTGACGCTGACTCCCCTGGCAAAATATAACAAAAAATTGAACCCCAAGCTCAGCCTCTTCAAAGACCCGAGGTCCTTCAGCGACCCGCTATGCACCCATATTGAGCGTAGAATTTTAAGCCGGGCGGGGTCCTCATCAGTCTCAAATGGACTCCCATATCGATCAAAACGATCTTCCATGCATTCGTAGTCATTTTCGTCTCCTACCACCCCTTCCAGGTGAACGATACCATCAATGTCAAGATCAAGAATCTCCAGGGTTTCTTTATGCCCTAAGATCGATTTGATGATTGCCTTGGGATTGACAATCGGGCTCCCTCCATCGTTGCTTGCCCTGCCTCCGATTGAATATTGGAGTTCTCTGAGGACTCTGCACGACGATATCAGTTGAACAAGAGTCGTCGAGGCAACATGTGAGTGGTTGATTGCGATCCTGCTAATGTTTGAGGGTCTATCAAGAGTTCTTTCTCCGTTATCGTCCTCCTCAACGATATCTGCTCCGATAGATTCGATAGATGGAAGTTGATCAAATAAGCCCCAGCAACTGAGCAAGTCCATTTCAACGAAGAAACGGCCGTCAGACCAGCTACTGTCGGTTTTATTGATCAGGTATACCTTCCGCAGATTTTGAAGATAAGGCTTTGATTCGGGGCTGGTATTGGTTTGACGAAGAAACTCCACCAGTGGATACGGCCTCTTCTCTTGATAGTTGTGAAAAGGCTGTGTTGTGGCCATCGATGTAAGGTTGGGCGAGAGCACAATGAGAATTGCAGTTAGAGCTTGCGCAATGAATGTGCCAAGCGTATCACGGTATCTGTCCGCATAGTTAGTCAACTGTCCAAATAGCTCCGATCAACCGATTCCTACTTGTAATATCCATATTCCCCTGTCGCATCTTCCATTCTCTGCATAAGGATATTGACAACGCGATCCTCGCTGGAGCCCAAGAACCCAGCTTTCTTCACGGCCTCTCGCACGAGAGCCGTGTCTTCATCGCTTAATCCGCGCTGGGGTGGAGCCTTTTTGTAGTCCATATGACAAGACGTCGCTGAGCAGGACTCAATGTGGCGCACGTAATGGCCCAGACTGGGCCGTTTCAATATATTCATAAGCAGTCCGAATGCCGCGTCGAGGCTCTCGTCGTTTGAATAAATGCTGATTTTATCGTAAATCTCGCGTGTTGCCATGTCACACATCGAGTGGAGAGCGCGACATTGGATTGACAAGGCGGCCACATCTCGGGCGGAGTGGAGGTAGGATAGAATTCGCTGGTGAATTTCAAGAGGAAGCCCGAGGAAAGACATGATAAATATCCCATGTCTCTTGGGGTTCGTGCTTCATTTAAGCGATGGGAGTCAGCCGCCCAAACAGGCATAGCCTAGGCATCCACTGTGCTGCCTGAATCTTTGTCTTGGCGTGAGGCTACACTTCGACATTATGTAGATGTAGCTCGAGCGAGACAGATCAAGCAGTTATCATGCGAAGCTTGTAGTTACGGTTTCATGATATGTGGGTGATAGACATTGATGTAAAGGGTCGTTGTCTCCACGGAATCACTTACCTCTCCTGGAGCGCGGGGTGTGTCTATATAAAACTCCCTCGCTCTCCGTTACTTTTCTTTGAATTTGACACAATTTCAAAACTACGCCAATCCTAAAAATGACTAAAATCTTTCTGTAAGTTGTATTTCTTTTGCCACCGGCATTACAGTCGTTTGTTGCTAACTTGAATACCAGCACTGGTGCCACGGGCTACGTCGGAGGCCAAGTCCTCCACGCTCTGCGGCAGAGCAACCCTAAATATGACATTTCCGTCCTAGTGAGAGACGCAGAGAAAGCCAGTAAAGTCTCTGCTGCGTATCCTCGGGTCTGCATTGTCCTCGCAGATCTAGATAACAGCGAGGTCATGGAAGATGAAGCGCGCAAAGCCGACGTTGTTATTCGTGAGTTGCCTAGTCATTAAATATCGTAACTTATTTCTCATGCGGTTTTTGCAGATGCTGCTAGCAACAAGCATATGGAAAGTGTCAAAGCTATCGCAAAAGGTCTAGCAGGACGTCAGGATGGTATGCGCCCGACCATATATGCTGGAGAATTTGATCACCAATTCTAACTCAATTGTAGCATACTATATTCAAATCACCGGCGCTAGTGTCCTAGCATGTCCCGAAATCGACAACAACTCTTATGGCGAACCCTCGGATCAGATCTTCGATGACCTTGACAACGCCGAAAGTCTCCGGGACTTTATCCGCGCTTATAGACATCGTCGGCCTGTGGAGAACTACATTCTGGACTTGGGCTCTAACGGTCCTAAGACTGCGATTATCTTCCCCCCAATCATCTACGGAGCTGGACAAGGTCCTGTCAACCAACGAAGCATTCAAATCCCATCCTTGTCCCGGGCTGCGCTGCAGCAGCGTGTCAGTTTATACCTTGGCAAGGGACTTAGTCGTTGGGGTATTATCCATGTCTATGACCTGGGCAAATTGTTCGCAGATCTAGCACAAACTGCTGCGAATGCTACCGAAGGTCCTTTCTGGAATGATAATGGTCTTTACTTTGCAGAGAATGGCATCGAGGTCGGTTATCACATTTCTCTATACGGATTTAATCTAGAAATATCTTGCTGACATCCTGCCTTCTTACAGAGCTTCAAGGATGTGGCCTCGGTGATTGCCAAGGAGGCGCATAGCCTTGGTTATCTTGACTCGGCTGATTCAGTACGCTCGATGACTCTTGAAGAGGCAAACAATGTTATTCCCCATGGAGCCGTGGTCTTGGGTACCAATGGCCAAGGAATGGCTTCTCGGGCCAGGAAGCTTCTAGGATGGCAGCCGGCTGGGGAAGATTTCCAGAAGGGCGTGCGGAACACCATTGTTGCCGAAGCAGCACAGCTATAACTATTTCTGAACGCCTTCACGAAGTATGTACTCTATGAACAGAGGAAAAGGAAATAACAGTATCTATGTCCATTGACCTAAAACAAACTTTTGAACACAATCGTAATGATATCATGAGAGACGCAGCGGAATAAACTCTGCATCAAAGCACAAAAAGAACAAAAAGAAAGCCCTGAGTCAACGGAATCACCACAGTGTCGGGTATTATGAGAAAGCATCTGGCACCAACCAAGCACGAAGGGGCCGAAGACTAGCTAGAAAGATGAACGGCAGGAAAGAGCAGATGGAAAACAATAAAATGGTTCACAAGAATGTAAATCAAAACCAAGTAATATGAAACGACCCCAAAAACATAACACCAGGATCTGCTATAGGCCACTCTCTTTCCTTCCCACCGAGAAGAGATCAAGGTCTTTGCTTTATCTCTTCTTTCCCCATCCCGAGCGGTTGTTACCTCTCGGGGCCTTGCCAGGGTTGCGGCGCTTCTCAACGCGGCCACCACCAGAGGCACCAGCAGTCTTGGGGGCACCCAGACCACGACGACCAGGACCCTTGCCTGAGCCGGAAGCGCGTATGTCTTCCTTGAGAGCATCCTCGTCATCGACATCCATGCGGTCACCGGCGTTCTTCTTGGTCGACTGACCCATCTTCACCTTACCCTTCTGGCCACGGCGGACAGCGTCAGGTCCGCTCACGGCAGCGAGGTAGGCGTTGATACCACCAGCCTCCCCGGCACCGGTCATCTCAACATCTTCGGTAACGACATCACCATCATCACCGAGGACAAGACGTCCATCAGCATCGACCTTGGCAGAGCGCTTCTTCTTAGAGCCTGGTCCGGTGTTGAGGAAGCGTTGGCTGGGCTTGGTGGTGGAGATACTGGCGAGGGCGTTGGAGCCAAGCAGATCGAGAGGGTTGTCTTCGGGCGACATCTCACGGATATACTGGTTGCTCTGGCCGGCCTTCTTCTTGCCGCCGGCACGGCCCTTGATACGGGCGAGGTCGTCCACGTCAACGTCACTTCCGTCGTCGTCGGAGCCCTCATCAGAGGAGTCGGAGTCAGACCCGTAGACAGCCTTGTCGAAGGCGTTACCGGCTTGAGGCTTGGCGGCCTTTTCCTCGCCTTCCTCGTCGTCATCGCCTTCGGCGCCCTCCTTCTTCTTGCGCTTGTTGCGCTCGCGCTGCTTGCGAATGTTGACAACGAGCTTACGGTCATCCTCGCCAACAAGGCTCTCCAGCAGAGGAGCACCGAAGCGGCGGACAAGTCGATCGATGATACCCTTGACCTTGCTGCGGAGACGTCCCTTGTGTTCCTTATTCCAAGCCATGAGGTTGGGAACAAGGGTGCTCAGACGGGGACGCAGCGCCTCATCGGGAAGAACGACCACGGCAACCTTGACGAAGCCAAGGACGGAGCGAACAATCTCGCGGTTGCTGGAGGTAAGGAAAAGCCCAACGGTCTCGACAAGCTCGGTGAGCATTGCAGGTTGAAGCTGAGTCTGGAAGTCGAAGAACAGTCGCGACAGAGCGGTGACGGAGGCGGCTACCATGTGGGGTGCGGAACCAGCCAGACCGGCAGAGACCATAGTGAAGAACTCCTCAATGGTAGCGGGGGCATCAGGCGAGTCGTCAGGCACACCAGGCACAAGGGATCTGCGGATGACGGTACCGGGCGGGTTGCGCTCGGGGTCAATTGTGCGCTTGGCCAAGAGAATCAGGAGGTCAAAGGCAGCAGTGCGTGCCTTCTCATTGCTCTCCTTGCAGCCCAAGACGACCTCTGACAGGATTGCAGGGATGAAGTGCAGATCTGAGGTAGGCAGGTGAGTAATCATTTCGTGGATAGCAAGCATGCGGTCACGGCGGCCCGATGCGGGGGTGCTATCTGTGGTGGCGAGCATCAAAGTCTGGAGCTCTCCACTGCGCTCCTGGAGGGCCTCACGGCCTGTTTCGGTCGATGCGAGACGAGGGATCAGCTTGTATGCCTTCTTGATGAGTTGCTGATCCGGGTTGGGGGAGGAGCTGTTGAGGATAGCAGCGGCCAGAGCAAAAAGGCCACTGAAGCTGGAGCGGGGGAGGTAGATTGACATAGCAATAACCAGGTCAATCAGGGTGTGAGAGGTGGGCGGCATCTTGTCAGATGAGCCCTGAGGCTGGGCACCCTGCTTGGCCGCTGTCTCTTGCTCAGCAACCAACGAAGACTCAAGCATTGAGGTAACACGGTTGAAGGTGTCATTCAGCTCCTATAAGAATTGTTAGACGTCTCTGAATCAAATGCGAAAGGCCAAGGATAACTTACGTTCTCGGGGGTAATGCTGAGGTAGACATTGATACACTGCAGGATGTAACCACGGTAGTGGGGAAGCGTTTGGCTGTACACGTTGAAGAGCACAGCCAGAAGGTTGCTCGCAAAGGTGCCGAGGTGAGCTAGGTTCTTGGTAGCGGCGGCCTTAGTGATGCGACGTTGCAGGATAAGATCATCTTCTTCCTTTTCGACTGACAAGATGGCCTGGTTTGACTCAACTAGGTTCTGCAGAGCACGGCAAACATCGACACGCAACTCAGTCTGCTTGTACAACACGTTTGATAGCAGCTCAGCGAAGCTCTGGTCAAATGCTTCCACAAGGTCAAGGGGCAGCTCGCAGTAGCCGGGAAGAACATTCCAGGTCTGTTGGACGAGAGTTTCGAAGATCTTCACCTCCACGGACTTCTCGGCAGCTCCAAAGGTCACCACCTTTTGGTAAAGGGCCTCGCTCAGAGGAACGAGCTCGGTACGGAAGTGGCGCAGGTTGGTGTTAGTCACATTGTCGCGCATGATGGGCAACATCCAGACACGGCCAGGTTGACCGGCCTTCTGCTCGATAATGTTGAGAGGCAAGATCTGCAGGACGGCCTCGGGGCCCATTGCCTGAAGAGCACTGCCAATAACAGCATCAGCCTCCTTCTTTCCGTGGAAGGACTCATTGCTGCGCAGCTCTCCGATTGTGGAGACAATCTTGTCAAGGTAGGGGCTTGATCGCCACTTGTAGCAGTCGAACATGGCGGAGCAAACATTGAACACTTCCATCCAAGCAGCCTGGTACTTCACAGAGAGCAGATCTACGGCTCCACGAGCCAACTTCTCCAGAGTCTTCTCATCATAGACGGAGGGGTCCACAATAACGCTGTCTGGAATACAGTTGTGAAGGAATGAGATTAGACATTCGGAAGCAGAGACACGAATGTTGTTTGAAGGCGAAGTCAAGAAGCCAGCAATCAAGCCGAAAAGATCGGGCAATTTCTCAAAAGTATCCTCGGGGGTAATCTGGGCAGCCACATCGTATCCGCGGGAGAGCACAGCAATCCAAGGTGGGAGAAGCTGCGAGTCGTTCTGAGCAGGCTTGAGTTCAGAGATGGCATCCAAAAGACGGGGCAGCTTCGAGGAGGAGATCTCGTCTGCCATTCCCTCGAAGATCACCTCAAACACCTCGAAAGCACCCATGGTGATGTATTCGTTGGTAGAGCGGGATGCGTTCATCAAAAGCTCGCAGAGCGGCTCGATCTTCTTGCTGGGCCAGCCACCGGATGCCGAGGCAATAGTCTTGATGAGCTGCAATGAGTGAATAATGAGCGGCTCTTGATTGTCGCGCTGCGCATCGTGACGTCCCTTCTTCTGCTTTGACACAGCCGAAATGCTATCACCCAGAGACTTCATTGCGGACTGGGCGCACATATCCGCACCGGGGTGGTCGAGAGACGGGCTCGGTGGGGGTGCCTTGAGAACCTTGACAAGGGCCTCCTGGGCGCGCTTGCGGACCTTAGGCCGGTGATCAACTGAGAGACTCAGCAAACCTGCCATTGCGCGGCGCGGGCCGACCTGTGTGTGAGGGAGATTCCATGCCGCGGCATCCTGGGCGATGAGCAGAGATTCGAGGCAGCCGATCGACGGACGCAAGAGTGGGGCTTCGACCTCGGGCAGAGAAAGTGCCGGCGCAAGGCTTTCGAGGATCTGGGAGAATTTGGAGCAGAGGATTGGGGCCGGAACATAGACAGTTATGACATCGAGAAGGTAGACGACGGAGGTCGCAAGTTCTTTGTTGACGATGCCTTGCGAGGCGGTCAATGACTGAGATAGCAGTGCAATGAGAGCGGCGAAATATGCGGTAGGCGAGAAGTCTGCCTTCTGATCACGGAGAGTATCCTCAACTGCAGACAGCACCACAGCAGTCTATGTTCATGGGTCCTGCGTTAGTGTAAATTGACCGGGTATGCAGCGGGGGAACTTACATGATGCTGGTTCTGCAGCTTGGGAGACTTGATCTTCTCAAGCTTCTCCGCCAGAGTCGCCATGATGAACGTGGACGACGAGGTGAAGAAGATGTTAAGAGAATGAACAATCTGTGGAGGTGGTTGATTGGCCTCAAAAGTGTTTGAATGCACCTAATTGTTGCTGAAAAAAATTGTCGAGGAAGAGAAAGATACCGCCGGCATTAAGTAGCGGTGAGGTGGGCGGTGGGGTGTGACCCAACCTCACTTGGACCTATTGCAGACATCTATAGACCACATGTGTTTTGGCGCAAATTGCCAGCCAGTCGTTACTGTATGCTTTGCAGATGTTTACACGTATTTTCTCAATTCTCGGCGCTTCCATGCATAACTATGTAGCTTTATCCCAAATCCACTCCATGTGCGAAAGACATCATATCCACATCCGCGACCCTAAGGACAGATACACAGCCTAGCGCGTTTCATACAAAAGGGGTCATAATTGTGTACACACTGCCGTGAAAGTATTGAACTTTTTCTATACGAAAGCCTCGAAGCGGGTGTACCGTTTCCTGCACTGTACTCACACTACTTTGGCCTCTCTTTGTCACCATTTTTTTGCCCATTTTCGAGTACCTCGGGTTAATCATCTAGGTCATATAAAGGTGGGGTTATAAATGGATTTATGACCTTGTCGTACAACGAAACGAAAAATCTCGACGTGCCAATATCTTCTGATTGAAAGAGGCTGAACAGCTTGAAGCATACCCAACCCGGGGATATCACCTTGTCCAAATCGGAGAGACAAGCTGAAGGATGGCCGCTATCGAATTGTTGACCAGCTCGGCTACGGAGCATACTTGTTTATATGGTAGCCCGCGATCTACAAAACACCAAATATGCAGGGAGTCAAGATCACTAATGCTGACACCGACGATCACTCACATGAAGCCAATTATATCTACTCTTGGGAGCTCACCATCTACACCAGGGAGACTGTCTCTCATAGATGAATTCTGCATCACCGGTCCCAATGGAAAATACAGGTGTATCGTCACTCTGCCGCACAGATGAGCTTGTTTGATGCCCAGCAGCCTTCACCAAGGAGATAATCCTAAGTGACTACGGGGTATCTTTCAAACCCCATGACGAGAAAAGGCTGGTTTCACATGCTCCTTCTCTCCTTAAGCCACCAGATGCCAGATTCTTGGACGAACCGCTCTCTTTTCTCCCTGACATCTGGACGCTTGCGAGTACTATATGGGAGTTATTTAGTTTTTGGCCTTTGTTTGACACTTTTCTTCCCATCCAAAGACATCCTTACCACACAGCAAATTTAGATCATTGGTATTTTCCCCACCCCCGGTGTATGCTGGGAAAAGTAGACCAAAACAGAAAATGGTTCCATGACGAGAAGCCGAATGCGATGCCTGAGATCTCCAGGGATGTTGAAGTGTGCCCAGGACCTGGAGCCGGAGGTTTCAATGCTCCATACAAGAGCCTCGGGCTGAGGCGGGTTTGGAGGTTCTGTCGGAGGACGAGAGGAGGGCATTTGAAGAAATGCTTTGGCCGATGCTGAGATACCAGCCAAAAGAGAAGGCGACAGCGCAACAGGTATTGCAATCAGAGTGGACGAAGGGATGTCTACCGGCTCTAGGGCAGAGCATCAGTATTTCCAGGTCTGGCAAGGGGAGGAGAAAGAAAGATTCAAGATTGAGTGTTAGATCAACCTCAATGTTAGGATTCTGTACAATTCGTTTAGCTTTCGTAGCTACCGATTCATTTGTAAATTCCAGATCATTTGTAGAAAAATGCCTTAGACAGTTTACAATTAGCAAAGAAGACCAGGATAAAGGGTATCATTGACATTGGCCATAAACAATATTCTGAACTACATACATATATTACAAAAGAATATCCTCCAGCACAAGAAAGACAAAAAGGTGCCTGGCATCCCAACCCCTTAGGATGGCACATGGCTAACGAAAAAGCAAATGTGAAAAGTACAAAATCGGGGTCAGTTAAAGATCATCATAGGGTACCATAAGGGATAAGGTCGACGTTAGATGGAACTCAAGATTCTTCTTTCTCTGGTTCAGGCTTGGCTTCCGATGTAATTGAGGCTTCCTGCTCGGGCTTAGGTTTCGTCTCAGCTTCTTCAGAAAGCGTCGCTTCCTCGGTTCCAGAGGTGGTCTTCTCGGCGGGCTCTTCAGTCGTGTCATCAGCAGGCTGCTCGGACTCGGGCTGCGCCTCTTCTGTAACTTCAGAAGGTCCGGGCTGTCCAACTGCTTCTAGAACTTGATCTTTTGTTTCGTCGGCTATCTCTGCGGCCGTTTCTTCTTTCTGAGTAGGTGGCTTGTCCGAGGCAGTCTCCTCAGCGGTCTCGACAGGGGCCTGTTGAGTCTCCAGGACAGAAACAGGGCGTTCAGGTGATTCCTCCAGAGACTCACGCAGCGATGACGGAATCTCTGGACTATCCTCCATATCCTCCGTGATAGTTGTAACACGGGATCCGGTCGAAGGGCTATGTTTGTGACGACGAGTGGTAGCCCCCGTGCCGAGGGCCGGGTCCAGACTCTCTGCGCCAGAACTAAACGAATTCTCATCTTCCTTGCGCAAAATTGTTAAACGCTTGGTATCCACTGGCTCTTCCTCAGGCTGAACTGCATCAGGGCCTTCAGCCTCCGAGGGAACCGTGTAGTTGTCATGCGGGATGAGACCATACATGTCGCAAACAGTCTTGAAGAAGACGTACAGACCATCATGTCCCTCCACCTGCCAAAACACATCACGATGTTGGAACCAGGCGTGGGCGAAAATACGGTAAAGACGGCGGAAGACGTTCGTCAGGTGTCTCATGCTGGCCTGAGGGCCTCCTGCATTCTCGTTGCCTAGCGTGAGCCGACTTGGGAAATATTTTGGCGACGTGAGGGTGTTCATGGCCCAGTCCAAAGTGTGGCAGCAGTAATCGATCGCGCAACAAGACTTGGGAGGGTCGTGTACCGCGCAGAGATACTGCCACTCCGAAGCTCGCATCTCGGGGCAAGTCGTCGCAGAGCAAGGCGGGTCCTCAGCAAAGAAAGCGACGATGAGGTTATTAACTTTCATGGTGAGGAATCGGCAGAGTTCGTAAAGCCAAAGTGATCGGTCGATGCCCTCGGGGGTTCCGCCAGTTGTACTGCAACCTGGCGGTTAATCGGGACCACGGTGTCAGATCCTTCGGGTTTCGTAAAGTGATGATATAGGGCTTTGAGGTGTTCCTGGAGCTGGAAAGGCGAGTCAAGCTACTCCCATTAGTATAGTTAAGTAAGGTCAGTCAAGCGCAACTCACCTGCGAAAGGGGAATCAACGGCGGGCCAAACGCCATGTCCGCGGATTTGGTCCCGGGGCGGATTCTGCGCGTCGAGCCATCATCTTCGCCCGCTGCAGCACCAAGCATTTGTTCCTCGAAAGCCTCCCCGGAAGGTGACTGGGGAGCGATCTGAACCTCCGTGAATGGAGGAGGGCTAGGAAGCCGCGGGGAGCTGGACGGGGACATTCCGGAAGTCATGACGGTAGAAAAACGAGGGCGCTAGATGAAACGAGAGAGCAAGGATAATACAAATGAGTGAAAGTTCCCTAGACGCCCTGTCAAAATCAAAAGAAACGTGAGAATATGGAGAGCATTGAAGCTGAAGATAACAAGCTCAGCTTCGACCATAACAACGGCTGACCGCCCGAGCCCTGTGCCCTAACATCCGTTCTTGGTGAAAACGTCACTGGGACTGGATTCAGAAGTGCTCAACGCACCTCAACCCAGGCGGCAAATTGTCGAATTGTGAAGCATGAGCAGGGTGCATTAACTTACAATGCCGTCTATGTCAAGTAAATCTTCTCTCTGCAAATGTAGAAAACTACAAACCTTGGGCATCTGGAGTTCCGATACTCCAAGGCGGTGTGGGGGAACTATTGCCGCTGTACAAATCAAGAAGTGAGCTTTCTCTCTCCAGACTGACACCAGAATATTCAATATATTCCTTGTTTATCAGACCATTACACTCTATTTGGAAACGGCGACAGAATGTCTAACAACTTTGACGATGAGGACGCTCCTCCGGAGTTAGTTGATGTGTCTGCCATGCCGGCAGATCAGAGATCTGTAGATGAAGCCCCAACAGCTCGTGTGCCGATCACTCTAGTAACCGGCATGTATAGATGGACAGCATTTCAGTTCACATTGAACCTCAACGCTAATACGTTGATTAGGATACCTGGGCGCAGGAAAAACAACCCTGTTGAATTACATCCTCACAGAGAAACACGGCAAGAAAATTGCCGTCATCATGAATGGTTCGTGAATTCAACCTACCACATATACAATAAACTAACATGATATTAGAATTTGGTGATTGTAAGACACTGCATCAAAAACGCCCATATCTCACCTACTAACACAACATGCAACCCACAGCAACCGACATTGAGAAACAACCAATGTCAGTAAACCAAGACGGCCAGGAAGTAACCGAATGGATGGAAGTCGGCAATGGCTGCATCTGCTGCTCAGTGAAAGACTCAGGCGTAATGGCCATCGAATCCCTAATGGAACGCCGTGGCACATTCGACTACATCCTACTAGAAACAACAGGTCTAGCAGACCCAGGCAACATCGCCCCAATCTTCTGGATGGACGAAGGGCTCGGAAGCTCCATTTACTTAGATGGGATTGTCACTCTCGTCGACGCAAAGAATATCATGCATTTGCTGGACGATCCTGCGGCCGAGGAGAAGGCCGATTCGCATGACCAGTATCATGACCATGGTTCTGGGCCTGTGTTGTCGATGGCTCATATGCAGATCTCGCATGCTGATGTTGTCATCCTCAACAAGGCGGATCTTGTTACGGCCGAGGAATTGGTTGCCGTGCAGGATCGTGTTACGTCTATTAACAGCGTGGCTAAGATTCATGTCACGGATCATAGTCGCACGCCGCAGATTGAAGGTGTTGTTCTGGACCTGCATGCTTACGACCACCTGGCGGATTTGGATTTCAGTAAAAAAGGTCATAGCCATATGGATCCGGTAAGCTGATGTTAACCTCTGCTTTCCTTTTTCGTGTTCTAATTATCGTCAGGCGATTTCCACCACTGCCATTGTCACACCACCAATCCCAGCTGATAAGGTCGACTGTGTTGATGCCTGGCTGCGTTCTGTTCTATGGGAGTCCACGTTCCCTGCACCTGCAAAGCCAGTCTCATCCGAGCCACATCCCAATGACTTCGAGATCCATCGGTTAAAGGGAATTCTGATTTTAAATGATGGTACAAGTCGGATCATCCAGGCGGTGCGAGATGTATTCGAAATCCGGGATGCGGAGCCAGTTCAACATGACGAAGAAAGGACCCAGCCACTTCAGTGCAAGATCGTATTGATTGGACGAGGGCTTGGGTCAAGCGTAGACCCCTGGCGCGAGAGCTTTGAATCGTGCGTGGCGTGCAATTGAACAAATATCACTCAAGAGCCCAAAAAATTAAACACATCATACAAGGAGATACATGTAGTCTACGAAGTCCCTTTGTTAATAGAAAACCCAAGCGTGTCATTCAATAATTGCATTGCCAAAAACGAAAGAAAAAGAAAGAAAGAATAATACAGCCCTGTCAGTCGAGAGGAGGTAGAAAAAGAACCCATCAATATACATTGACTTCCGTATGACGACACCAAAACGCAAGAGGGCCTCCAAAGAGAGAGAGAAAAAGATCAAGCAAAAAAGAATAAATAAACAGCAAAAGAAACGAAAAAAAAAAACCAACAAAGGAAATAACAAAGGGAAACAGAAAAGAAAAAATCACAAGGCTACCAAAACAGAATCCGATTAAAATCCGCCAGTATGCAAAAGAAGAAGAAGCAAAAAAGGACTTTTTGGTACTCCAGGATATTCGCCCGCCATCGGTGTAAATGCATGCTTGCAAGAGCTGAAAAAACACGAGGCATAACTGTACAAGCAGAGCAAATCAAAAGGGTATCGAGTGCTCGGCCCCGAATATGGGGCTCGTTCGGACGAAAACGGTCGTGGCTTCGTTGGCAGTAGCCAATTTGGGCAAGATTTTTGTGTATAAATATTAATGGTCTTGCTTTGGTGCATTGGCCCAAGGGAATTTCACCTGGTTGGGTGCCGGGTTGAAATTCCTGGGTTGCGATTCGCTGAAAGTGGGGATGTGTGACTCTGTTGGCCAGGATTTGGTTGGCTTGGGGGTGAAAGTTGAGCAGGGGGGACCGTCTCTATATTTGCGGATGTGGTGCTGGTGTTGAGGTCTGCCAGAGCGGGGTTTATAGGCAAGGCCGACACGAACAGAGATGATTCGTAGCCAGGTACTCTTCTCAACGTGTGTTTGATATTGGCCGTCTTTGTTGGTGGCCGGGGAACATCTTTCGGCTCGGGTGTCTCAATAGAATGTGAGCTTGTCAACGAGGTGGTGCTGAGAGAGCTTGGTGCTTCTAGGTGAGGCATAAGTGGGTTGATAGGCAAAGCTGAGAGGCTGAGAGAGGGTGAGTCCGAGACGGTTGACACATCCTGCTTTGGTGACTTTGCGAGAGGTGGGTATGCGGAGAATATAGTAGCCAGGTTGTCTAGTGAGGCGCAGGAAGGGCCCATGGCAGGATTGATAGGCAAGGCCGAGAGCGAAAGTGAGTTTCCTGAGTGTGGTGTCACTGACGTATCATCCGCTGCTGCAGTGTTTTCGGATGATAGTCCCACATCTCCTCTTGTTGGTTCAAGGCTGACGTTCGCTAGAGATGGGGTGACCATATCGCCAGGAGAAGCTTCGGGGTGCTTTAAGGCAGGGTTCAAAGGCAAGGTTGAGAGGAATAGGGAGGGTGCTATTGTGACAGAAGGCTGGAGGTCAACAGTTTCCGCACATAGTCCTTCATCATCCTGCCTGGGTGGTTCAGGGAGAGATGATTTCACCGGTGTTGGAGTATTCGGTTCGCGTAGGTAGTTCCCAGGGTAGGGTAGAGAGGGATTCATGGGCAAAGCAGAGAGGAAGAGAGGATGTTGGATGTGGTGGCGTAGTGAAAGTAGGTTTAATACCGACCACTCCTGCAAATGGTCGATCCACGCCGCTACTCCTTGGTGGTGATGCAGGTGAAGTGTCAACCAGAGTGTTTCGAGGGCCAGGAGTGTCAGGAGGGCCAAAAGCGGGGTTTATGGGTAGGGCAGAGAGGATAAGAGAGGATGGCGGGATTGCGGATGAGAGTGCTGGCGACGTTGGCTTGGTGTCAGTGCTTTTCGCACATGATTGATCTGCAGGTTCTTTTAGGGGTGGTTCAGTAGGAGATGGAATGATTGAAGGGGTGGTGTGCGAGATGTGTTCGTCAGTTTGCGGTTGATCACGAGTCGAGGCAGTCAACGGTTGCTTGGCGTAAGACTGTTGGTTGTGCAGAAGAGCATCATCAAGAAACACGACCTCATCTGACAAACCCGGCTCTTCAAGCTTAGGGTTTTGGTCGTGGAACCCATTGCTCGTCGGTGATATTGTTGTCTGTAAAACCGGAAGAATCTCTTGTTCCGGGTTCTCACGAGATAGATCGGGCACAAAATCACGACTGGAATGATCAGAGACATCCATATAACCATGAGGATTGTGAGGTTCGTGATGATTCAAGGTAGATGAAGAAGATGGTTTGGATGGATAGTCAGCATTTCCATTGCATTCTGCAAGTGTGATGGTAGATCGATTTCCTGGGTCGTGATTATCAGCGAAGATAGGGTGTTGCAAATCACTGTATGCATTGTCCACGAATTCTTTCTGGGGAGAGTATTGGTCGGCCTGGCGCATAAAGCCTCGAGGTAGAGCCAAGCCAATCCCAGAGGCCGGAGGGTGAGCCCAGTTATGTTTGATGGGAATGTGCCGGGGGTCGTTCGCAACAATCTCCATAGGTTGAACAGCCGGCGATGTCCTTGCTGTCGGGAGATCAGAGGGAAACATGAAGAGAAGTTCTTTCGCAGAGAGCCTGTGTCGTGGAGTTGGGCTCAAGCAGATGTCGACTATCCGCCGGTAGTAATCTGGCACCATCGCATCCTCGCCAAGGAAAAGTGGTCGTGGTTGTCGTTCAGGCTCATCCTCTTCCATCGCTAATGCCCACAGAGTCATTCCCAGTTGATAGAGATCAGTCTTGACTCCAATATACATAGAGATGCGCTGGTTGCTCTCGATTTTGGCGGCAATCTCGGGTGGCTCCCAGCCCACAGGACAACCTCTGCGGTTGATATCGATAATCTTTGCATTGTCGTAGGCGTCCACCACAATGTTCGCAAGTGTAAAGTCGCCCTGCACGTATCCTGATTCATGGATCTCGCAGAGACCCTGAACAATCTGCCTAGCCCAGCGCTCGCGTCTCGCAAAGCTCGTTTTCCCACGTTGCTCGTAAAGAATATCGACCAATGCGCCCTGTTCAGCATAGCTGATCAGCAAGCCTTTGACCACATCTCGTCGTTCATCAACGACAATTCCCTCCACTTGGATGACACTTGGAGCACCATTGAGTGCATGTAGTGCATTGATCTCATAAAGGAACTCATCCACTGTGTCAGGCCCTGGAATTTCCTTCTTGATATAGGCCCGCCCACCGAGTTGGACCTTGTAAACGAAACCGGATAGATGCGATTCAAAGTGTAGGAAGTGTTCAGGGACGCATCGAGCGCCCCCCAAGTGACCGATGCTGGAGATAGGTGGGTATGGGATTGTTTCGTTTACGTCCTCCGTGACATGGACGTGCAAGCGGCCGTCAAGCGTCTCCAGCTTGAGATTCGTAACAGTATCATAGAATTGGATCTCGAGGAGGGATTCACGAATGGACTCGTAGATGCGGGCACATTTGTCGCGCTGATATCGCAGCTCCTTCAGATCTCCTTCCAGCGAGTCGGGTGGCGCGTCTCGGTAGTCGCATGAAATCGTAACTCGTCGCCATCGGTTCGGGGCCTCCGCGTACGTCACGAAGAACTTCTCTCGCTCTGACCGGTCCCGGAAGTGCATGCTCAGGTTCAAAATCCATCGTTGTTCCAATTCCAACTCGAGTGTTTCCTCCGGTAGTTTCTCCTCCTCTGATTCGGATTCCACGTCCATATCTGGATAGGGGTCCCAGTCGGGGACCTGGGCATTAGGTTCGGGTTCCGATTCAAGTGACTCGACCGTGGTTGTAGGCGGCCCGATCCACTGAACCTCGGGCGCGGAAAGTCTGGGGCCCACGGCTGGGGAGACCTTGATCGCTGTGAAGTCAGGAGATCGCGGTCGGCGGAAAGGGCCCGGCGGTGTTGTGGTTCGGGGTCGAGGGGAGCGAGGCGATCGCGTTGCTCGGAACTCTGTCGTTTGAAGGTTGTTGTGCGTGGCAGCCCAACGCCGACCTTCCGTGAGATCCGACGTGTGATGTTATCCTGTTTCTCCTGTTTATCTTGTTTGGCGCGTGGGTTGTCGGCAGAGGCACGGCGGGGGGCGTCCTCCCCTGACTCTCGATCGTCGCGACCCAGCCATTTCCGCAGGCCCAGTTTATGCCACATGCTCTGCTTTGGGCCTTTTTCTTCCACAGGACAGTCGGCCATGGAGATGGCCATACGGCTAGTCGCTTCCAAACGACTCGAACCTGGCCGAATCTCCGTCCATAAGAAGTGCGTGAGACGTCAAGATGGAGCTCTCGTCCCACAGGTTCCCAAGCCAAGTTCCCTTCTCAAGTACCTCGGTGTTCGGGGTCCCAAACGTGTCGCACAACGATTGCAATAAGGAGGCTGGGAGTGCCCTGATAAAATGGCGGAAAGGGAGAGATGTCGGTCAAGATCGACTTTTTTTCTTAGGTATATGAATTTTTTTTTTCTTTCCTCTCTAATTTTTCCTAGGCCAAAAACATAAAAAAAAAAAAGAGTTGCCTGCAGCCGTTGATGCTGCAAGGCTTCAAGTATTTTGAAGCAAAAGGACCTTGCAGGGACCTCCAAGAGACAAGGGGAAAAAAAATAAAGAAATATGATTCATCGCGCACAGATCAGAAATTGATGCGTTGCGGCCTGACACTCTGGGGCTGCCTGATACCTGCCTGCCTATTCGCCAATCTATATGACACATTCCACATAACCATAACCCATCTTATATTGTCAATAGCTTACAGGAACCCCTACTCATCTACTGATATCTTCTCGGCGCGCCTAGACTAGGGTTATGAAGGGTCTATAAAAAAAGGCTCTAGGAATCAGATATCCATTGTCTCCAGATCATATCAGCTATACTTCAGTTCATGAGAGTCCACTTATCTCAGAGTATCTTCCCAACTAAGAAGCCTCCGTGGTCGCACTACCGAGGTCAACCTCGCCGCCATCATCAGCTGTTCCCAGACACCCAACCAGGCAGGCAGCGCAGACGGGGAGCGAGACAGCGCAGGCTGCGGCACAGCCAGCCATGCAGACTTACTATTTCTGGTTAGATATGCTATGTCCAAAGTCAAGAGATTACATACAATCAAGACGCCCTGGATATTGTTAGCTGTGATCTTGCCTTGATATATCAGGGTCGAGGGTCGGGTATGTACTTACACGTTTCTCAACAGCTACGATAGCAGATGACCTGGCAATGGGCGAGGCAGCGATCACGCCGACGAGGGTCGCGAGAATGATACTGGTGAAGCGAAATGTGGTAGGTATTGTTCAAATGGAAATTAGAAAGAGAAGCGTGAATGATGCGATTGGTGATGCTTTTTGCTGGAGAAGCATCCTCCTTTTATACATTTTGCTCTCTATACGACTCGGACCTGAGCATCTCGCAAATGCTACTCTGGCTGCACCCCTCACGACCCAATGTACGATACTGCGACTTCTATCACAGGGACCTCACGATGGCCGGAGTTTCATCCGACTTTTGCAAGAATGAAGCCCATGCCAACGCCAGCATATACTGCGCGCACATGCATAGGCAGACCATTCACAGAGTTTGGTCCTATATCCGTCTCGTCGCCAATGTTACATCGCAGCATCCTTCTTGGATTCTTCAATGCCATCCCTCCAATGGTTTCATGAACAGGATGCACTTACTTCTGTCTAATTACATCTCCCACGGCCAGCCCATGCGCCAAGTATAGGGGCCATGTATTATCCTTGCCCTGGCCATTGAGATATCTGTGGCTGTTTGACTTAAAATTAGCGGCAAGGGCGGATCTTCTCTGTCAACGATCCGGCGATGCGGAAATTTGGAGATGATTAGCTTATTGGGGGCTTGTAAGACGGAAAATACCCCGGTGTGGGGTATGGGGTATAGGAATTGCTGTGGAGTTGATCCTGCGAGACTAGGGCTATACAACTGGATCTCGGAGAAACCTTTCTATGTCTAGATATAGGTCAATACAGCTTGCGAGCAAATGCCCACGTGAACTTCGTTGGATATGCATGCTAGCGTTGGCTGATAGGCCATATTAAAACATCTCATCTAGAATCCAATTGACAAGCCCTAAACAGTTTTCATTTTTATGAGGCACATTCCCTTTGGCAAGATGAAAGTCCACGTTGCGTTACACCCTGCAATTACATCCTCAGGATCGCACTGGAAAAGAAGCGCAAGTGTCCCCGTAAACGAAACTATTCGCATAGATATAGCCCTTTCCCTCGACGAAGATAGCTCGGAGAAAGCGGCCCAAGCCATTGAAAACATATCCGGCCCCAATTCCGCAAGCTTCGGCCAACAATGGAGCTCCAAACAAGTCTCCGAGCTCTTTGCACTGCCCAAAGAAGGAATTCGCGAGCTCGCAAAACGGCTCACTAGCTCTGGCGTGCCGCGGTCTAAGCTGCGTCTTTCGCCAGACCGCGCCTACCTCTCTTTTGATGTTACTGTCAGCAACGCCGAATCTCTGCCGGGAGCCAAGTTCCGTCGGTATTCGTCTGGAAGTGCCAATCAGACGGCTTCTAAAGTATACTCATTACCGCACGGCCTCGCAAAATATGTTGATTTTGTGCTGCCTGCGCCTGGTCGTGAGCCGGGGAATTCTGCTCCTACTTCCTCCAGCGTGCGGTTCAAAGATGGGCTTAACACCAGGGCAACAACCCGTAAAGTCGACTGCTTCAAGTACATGACTCCACAATGCCTCCGAGCACTATACAACATAGACGAAGACGATGCTCAACCAGCCCATCCCAACATCTCCTTAGGCGTCTTCACGCCTGCGTGGTCGACATGGCTAGCGGATGACAGGGACCGGTTCTTCGCAGATTTTGCCCCCGACCTTGTTGGCCACCGGCCTAAAATCATTCCCATCAATGGAGGCTACCGGCAGGAAGAGTAAAGGATTGCCAGCTTCAATCTCGAGCCCAACCTAGACTACCAGTATTCGATGGCTCTGGCCGCTCAAGTGCCCGTCACCAACATCCAAGTCGGCGACAAGTTCCTCATGGGGAATTTGAATACAATGCTCGGTGCTTGTGACGAGCACTATTACAACACGGCACTGGATCCGCAGTTCGATCCCATCTACCCAGATCTCCAACCGGGCGGATATAACTCGTCCGGTTGCGGTATATACCAGCCACTGCGTGTCATTGCCATTGCGTACGCATGGAACGAGGCCTCGTTCTCGGATAAGTACATCCATCGACAATGTCTCGAGTTCCTCAAGCTGGGACAGCAGGGCGTGACAGTAGTGACAGGCTCCGGTGACCGAGGCCCAGCAGACCAGCTAGGCTACTGCATTGACCCAGCGACAGGCAACGCTACAGTAGAAGAGGGGCATTTCTCCTCTGTCTTCCCGGCGTCATGTCCGTGGGTGACGACTGTGGGCGGCACACAGCTGCAAAACACAGACAACAGCACTTGGAGCCAGGGCACACCTTTTCCCCCTGAAACAGCTATGAATGAGAATATTACCAACTCCGGTGGTGGCTTTAGCAGACTGTTCCCAGCGCCGTGATACCAGGGTAATATGACACGGGCGTACCTGAGTGAGGCTGAGGGAGTAGCCAAATTAGCCGAGGTCGGTTATTTCAATCCGCATGGTAGAGGATATCCGGACTTGTCGGCTGTGGCAACCAACTACTTGGTTCAACTAGATGGCGGGTACCGGTCTGTGAAAGGGATGTCGACAGTAGTGCCATTGATCGCGTCTATGATAGCCAAAATCAACGAGGCAAGACTGCGGGCTGGGAAGAGCACAGTTGGATTTATAAATCCTGTGTTGTATGCCCATCGCAAGAAGATCATGCGCGATGTTACGACGGGAGTGACGTGAAGGATGTGGTGTAGATGAGGCATTCCCTGCTACGGCTCCATGGGACGCTGTCACAGGCTTGGGATCGCTGGATTACGCTCAGCTAAAGGAAGTATATCTTGACCTGCCTTGACGGAGTTACGCGTATTAGACCGCGGGATTTACCGTATCATGTCTCGGTAACACAATTGGTGCATAGGGATGTGGCCTATAAGAGTGTCTAAAATGATCCGCCACGACGCAGGATCAACCCTGCAGCTAAGATATCAAAGAAGTTAGAACAATAGCCAAAATCTGACATCATGTGAGCCCCCGCAGGCTTAAGTACTTATATACATAGTCATACACTTGCCATACTACCATAGTAAGTCCCATTTCCATCCTCCCATTTCCATCTGCTAGTCCGAAAGTCAGTCTCATTAGCGAAAAACCCCCAAAACATGACAACTCGCGAAGAACGACAAGCCTACATGGCTCAGCACATTTCTAATCTCCAACAACAGAACCCAAAAGCCGACTTCAAAGCCAGCGAGCAGTGGTGGACCCCAAGCGTCGACCTCGGCGCCGATCTCCAAGTTAGCAGACGCCTTTCTTTTTATCTGACTGACTAACCTACTATAGGAGACTCTGGGTCCAGCAGTCAACAATCAATTAAAAGCCTGTATCGCAAAGGCGTTTGAGCGCAAGTGTTCACCGGAAGCAAAGACGATTCTTGCTGAATATCCGGATATCTTGGAGCGGGTTGATACTATGATCTTCAGAAACGAGCAGCTGTGGGCGCAGGTGCATCAGTATGCTTTGTCGGAGGCTGAGGCTGGAAGGGATGCTTTTGGTAGTTGTGCGGTTAAGTGATATCGACTTATTGATGTATGGAGACTTCCTGGATCAATTATATATCAAAGATTGTCTATATAATCTAGCCTCGCAATATCAGAAAATACACATAAGAATGAGGATGGGACCTGTTTTCTACTCTGGTATAGTACATTCTTCCAATGACCGTACCACTATTGGTTACAGGCTACTTGGAGCTTAACGCAATCCTTTCCAAGTCGGACCCTTTGGATTTGCAGGCACCGATCCTCAAACAGTGTTAAGTCTTACCTGGCCACTTGATGCTTTTCTAAAAGACAAATCGGCCTATGGAAGCTTTGTTGTCAACTTCAGTCGCCCTCTTCCATTAATGACATTTCCCATTGCTTCACTGGGCTGGTTCAATTCTAGGTTCTTTTCTAGTGACACGGGTGAAGACCGGTACTTCATTTACCCTCTAATGATCGAGGAGGAAGAGTCAAATATAGACCTTATTGACATCCTGACGAGAATTACAATGATTGGTCTCGAATGGTGTGCGCATAGAAAAGGCAAAAGGAAAATTGCGAGTCATAGATATGGAGCCATGAATACTGTAGTCCGCGGGTCGTCTAGTATCTAGTAGATAAGTGCAATCATGAAACCAAGCGAAAAAAAAAGCCCAATCCCAACCCCATCTCCATCAATCAATAGGCTCAGTCTCCATCTCCCTAGCCAACATCTCAGCCTCAACCCTCATCTCCTCCTCACTCCTAGGCATCCGCCCCTCGTTATCAACAGCATGGAATCCAGACCTCCTCCTAGGCCTCGAAGCCGCCGCCTCATAAGTCTTCACCATCCCATCAGCGAGAGTCCCAGCCTCAGCATCTCTATATATCTTCCCCAAATCCCCTTCCTCCCCATCAAGCAAATCATACACCGCATCTGTACCACCGAAATGATCCAAATCCGCCGCTTTGCGAGGAATGACGTGTGCATGTACATGTGGTACACTCTGGCCAGCATGCACGCCGTCCTGCACGGCGATATTTAAACTCGAGGCTCCATATACGCGCTCGACCATGCGGCCGACTCGGCGCACTGTGACGAAGAGATCGCTTGTTTCGGCGGGTGTTAGGTCTGCAAAGCGGGGGACGACGCGTCGTGGGGAGACGAGGACGTGGCCTGGGAGGATTGGTTTGAGGTTTACTAGGGCGAAAGTGAGGGGTGTTTGGAGGAAGACCTGTGGAGGGTGTTAGTCCAGGTGTTGTGTTCGGTTGGCTGTGCCTGGTTTGCGGAAGTGGGAGGTGTGGTTGGAATCTCGGGGTCCGGGGTGACACACCTGTGGCGTGACGATAAATGAGCCAAAGTAAATTGGCGCAGTGGCGGCTTTCAGGACTGACATGGCTGAGGAATTGGACATCAGATTGGGTCGGGGAGGTGATGTCGATGGGCTGATAAGTGCTTATCGATACGGTTAGGGTTGCGGAGCTCTAACTCGACCTCAACTTGGTCTATTCGAATATGATTATCAAGAATCTAGTAGTGGCACATATGAAATGACAAACTCCCAGTCGACGCGTATTTCGGCGCTTGAGGAATAAGAAAGACAGTAACGGCTAAATTAACACCCTTACTGATTCCGACCTAACCTACCACGTTAACTTAACCTATTAAGTTACATATGATAGCTCTTTGGTTTGGTAAATAACTGCATCTATGTTGTTACGCAGCATCTTATCACCTCCTGGCGTCCTTGGGCGATGTGCAAGGTTCTTTGTTGCATCCATACAGACGGTCACCAATGTAATGGCTCTGAGTCCCTTGACCAATATCTCTGCATTTTTCAAAGGAGCCAGAATGTGCATTGGTCAGCAGTATGTTCTGTTCAGCATCCCTTCCAACGACCTTATGCCACAGAATGAAGAAGTACTGACAATCCTTATACAGTTTAGCATTTGCCGAGATTACCATCGTCATGGCGTATATGCTCCGGACTTTCAGAATGGGCATGTTGCCAGACAGCATCTCCGGGTTGTTTCATTACAGTGCCGTGGCGCTGGCCTGCGATGTGTGTGACTTTCGAGTTTAGACGAAGAGAGATCAAGTACATATAGGCAAATAGCTGTATTTTGGGCAACTGTTCTCTAGATCGAAGCTAGTTCAAACAAGAACCCTAGGATTAATGTATCAAGACCGGGTACTAGCCACACGCTGAGGTATGAATCTTCGTACAAGGGAAATAATAGTCCCTAAATGCAAGCATATACCACCATACCCTCCATCTACAGAAATAGTACAAGCAAATACAGCGTCAAATTTTCATTTCCTCATTCGCAACAGGTTTATCATAGAAAAAAAAATATCAAACATGTTAATCAGAAATTCATGAACCCAAGCAAACCCGGGATAAGGCAGCTCGGCAGTGTATCCCAATGTAGAGCCATAAGAAGTGCAAGAGATGCAAAGACGAAAAAGTAAATACGATGATTACCCAGGTTTAGGTATAGACGCGACGGCAAAAACACCAAATCACGCCTATCGTCCATCCATAGATGTTATACATCGCATCGCCAGCAGTCTGAGCCCGCATCACCGTAGTTGAGATTCCACCCAAAACTCCAGAGCCGATGCTAATCCAAAGTAAGAATCAGAATCAGAATCAGAATCCATCACGGCGCCGTCGCACAGTGAATCATATACTGTGCAGTAGCAGAGGAGGACTTCGTATCTGATGCCCTACCGATGCAAACGCAGTTGCAGTCTCCTCCGTTCCGCATAGTTGGTAGAGCATGCGAGCTGGTAGCATAACCGAGAAGACGGTCTACAGACACAGATGTGCAAAGAAAAAGGGATCGAACGGGAAATCATTAGAACAGAATCTCGCCACTATGCTCAGGCTCGAAGCCGAGTGCTTGTAGCTCCTTGTACCGTTTCTTATCGCCCGTGTTCCTCTTCTCGTCTTCCTTCTTCTTGATTTCGAAGACTTCTTCGAATGTTGCCTTGGTCAGGGTGGGAGGGATGTCGTCTTCGCGGTCGAGGTCCTGTGGGATGGGGATCGCTTATCAGTACTCGGTCCAGAAGGGAGAATCAAATCAAGGTAAGGGCTTTTCCATCCGGACATACCACTTCGCCTAGGAGGAGCACGTTCTCTCCACGGACGATGAAAATCCCCCGGTTCACATCGGCGTAAAGACCGCCCGCGTAGATGCGCTCAATCGTTTCCTGGAAAACAAGGTTCGCTGCCAAAGATTATACGTGAGACAATGATCCAAAACTGGAAGTTGTGCGACTGTCATACCGAACTGGTCCCAGCTTCGCAAAACGCCGATAAGTTTCCGCCCGTCGCGGAGGATGAGGACGAGTTTCTCTGTGGGGAGGTGAAGCTGTCAGCCCGATTCCTTGGTCCAAGCTAAGTCCCGGGCATTCGCGTAGATCGACATACTATCTGTTAGGTCGAGCAGTTGTGCGGCGGTCGTGAACATCTGAGGCGGTAATTGGGGTGGGCCACCACGTTCCTGGGAGCTAGCGGGGCCGAGAGCATTTTGCTGAGAGAATTGTTGCTGTTGCTGCTGAGGATTGCGCTGCGCATTGGCAGGGCTTTCGTTTAGAGATAGCCGCTCCATGTCTGGGGATTTGAGGTGGGTTGGCGGGGAAGAAATCGAATCCGAATCTGGGAGGAGGGGCAGAGGTTGGCGGAGCGGGATAAAAAAAGAGAGAGGGAGGAAGGGGAAGGGAGGAAGGGGAAGGGAGGAATAAAATCAGAGATTGAATCAAGCTGTTCTCATTCTGTAGACAGTCGCGAGGCAAGAATCGAAGTCGCAAAGGGCCGTCATCAAGGGCGGTGAGTTTGTCTTGTTTGCTCACCATCTATATAAGAGTCACTTAAAACATTATTGAATTCATACTACACATCTGACGTGTCGCAAACTGGCAAAAGTACATGCTATACAAAAAGGGGGAATATTCAGAACATAACAGCATCAAACAAATTTACACAACAACACCCCTCGACTGCCCACGCATCCTCTGTTCCCTCCTTTTACTATAAGGCGCACAATAAGGCTCATCAGCCGACCCAATACTCGCCCTAACCCCATCCTGCGAGCGATGATAAGCCGGACTTGACGGTGCCGGCGGCAACTGCATAGCCTTGAACTGCGCATCAGTGATAATCCGCAGCCCGTACAGATACCGCATTAACTCGAAATCCGGTCGGCTCCCCGCTAATGTCTGGCCAAGCCGGTAATGCTCAGCAGCAACATGGTCAAGCATTCGATCCCAAGCTGAGGGTTGACCAGGTCTAGCTCCAGGTCCATGACTTGCCATAACGATATTCTCGCTGCGGAGAGACTCGCCGTCTTCCAGAACGGGCGATGATATAGGCTCCGCGATCCCATCGACGAACTTCGTACTCGGGCAGAGTGGACATCTCGCCGTGTGTGGCGTGGGGTGTGACCGGAAGTGACTGCAGACATGGGTTCTCCACTGTGCGTCGTCGTCGAAGGACTCATGGCAGTCCAGCATATGGAAAAGACAGACATACGTGCGCTGCTCAATACTAGGCGCAGACAGGGACGGCGACGCTGATAATACCGACGATGCGGCCGTCCCCCACGATGACAAGGAAACGCGCGACGGCGCAGACGGCTCTGCGCCACTGGCAGCAGTGGTGATCAACGGCGCCCTACCATCGTCCTCGAGGATATAAAAGTCTTCGTCGCGATCTTCATCGCCATCGCCATCATCATGTCCATGTCCATGTCCACCAAACCCTACCCCAGAACCAGCAGTATCAACCGACGAAATCGACGGCGAAGGCGAACCACTAGACAACCCAGGTACAGGCAAAGGCGAAGAAGAAAGCAACACAACGCCCGCCTGGCGCTTATCAGGATCCCTACTTTCACTCATAGTTTGTCTCAGCGAGCCAGAGCGACGGGATCGGTGTCTATCCGAAGCAGCGGAAGTAGAAAAAGAGCGCAGATCAGCGTCGGGTCTTCGAGCGGCATGCGGGCATTCAGGCGCGCGCTCCGACATGCTCCGCGGTGAAGAAGAAAGAGCAAGCGCAAACCCGAACAAATCCAAATCCAAAGCCAAAAGCGAAATCGAGAGATGGGGTCGGGGCTCTTTGCCGCGCGGGGAATCACCGAGTCACGTCGCTGTGATCGCGTCAGAGGTCGGGCCTGGGCTTACATAGTATGTGTAGGGAGGGGGAGATCATGGTATTCATGATCAACATCATGCTCAAGAAGAGATCAAGTCCGTGAGTATGATTGTGAACATGAACATACTGACCCAGAGCAAAAAACATACATATACACCCGACGATATCACCAAGCACCTCTCTCGCCCTGTCTCTGAAATCGATGCAGCCCTGGAGATGACAGTCCGGTACTCAGATCTGCAACTTTTTTTCTCCGAAGAAAGTGTCAGCATGCATGACATCTACTAGGCAAGAAGCCGGCGTCGCCCGACCGTTCTGCGGCATACAATGTGGGTACGAGGGGACAACTGTAGGTACCCTCTGCCAAGAATAACCTCTCTTCTTTACTGTTTCTCTCTCAGGCACTACATGTACATGTAGGAAATCGGGAGGCATCCATAGTGGGATTGGTGGGGTTTTCGATAGAATTTTCCAAAGTGTTTAGTTAAGTTACAGTGTTGGGTGTTGGTCGCGCTAAGCTAAACTTATTGGGCGGGGGTGTTTGGGGCTAAGTGGGTGTATGAGGTCGTTTATCGTAGTGTTATGGTGTGATGTAGTTATGGTCGGGATTTGATGTTGCTACTCTGGTTATATACAGTAGTCTTCAGTCTTGTCCATTCTTATTTTCTATTCTTCAAGGTTCGAGATACGATGCACAGACCTGCGTAGTCGCACGTTCGGGTCCCCGCCAGGCTGCAGGAAACTTACACTATGAATCATATGGTTGAGTCTGCAGTACTTTTGGTTCTTTTTTTGCATTCTCAGCGGGAGTTGATTGTCCAGTCCCACATTTGGACGAACGCTTAACTTGATTCTGAAACGAGTGGGACGACACTCACATTACGGGGTACATTTACATGCCCTTGTACGCCCAGTCTACAGCATGCAATATACCCCAGCAAGATACAAACAATGTAGTAAGAAACCATCTACAGTATAAAGACATCTAGAATCAACAAGATACGAGAAGAACCCGAACACGAGTCGAATAGGCATCTCTGGAGTACTTGAGCACCACAGGCAATATCGTCCAGTGGAGATGAAAGTCCTGTCTACAGAGTACGCATTGAACCTAACCTTAAGTTACTAGGTAGCAAGGTAGTACTTTAAACCCCAACAAAAACAGAAAAACCCCACTATGAACACATAAGCTGAAACAAGCACATGCACATGTATATCACCATCTCCATCATGTATGGATTCTTCAGGTGCAGCTTGTGCATATCATATGTCAGGGAGATAGGCATGTGAATATGATATGAGCTGTGAGCTGAGCTAGAGCTAGAGGGACCATGGTTCTAGACTACGCTGATCGAAACTAGAACGTGATATTAGATGCATGTGAAGGTACCTTTAGTCCCGATCTGGAGGGGTGATAGCGATGTTTAGAGTTAGGTGGAGTTTGGAATTCCGTATTCCGTATTCCGTTCCCGGGTTCAATGTATGTATAATGCCATTGTAGCCTAGGATGAGTTGATGGGAGATTCGGCATGTGGACGTCCAATGTGGGATCCTGGATATCACATGAAAATTGTGATAAGAGCTACGGCAAGATAGAGAGACTACAGTAGAAAGTAGAGTATTGTGAAGATTTCATTTTTCTCAACCATATGGCGAGTATTAAGTAGAAGTAAAAGAAGCAACAGGTGTTGAGAAGGGAGTAGAGAGACCACAGGTCTCGAGAGAGGAGAATGACAAAAAGGTCTTCTGACCCATCCAGTAATTTTGAACTTGAAAAGAAAAGCCCCAGAGAGGAGGAAGCAACCAGAAAGTAGCAGAAGCAAAAGTAAAAGCAGAAAAAGAAACGGAAGAAAGATCCCAGGTCTATTTGGAGAGACGCCTCAGTTAAGAAAATCAAGAAAGCAAAACCATCCGACACCGTTTGATGCCCGCAAGCCAGAGTAAAAAATGCACAAGTCTATATCGTTTCGTAGCGCGCATAACAAAAGGCATAAAAGGGGTGCAGAGCAGAGAAGAGATTAGAATCGGTCTGCCAGGTCGCCGCCCGCCACGGAGTTATTGCCGGAGGAGTTCACGGAGGAGAAACCGGCTGTGGGATTCAACATGTCCTGCACTGCGACCTTGGGTACCTGGGGGACGGGTAGCTTGCGCTGTGTGCCGTCAGGTTTTGACATGATGTCTGCAATGGTCGAGCCCATGTGTCCTTGGCTGGGGCTGTAGTAATTGGGGCCCTCGGCTTGGGGTTCCATGGGCGCGAGAGCGGGTGTGTGCTGGAGAGACAAATGGCGGATCGAAGGCAAGTGCAGCTCGCTGGCACCGAGAGGGCGAAGACGGGGCGAGTGTGCAGGGGTTGCCAAGGGAGTGTGGTCAGGAGTGGGGGAAAGAGAGTCGTGAGAGAAAGTAGGAGAAGAGGGAGCAGTGGAGTTAGGCGAGTTGGGACGAGAACGCTTCACACGGTGGCCATATCCATCGTCATCATCGTTGGAATGCGACCGAGTCATGTTCTGGGAGATGGCGTAGGCAGAGAGCGAGGGAAGGCCGCGGCCAGTGCCATGACGAGAGCCGAACATTTGGTGGCCGCGCGAGCCATGGAATCCCATGTGGTCGTCACGCTCGACCTGCGAGGCTGCCGTGGCCAGAAGGTTAATATCCATGCCGGACGAGGCACGCTCGGTGTTGCGCGAGTAGGGTCCCAGATTTGAGCGCATGTGGTTGGCGTAGTTGGAGAACGAGTGAGGCGGCGAGACGTCGGGGGATCCCACCTGCGACACGGGCGCGGAGCGAGTGATGGGCTTGCTGGGTGGAGGCATCATGTTGGCGGCGTTGACCATACCTGCATCCTGGTTTGCAGCAGCCGCAGCAGCTGCAGCCAAGTGCTGGGCCTTGTTACTGCGGCGCGAGTTGGGGTTGTTGTGGATACGCGAGTGACGGGTGAGTTCATCAGAGCGACTGAAGCGCTTTGTGCAGCCGGGGAACTGGCAGGCGTGGGGCTTCTCGCCGGTGTGCGTCCGGATGTGTCTTGTCTGATGCTCCAGGCGGTGGAAAGCACGGTCGCAAAGAGGGCACTTGTACGGCCGGGGCAGATCCTGGCGGACCTCCTCGGTCGCGGGACGAGCACCCTTCATGAGAGGCGGCAGAAGGCTTACAGAGGAAGCCATTGACGAGTTTGAGTCACCGGGAGTCGAGGGAGTTGAGTCTGACGAAGCGTCCGGGTTGAGAAGATTGGAAAATCCTAAATTGGCCGGTGGTGGCATGGAGAGGGACAGATCCCGGAGGTAGATGAAGATGAAGTTGAAGCTGAAGGGGTGAAGGTGGGCGAAAAGTGAAGGGAGAGAAGAATCCGGAGATGACGATCTGGGGAGCAGATGATATAAAGCCAAGGGTGAAATCGGAAGGGAGTGAAAAATTTAGAGAAAACCCCAAAAGGAGTGTGGGGGAAGACTGGGGCAAATTGGGAAAAAGAAAAAGAATAAAATCGGGAAAAATTAGGGGAAATTCAGAATTCGAAAATGAAAATGGAAAAAGAACGTAAAAAAAGAAAAGAAAAGAAAAAAAAAAAAAAACCCAATCGGTAGATCATCTTTCCCGGAGTCACCGTCATCCACAGTATACACTGCCATTTATACACTGATTTCTATTCTACTCTACCTTCCCTTAGCTTCACACTCTCAATATTTAATATATTCAATATGTGTTAATATGGCTCCCGAAACAGGAGGGGAGGATAAAAATTAAATAAAATAGGATTAAATTAAAAGACACTACGTAAGGAATGTGGAGTTGATCTGAAGAACCGTGTGGCGTGAGTGCGTGTCCCTACATCCGGCTATCGCGGGTTCCCTTATTGTATGATCAAATCCAGACCGATGTATATTACGGGATCATCGATGATGTCTATGATTCCATTTACCCCGTATTTAATAGTAAATCACCCGAGATGAACCCGGATAATAATAATAGTAATAATATATGATATATAACCTGGATCCCCTACCAAAGTAGATAGATAAAAGCTGATGAACGCTGATAGGCGCGGATCGTCCAATTATTGATGGCCCTGCAGCCACACAGCCGCAAATTCGCGTATCTCGAGGGATTCCTGGTCCAGATGTGAAGCGGTATGGAGATGTGATATGGACGGAGTATGGGGTCTGGGGCCCGTTTTCTTTCCTTTTTCTGAATCGAGATCCCCACGAGCCTGTCCTCTGTCGTTCCATTGTCCTATTTCCGTAACATAGACAGCACAAGTTCTTCCGAGGCACGGAGGTCCCCCGTCTAGTGATCATCCGGGGTGGGGACCCCAGGGGGTCCCTAGGGGCCAAGGCCAAGGGTGTCGCGCCATCGGGATAACGGGATAAAGAAAGATACGCCCACTCGGCAAGGGAAGATGACTTCCCCATGTGCTGGGGCCGGGGTTTATGGTTGGACGATAACAAGGGGAATGGGGGGCATGGGGAATGGGGAAAGGCGTGGGATGACCTTATCTCGTATAAAAGGGTATATGGGTTAATTCCATATTCAATATTCAATATTTAGTACGGAGTATTCAGCTACGGGGTACTGTATGATAAGTTCGAACTGGCCACATCGCTTGATCCTTGATCCTGCATACAGGGGCCCTCTTAGTGGCAGATCATAAGCATGAAATGGGAACGAAGCCAGTCAGCAACCGGAGCCCCGGTCTAGGTGGGTAACAGACCCAAAAAAACATGCCATGTCGGGCCGGCTGATAAAAGTGGAATATATCCCTAGGAAATGCACGAATCCCGGGCTCTAAATTGGGTTATATACATACTACTGTGTGCTACTGTACGGATATAGCCATCTCTCCACGGGGAATGGCGCAATTGGGGAACCTCCGGATTCGGAAATCTCTAGGAAGCAGGTACCAATTACCCGCTTTTTGCCGATACATTGTACTTTGGCGATGTTATTGGCATATATGTATATGTAGGCATGAAACCACTGTGTTTCAGTTTCAGGTGACGAGTTCACGTCTCTGCTGACATGATAGAGCTGAAAACTATCAAATCGGAATTCAACTTCCGTCATACATTTCACCGGGAATGCTCGTCCTACTTTCCCTTGAAGATCCTCACCCCACTACGGAGTATACCACCATACTATCGCCCCTAGGACGCGGGGGTACACCGGGCTATTGTTCCCATAAAAGAAGCCCATTTTCTGGGCGATTGCCGGCCGATATACCCGACAGTGGCGATCTTTACGTTAACGCTTCCTTCACACACTGGCGTCGTCTACCCCGCAATCCCCGATCTGCAGAGCGTATCGCTGACCTTGATCGTCATGATCGCTATCTCCAGATCAATCCCGATATCGCTGGATCCTCCGTCACGCCATCCGGGGAAGTATGCCATATGCAGCACTGCAGAATTTTCAGATAAACCGCTAGGTCTTGGCTCCGCGTATCGCGGTCCGCTTTACATTCCACTTCTTGGAAATGGGGTTGTTGATCATGCTCCGGTATGCAGGCTGTCGATCTTGACAAAGAGGCCGGGGAGGCCCGTAATTAAGGCAAAGATACGAAAAGGGAAGTAGTATAACACGTAAAAATGAATAAAAGGGAAGAAAATGGAGACCCCGGACTCTGTTATCAGTCCGGAGCCGCTGGCCTGACGATAATCCCCGCACCCCAGATCAAGGGTATAACGTTATCTCTTCACATACTGTGCGGTGTTGCCCCTTGCGATTCGTTAAGTGTCATGACGTGCTCAGCGCCTCAAATAGAAAGACATCGAAAGATTAAGAAAAGGATCGGCCAATTCTCGCTCCGTTTCCAATTGCCCTGCGCCCCGATCAAGAATAGGAAAAAGGAAGTGAAACGTGCTCCAACAGGGCGCCACTAGGCAACCAGGATAAATCCAAAAGATAACCCCTTCAGTATGATTTGAGATACACTTTCGTCTACGTAACATTGACATTATCCTTCTCCTTCCCTAGGTTGGTACAGTATGATCATGGCGTAAAGGTGACATCTAGTCAAGCTTGGCGTGCCTCGATGCGGGGGGGGAAGAGAAATCCGGGGTAGGGGATTAGGGTAAAGTAGGCGCCAATTCCCTTCGGAATGGGAATTTGTTCGGGTCCAGTTACTCTATCCAGTACGGAGTACGGAGTGAAAAAAAGCAGGGTGGGAGATAGGAGGGGTGAAGGTGTAGATTTACGTTTACGTTTACGTTAAATGTTTCGCAGGGAATGTGTAAAGTGCAACCCCAACTTTCTCCAGTGCTCGCTCTCGTATGTGATTACCTAAGATATACCGGCCCGGGATAAATCCGTATCACCACTCACCTTTTAACTATATCCACGCCCTGCCAAGAGAGATCCGCACTCCACAGCTTCTGGAACAATCTTGCGCCAATAATGGCTTGGGATTGTCTCACACTGATATCATTGATGGATGCGGGGCCGTCATTCCGGAGTCTGAGGCTATTGGTGGGATTTGGACTTTTGGTTCGGCGAGAATTCATCCTATCTTGAGGAGACATGTGATATTCTGGGGGGGATAGGGACTATAGACCAGGTGTTCACTTGATTATGGTATGGTGATCTGTGGTCTGTGATACTGTGTAGAAGGGGGGAAGGAGGAGGAGATACGTGTCCAGTTCTCGGTGAAGCGTAACTTTCATGATAAAAAAAAAAAATTTTGACTTGTTCCCACTTTGAGTGATTTATTACTGTTTTTGGTTCCCCATACTCTGCACTCTCCAATTTACGGAGTACTGTGCTACGGAATCATTTTCGATCTACATGTTCCACTCACATGTAGATAGTCAGGTACCGTAGATCAGTGTGACCAGGGGGATTGAATCTAGACCAGGTCAGCTGTAGTACAATGTACATTTACATGTAAGTCAACTTATATCTCGAATTAATACAAACCCATCCATTCATCCATTCAGTTCAAGACAGTAAATTCAGGGGGATAATCCATTTTCCCCCCGATTCACCCGGTCCCAATAACCCCGGAACAAAAAGCTCAGAGAAGCCAAAGCCAGCACTCACGGGAACAATCAACCCGAATCAACAGACTCAAGCACGTGTCCCCAGATCACCCCTTTCCCCCTCCTTCCCCCTCACAAAAGGGTAAAAAAAGCCAGTAAAAGAAACCGGGCACAAAGGCACTAGGAGACTACGGAAATGCCGGAGTCCGCAACCTATAACTTCCCAAACAGGCCATTAAGCGGGAGAGCTCCACGGGCTAAAATTATAGCTTGCGAGAGGTCGTTTCACATGTTCAGTACTAGTGTTGGTGTCAGTTCCTCTTTCCTCTTCTCACATGCACATGCGCTTATCATACCACCGGGGAGGAGGGGACTCGAGTTGGGATTTGGGTTCGGTGGCTGTGGCTTTACAGTAGCTTCAGGTACTAGGTCGGGGCTACGGCTAGCGGGTGGAATGCGCCCATTCCTGCGTGATAGTACAGGTAGTAGCGCCGCCATGCACCCGCATTTCTTGTCCATGTAGTGTACACGTAGTGTAGATTGTACAGTAGTGTAGATTGCACTGTATTGTATATTGGACAGTAATGTAGATTTTACTGTGCATGGGGAAAATTGCGTCATACGCCCATATGGTTTCTCCAGATTGGGGAATGGTGATAAGAGATATCTAGAATGGATGCCATACGCGCTTATATTGCTAGCCTATATGTAATTTATGTGTCCATGTACTTGTGCATGTACTGCACACTGAAGACTGTGAAATGACGACACAACCTACAGCTTGACATCTAGACCATTCTCCTGCAGGTACAGATGGATATACACACTTCTCTGTTCGCAGCAGCTCATAGGGCTGGAGTAAGGAAAGAGGTGCATCGGGTGAACTCGGAACAGTCAGATTGTACCATTATCCCACCTCCTTGCGAGAGGCAGCTTGACCGGGTTGCGGGGCTTAGTGTCGATACTATGGATCCATGATGGGGGCTTTTGCTTAGGATGAGTCAGGAAGGTGGCATGGAGGGGAAATTTCGGGAGGGTCTTGGCTTTTTGCCTTTTAAGGGGGAGGCTAGGCGCTATTCTCGTCTATAGCAATTCAAGGAACGAAGAGTTTTCACGGGGCAAGTACTGTACAGAGTAACAGGAGTCAAAAAAGGGGGTCTCGGTGAAGAGGAAAGAGCGGGAGTCTTCCGGGGGCTTGTTTTTGCGTCTTTTTCTATCCAAGTTTTTTTTTCGCTTTCCCCCTTGCCCCTCCAGCGTTGCCGTGTCCGGAGCCGCGCCGAGTGGTATCGGCG